CAGAAACAAAATTTTCGACAATTGCTGAATGGCACGTGCCCCCCCCCCCCCAGCCATGCTGCTCCTGAGCTTTGGCGCTTAGGGTGTAACATTGTTCATAGGAATTCTTTTGTTTTACAGCGTCCATATTTGGTCACCCAATCCTGCCCATTTTTATAGAGTCTTTTGAAATATTCAAATTGCCAAAGATAAAGACGCTCGAAGGCCCATCACTAGCGCGTGCAGGATTCCACGCCTTTGATATTACTTAGAATTTTTATTTTTCTATTTACGATAATTCCTAATTATGAAAAACTGTGGTTTTGTGATGTGCTGAATTTAAATAAGTTTTATAGATGAAGTTAATCGAAGGTTACTAAAGGAAAATCAAAGGGTAGCTTGCTTGCAAATCATAAGTGCAAATATTTTCTATCGTCGGGCTTATCAAATCTAAACCGATAAAGCTTTCTAATTTTGTAGCGCAACTCATGAAAAGGTTTCATTTCTTACCTATATTGCTAGCAACTTTTACAATATAAGTAAAATAAAAGTTTTTCGAATTCAGTTACAAGGCGAAGTAAGTTTTGTTTAAGTTTAAGCAAGCTAAATCATATCTGCGTACAGATTTGAAGACATTCCTTTGGCATTTGTGATCACTAAAAAACATTGAAGCTCAGTATATGAAGAAGAACTTACAATCTGTAACTCCATTGCTTCTCCAAGGCAGCAACATGAACAGAAAAGAGAGGATGGATACGCTAAAAAATGGCATATTTTGTTTGCATGAAGAAGTTCCCGTGTTTTCAATCTACATCTAGTTACGGAAGTAATCTGAAATTGGCTTGAGCAATTCCTCCACAGCGCACTTTCTGTGCAATAGAGTTATGTACGGAGAATGAGTTTAGGTTTTTCGTGCAATGGATCATGCAGCTCAATCGTCACAATCAATCGGATCATGCACCTCAATAATCACAATCAATGATATTGTGTACCACATTCATTAATTTTTCCTCTGTATGCAAGCTTTATACATGGTTAGCTGCGCTAAAGCTAAATAACGTCAACTAATTCGAATTATCATGGCATTTTTTAAATCACAGGGCATTTTTTAAGGATTTTTCAGTAGTGGGGCATTTCTCAAAAGAGGCCATGTCCACGACAAGAAATTTTATGGTTCTTCACATTGACTCTTGAGTTTCAAGATTTTATTCAAATTACTATTACTATGGCAATGCTGGTAATTACTATTCGAATGCTGGTAAACCAATTTGAAATCTTTACTTATGAAATGTTAAAGATCAGGAACCAAACAAGAAAAGAGATCCCGTTTAAAAGTTTTTTGTGAAGAATCTGGATGTCTATGAGAAATTTCTAACAAAGTTTTTAGAAAGGTTAAAAATCGGATCAGTCTTGGTTTAATTGGAACAGTATCACCGAGAGGTTTTGGAGGCCCTGTGGCAAAATGGAAAGGTGAGGCCCTTTGCGAGTGGGGTGAGCAGAAAACTTTGGCAACCATTCTCTATAGATTATCTAAAAATACATTTCAGAATATTTTTTTGAGCCACCATCCCCCTCCCCACCCTTCGGAGTTCATAGTTTTGGTGTTTCTAAAAGCAGATCACACAGAAACATTTTTATCATGGTCCTAAAAGGTCACCCAACTCTCTTTGTTCATTTCGTATAGCACCTAAGTATTTAAAGAACAATTTTTTGGTTATGCAGTTGGACCATTGAACCTTTCAGGAATTAGACAAAGTTGACAAATCTGTTGTTTGATATGTATGTCACTATTTTGTCATGTTTCAATTGTTAGTGGGCCAGGGCCCCAATTGGCTTAAACACCTCGTTGATATATTTAATAGCACATCTGCCTTATGTTCTTTTTTGAAAGGGCCCCACAATTGCCTAAGGGTTTTTTTAGTAAATGGGGCATGATCGTCAGTGGTGGGGGGAGTTAGAGGGCCTGGTGAGGCGATTCCCCCACCACTGATAAAAAATGCCCTAAAATCGTACATAACCAATGTTGCATATGTTTTCCTTGCAAAGTCCCAAATAAACAAAATTGATGAAAACTCAGAGATATCTTTCTTGAATATTTGGAAATTTGGAGAGTATCTTAATTGGTTGGTTTAGAGTTGCATATCTCGTTACATCTATGTGTCACGGTAATCAATCATTTAGCTTATAAATGTACCTTCGTGTTTTTTAAATTTTATGGGCATTTACCTATCATTGCAATCAACAAATCATGTACCACCGTAATCACAAGCAATCATATCATATACCGACAACATCACAATCAATCGAACAGTGAACTTCCATAATAAAAATCAATCGGATCGTGTACCTTTAAAACTACAATTAATTAGATAGTGTACAAACAACCAGAGCCAGATTAAGGCTCTGCAAGGCTCTGGGTCAAAAATATATTCGAGTCCCTATAAAGTTGTCAAATGATGACGTCACATAAATCTGTTTTTGGAATTTTTAAAATTTGTTCTCGTAAGCTGAAAAGGCATCATGAAATACCTCTAAATCTGCAAAATTAGTTAAAGGTATTACGAATTTGTTAGGGTATGACCAGATGAGCACATCCAATCAAACCTCTCTTATTTGGTCTCAGTTCATAGCATTATGATCTGAGCCAAAATATCAGTAATCTGTTGCCAAACTTCAATTCTTCTATTGACCATAGCTCACCTGGTTTTTGACACATTTAACTAATTTTGCATGAATTGGAGTATTTTCTGGTGTTCTTTTATGTTATGTCGTCAAAATTCGAAAACTCTAAAAACTTCACATTTGAGAACTCGATAAGAGTGGCGGTGTGATGACATAAAAATCAACTTTAGAAAGTTTGGATTTTGAATAAATGACATGAAAAGCATCATAAATAGGCTGTAAAATTTGCAAAGGTAGCTAGATTACAAATTGTTTCTTTGCAGTCAAACCACGCATTGTTTATAGTACGAAAAAGGCCCTTCCGTCCATTCAAAATGACTGCGTTCCTGCAACACACAAAAGTTCCTTTGTTTATGAATTTACGTACCAGTGTGATTCTGGCTACATAGGACGCGCTACCCAAAGATTGGAGGATAGAATAAAACAACATGTTCGTCGTTCCACCTAGCAGTTTTGGAATCTATCTGTATAAGCACGAAAAAGCCGCTACTGTGTAGACAAAAGGAGTTCGTTTTCACCTCCAGAACTCCATTGGTAACATTCTCAATAGGCAAGCGGCACTGATTGGTCAACCTCATCAGTCATGTGCTCGCGTTTCTGATTGGCCTATTTCTATCCACAACTAGGTATATATATTTCCTAGCTTAGAGTTTTCGATCTATGTTCTGACATTTTAAACTTTGAAGAGTGTCAGACGAAGAGCTTTAGTTTACTAAATGTTTGCTTTTTTTTCAAAGCCATTTTCAAGTTTGTACCAACAAAAGATTGATAGCTAGATCTGTTTTAGATTGGATGTGTTTTGACCACAAGAGTAAAGGTTCCTTCCTATCAAAGCGCTGTTCTTTGGTCCTTTTTCTAAAAAGAATTTAATTCAAATTCAAGTTTCCCCAGAAGATAGCATTTATAAAATCTTTTCAACTAACAGTGATGCTTTGTGCCCTACGCTTGCCTATTGGACACTGTAGTGTAAGACCCTACGTATTTGTTCAGGTGCTTTTACGTTTGGATCGTGAATGGTATTAAGTGTTATTACACGATGTTAATTGTTTTATTGTAAAGTGAGACAGAAGAGTCTTTATAAGGAAGGGTTTTTATAAGGAAGGGTTTTTATAAGGAATTTGGAGTGCTATACATTCTAAAGCTTTCCAAGAGCCATTATATGAACCTTTCTTGAAAGATCCTTGTAGTAGAATTCTATTTAGTTTGCAAAGAATATTTTCCAAATCTTTACGCCTTAAAGACGAAATAATTTGTTTCAGTAGTTCTTTCTTATTGTTGATGGGGGCAAAGTTATTGCTTTTGGCAAAACTTACAAAATAGTTTTGCTTTTGTTTATGCAAGACATGTATTTTGCATATTCCATTTGCGGCAGGCGTGGAAGTTCTGAAAATAAGAGACCTAAATTAACTCTAAAATCTTTGAATTTCAGCCTAATCATCAGAAATTTATTAGCAAACTTCAAGTGGCATAAATTATGCAACAGATTCATCTTGTTTGCATAATTAGATACTCTTCATCGAGTTCTTTCTGCTCATGCCTTCAAAATTTAAAACTAATTATATGTCCTTATGATGTCATCATTTTGGGACTCTGTTGCTCAAGTCTGGTTCTATCGCGAGGAGACACAATTGACCCAGCTTGTCTTGGCCAATTGTAGAAATCAAAATGTTTCAAACCATTAAATTTTGCACACATTGCAGATTTTTTAAAATACATTCAGGGCACAGAATAAGGTTTCCAACCTGGTGCCAAGGAGGCCACTTTTGCGTCCTCTTCCAATGATGCTATCATTATGGATAAAAAGTCTATGATGTAAGACTAGGGTAAATGCCAATCTCCATTGGGCGAAATTGTTTCGCTTTTGCGGTGGCGAAAAGCGAAAACAACATGACGCACAATCTCCAGCTAACGATTGCTTTGCGTGCCAAATGAAAAGCTAATATCTGCGTGCATTTCAAGATTTCGGATGAGAATACAAATAATCTGATTTTTGTTTGTTTCTTGAAGTAAGTTTTTGTTTGTTTCTAAATTGTAATAAGAAATTTTGTTATTTTCTCATCCAACACGAAGCTGCTTTTGGACTCAGACATTTTGCTATATGTACATAGGACTTCAAATTCGCCGGTGACAGTGGAAAAAGTTCAAAGAACAAATGGTATTGAAAAACTTGAAAGTGCAATTACGTAATGTTTAAGTAACTACTAAAAATAAATTTAGAATTTCAACCCCATTAGCATTAAGGTTGACATAACCTAAGATCATGTAGAAAAATTCATGACTATGATACTATCAAACAGGTACCTAAATACCGGGGTGTGCGAGAGTGTTGGGCGGTGTTCCCCAATTTTGATGTTCTGGGAACCGGTAGGAAATTTTTGCGTAAACGGAAAGTCTGATTCGTTTTTCAAATATTTTTTCGTGGTTACCACTTTTAGTGATTTATGATAGGTTGTGTGATTTGCGCCGATGCACTAACGGCCCAAATCACACTTGATGATGTGGGAACGTAGCCTCATGATTGACCATCTGATGTCTATGGTAGTTTTTCTGAGGGAGCTATGTGTCCTTTCTGAGGGAGCTATTGCATTGACATTTCATTCCCTAGTAAAACAGCGGGACCCTGTGCCATGGCCTAGTTGGCGTTTGGGTTAATCTGGCCCTTCAAACAACATCTCAAACCATCTGCTCATGCAACTCCATTTCCTCAATCGAACTGATAATGTCTCTCTATCATTTAATTCTATCATTTCAAGTACCAACATAATCTCAATCAATCGGAACATATACCTCCATTATCAAAATCAATCGGATCAAGTTAATCCATTATCACAATCAATAGGACCATGCAACTCCATCACCGCAACCAATCCCTATCACCTCCATTTCAACTGGATCAACTGGATCATGTACCTCCGCGCAGGGGCAGATCTAGCAAAAGTATCAACTGGAAATAATAAAGAGGTTATGGGTCATGTGACTAGAATTTGACCTTAACAAATTTGACCACGCCTTTTGCTCCAATTTAGGTGTGAGATCCGATTGTGATTCGAATTTTAACCCAATTCGTCCTGTTAACCCAAAACATATGTCTTTTTGGTTAGCTATTTAATATTGGTAGAATGTCTAGGTACACTTAATTAAAACCAACAGCCTAAAGCCTAAAGCTACCCAAAGCAAAGCATGTCTAAGGTTACCATGCCGTTTCTCTTACTTAAAACGTGATGGGCTTTATGAAAACTTAAACATATTACAAGGACATTAATTCATCGCAAGTTACATTCTTGCTCGTTATTTTTATGGAAGACATTCAGGTCAACACAAAATAATAAGAAAAACCATCTCCGTGAAAAGATTTTATGAAATGCCTACAAAGAATTTCTAATCGTATTGATGTCGTGAAAGATCTCATAAAGAATTTAAAGCTGATTATGTCAGAGAATCTTGAAACTAAATATGAAATCAACCCAGTATTTACGACAAATTTTGTATTGTTACTAAAACACCTAATATAATCATATAAACAGAAAACTCGATACAACTCCTTGAACTCCGCATTAAGTTGGAAAAATATTTCATACCGTTAAAATTTTATACGAAAGGCAAAAGAAGTCATTTGAAATAAAGCTGTATACAAGTTCCCTGTATAAACTGTAGGTGGGTTGAAAGAGCGTTTAATTCGCAGGCTTCGGGAAAGGGCACCTTAATGCACAAATGGCCAGCTTCTGTGAAAATGTAGGCGTAAAATTCGAAAAAGGCACACTCTCCCTGTACTTAAGAAAGTATTCAGACTAGAAGGGATATAATCGAAATTGTACACGGAAAGGTTTCATGGCTGAATTTATGCACGCTGTGTTAGTTAATTCCATTTACAAACAATTATTTATATCATTGCGCGATATTCTGATGTTTTATACCCTGAAGAGTCTCAGACGAAAAGAATTAGTATGTTTCAAAATATTTGTACATTTTCAAAGCCATTTATTTCTACTTCCTTTAGACAAAATTTGCCGTAAAAATTTTAGTGAACTCATGTTATTATTATTCTATACAGATGGAAATATGAAAGAAGCCAACAGTGTAACGTGTTTAAGCGGCAAATGAGTTGCACAAAAGCAATAGAAAGCGTCCGAAAGATCATCATAATCATCATGAGATTATTGCTTAATAATTCCTTTTGAAGCTTTTGTTAGACACTCTTATGCGTCTCCGTCACTGTGTTTGCTATTGAGAATTTCATAATTACTTCGGTATTGTGTTATTGTAAACTGCATATTTTTCATCTTTTATAATTGTTCTTGCAGTTTTTATGAGCCAAAAACCCATTCGAGATACTCATACTATCTAATGCATTTTTAATGTAATTGATATGAAATAATTTGTTTTCTGCATTTGAGATGAGACCGGGAAAAACCGACTTATTCCGGTTCAATCTGCATATCACGTACTGGAGTTGATTTCGTGTTTTACGGCTGATGTCTGTTTATGTTTGTGTTTACGATAATTGCACGCATACGATGCGAAAACATTAACTGCAACGCCATTGTCTTCGTGTTGATTAAAATTGTGTAAGACAACTGCATATAAATATAATGTACATGGTTACGAGTGGCCTTAACATATGGCCAATGAGTTTTGAAAGGCGAGGTGGAATCTGATGTATGGATTGTTAAAAACTATTCTGAAGAACAAGTCATGAAAGATGCATTCGAAGGCAAATTTATTCTAAGGCTAAGCAAATATTTCTAAGAAGTTATTTACAGCAAAGGAGAACAAGTGTTTTATGAGTATTTACATAGCTTGTAAGTTGACCCACAAAACACAAGTTGCATAGGCGCAGACTTATGTATGTTTTTTCCAGGGGGCGGGAGGTGCTCATCGATTTGCCTCCTTATTTGCCAGGGGACTGGGACCCCAAAATTGTCCTCAGGAGGGGCTCAAGCCCTGGAGCTCCCCTCCTAAGTCTGCGCCTATGAAAATTTGTTGCATAAAATATGGTATTTCATTTTAGGGTTACTGAATAATAGCACATTATATGGAAAGTCACGAAAGCCACGATTAAATTATCTGGTATAATTATACATTGAGGAAGAAAGCTAATACATTCCTTGAGAAACACGTTAAATATGATTTTCTCTGCAGAAGGACTCCCCAAAATTGTTTTTATCTTAAAAGTATTTGAGGCGAGACATGGCCAAATGCCAGAGACTTGGTCTCAATGTTCTAAAGTCGAGTTGTAGAAACATATATTTAAAATTCAATGAACAACTAAAATCTACGACGCAACAGAAATATTGCTATGATGCAAGGTCAAGCGGTAATATCCTTTGTTCACAATGCCCATTGAACACTACGCAATCAAATTCAACTTTTCGTGTCGATAAAGAACAAGGTAGGAATAAATTCTTTGTGCTTTGTTGTCTCTTGCTGTCGTAAATAAAACAATTTAGTCGACCTTTCTTACCACAACTACTTTCATGAAAATTTCCATGCAAATCCAGAGAAATACTTCACATGAGAAGACAACTGCCACCCTTTTTTGATTTTAAACTTGGACGATTAACAGGTTCCAAGAAATACCCTTCCTTGTTCACCTCCTCGTTCCCAACAGTATTGAAAGCACGTTCCTGCGTTTCTGAATTTTGAGGCTCAATAATCTTAATATCTCCTTTGCGGTTTTCAATTCTTTCGTTTTCATTCAACAGAGCATTATAAATCGAACCAACATCTTGTCCAGTTTTTGCAGAAATCTCAAAAAACGGACAATCTATTTCTTCAGCAAGTTTACTACCCTCAGTCTCGGAAACCTTCCTTCTCGTAGCACTTACATCCGATTTATTCCCGACAAGTACCATCGGAACTTCCCCCTCTTGCTTGCATTTCTTTTCTGGGATTTCTTTCCAAAGAGACTTTATCATCTCAAAACTCTTGCGATTTTCTACAGAATACACCAGTACAAACATGTCAACTTCCATAACTGTCAATCCAAACATGGCGGGAAACTCAAACTGTAAATCTCCAGCCGTGTCGTAAATTTTGAACATGATCATGGCTTCGTCGTCATTTCGCATTACATGTTTTTCATAAATTTCAGACACTGTAGGTTGATATTTATCTGTGTAAGTATCTGATAAATAACGGTGAACAATCGACGTTTTTCCAACACCTTTGCTTCCGATAAATGCCGTTCTAAAAACCAGTGAAGACACTGTTCTGTGGTCAGAATGACTTTTTGACCTCAACCGCGGCAGTCCAAGCAGAGAATTTGGCCTTTTCTTCAACTTATCAAAATGGCTGATGAGTTTGTCGTCTATCATATTCAACGAATGTCTCTTTTGGTAATTTATTCTAGTGACACCAGTAGTGGGAGACAAGTGGTTTTCGCTGCCCATCATGATTCAAGTCGATCGCTCCCAAAACTTTGCCTTTTTGTTTACAACTGCAATGTCAGACTTTCAATGCATGCACGGCTGACGTATTTAAATTCTCCGTTCCTGCTTTTGATGCAAATCAGAACCGATGATACCTAGTTTTGAATAGAATGCACCTTTTTGTGTTTACCAGCATGCGATTTTCAAATACGAGGTCCTTGCGAGAATTTTCAAAAAAAAAACATTTACGAAAGCGCAAAGGAAGTATAATTTAGTAGTTACCTTCCTGAGAAACATGTCTTTTAAGTCGACTTTGTGTGTTTCTTTAACGTTCTTTTATTAACGTAAAGTGCCTTTTGCTCCATAGTTCAGTTTCCTCCCTGAGACTGATCCGTTATTTAACTCTCCATATGTTCAGTCATGGTTCAGTCTTTCCATCAACTAGCACAATAAGATCTAACCGCATTTCAATAATGCTATTTATTTTACAAGATTTCTTCCTTTCGAAATTGTAAAGCAAAATCCTTTGTCAGAGAAATCAAAGAAAGCAACACTCTAAAGACATTGATTTGAAACGCTCTTGGCCTGCTGCTCTATAAAAGGTGAAATGAAAAGAGTTATAGAAAGAACTTTTAGTTGATGACGTAATTAAAACGCATTATGGAGTTTTAATTTTGGACCGATAGAGTTTTGTGAAATAAGAGGCTTATTGATTTCTTCGAAAACTTACAGTGTTCTTTTTTGTGATTTGTACGCGATAACTGATAAGTTCTGTTTCTGCAAAAACCTGGCCAATTTTCATTTGGCTTCCTTTCCATTTCCATTTCGTGCAATGGAACATGCCCGAGGAAGAGGAAAGTTTGATCTAATTGCTAACTTATTTATGTATTTCTATTATTTTATTTTAGTTGCATTGATTCAGTAAATCACTTTCTGTATCATTGCAATGTTTTTATTTTGGAAGTGTAAACATGGCCTTCTCGAGATAAGAAACTGCACATTCTGTTTAGGAAATAAAACTCTCCCAATCAAAACAACATTGCTCTGTCATTCACAACTATGTGCAATCTGAAGCGAAAGGTTACCGTTTCTTTCCTTCCCCAACATCTATCGCTAGCGTTTTAGCATGACATCCCCCTCCCTATTTTTCAAATAAACAATTATTAGTTTTTTAGCAGTATAGTATTTTGCTAAATTTTAGTCTGGGAGATGCTTTTTAGCCCTTTTACAAGGTATAATTTCAAAAATTTTCTTCACGTCCGACCCAACCATGGTGGGTCCTCCTACCTCACTAAACTTGATATGCCATGAAATAAAAGCTTTATTACAAAGGAAAATCAAATTTGACATTTAATTTATGCTCACGTAAAACAAGATATTTCATAGGCAATGAAGTTTCAAGTTTTTTTATTGCTTAGGAGTTTGTTCTTGGTAAAGACTAATTTACACTGGTAAAGCTTTCACTAGTAACCTATAGACAAACCTTTGCTACGAGGTCTGCAGGGCACCACTCATTATCGCAGGTCAGAAATCCTTTTCACCCCCCACCCCCAAACCTATTGGTCAAGTTACGCCCTTGTAAACTCTGCCTGCTTCTACCGATGATAGGTAATACTTTTTATAGTATTCAGAATGACTGTGACTCAGTTCGAAGCACAGCTTGTTGCTGAAGTTATGACGCAATGCCTTGAACATTATTAGTTGAGAGGTCAAACGGTACGAATTCGGTGGAAAAAAGTTGCCTTTTTCGAAAACGGAAAGTGGTACAGTAAGCGTACCGTTCTTGAATTTCAAAATATCTTCTGCGCATGCTTGTACCGTTTAAAAAATCCACGTTTAGTTTGAACTCGAAAATGTCCAATATTGCCCGCAATGCCCTATTTCCTCGACGCCCCACTTGCTACACTTGACGCTCTGGAACCCAGGGTAATCTTTAGCTAGATTAGAAGTCCGAAAAAAGTTTACCTGATAATACCCTTGCTTGCTGCACATTACAAGGTACTTTTACTAGAAAGAACCAACCCATTTGCGCTGAAGAGCGAAAAGAAATACTACATTTGTCGTGATTTTTATAATTGTCTAATGCTATAAAATGGGTAGAAGGAAATTCGCACTTAGATGGTGGTGGGGGATAAAAAGGAACCTGGCACTAATAAGTTTCACAAAGCCCATAAGCATAGGTCACCCTAGGCCCATAACCGCTGCAAAAGCCTCAAATTCATTTTTCTTGCCCAGTCCGACATTTCCCTCCCTAGACCGATATGGGCCTCCCTAGACTGATATGGCCGAAGAGTCATATTGATGCAAGGGGTCATATCGGTAACCCTGGGCCCATAACCGCTGCAAAAGCCCTCATATCCATTTTTCTTGCCCAGTCCGACATTTCCCTCCCTAGACCAAAATGTGCCTCCATAGAGCGATATGGCCTAAAAATGATATTGATGCAAGGGGTCATATCGGTAACCCTAGGCCCATAACCGCTGCAAAAGCCTCAAATTAATTTTTCTTGCACAGTCTGACATTTCCCTCCCTAGACCAAAATGGGCCTCCATAGAGCGATATGGCCGAAGAGTCATATTGATGCACAGGGGTCATATCGGTCTGGAATAGTAAAACTCTCAATGGGCAAGCGGCATTGACTGGTCAACAGTCATGTGCCTGCATTTCTGATTGTCCTATTTCGATCCACAACTGGGTATACTTATTTCCTAGCGTAGAGTTTTCGATCCTCTGAATAGGCTCAGACGAAAAGCTAAAGCTTGTTTGATGTTTCAAAATGCTTTCTTTTTTCAAAGCAATTTATAAACTGTAACGACCCTTGACAGTTTATGATTGTATTACATTGTATTGTTTGGATTGAAGAAGCTTAATGCTGGGACGTTTTCTGAATTTAAGCACAAAAACAAAAAACTTTAACATCAATCCTATCATCCAATAGGAGTCAGAGTAGCAATCAAAGTGCAATTTATCCTGGGATTTATCAGATTAAGTACTCTTTGCTGGCAACAAAAGATGATATAATTATATCAGTAAACGATTAAATCCTCAAAGGCTTATGATTTTTAGATGCTTCACATGACCGTTGTGTCTCTACTTCGCTTCTGCTGAGGGTAGATCTATGGCCGAATTGCATTTTATATAGAATTCTGATTTTGGGAAAAAAACTCTTGAAAAAACCATACCTTTAGTAAACTAAAGCTTTTCGTCTGACATTCTTCAAAGTTTAAAACGTCAGAACATAGATCGAAAACTCTACGCTAAGAAATATATATACCCAGTTGTGGATCGAAATAGGCCAATCAGAAACACGAGCACATGACTGTAAAGGTTGACCAATCAGTGCCGCTTGCCTATTAGAATGTTACCAGTGGAGTCCTTAGGTGAAAACGAACTCCTTTTGTCTACACAGTAGCGGTTTTTTCGTGCTTATGTAGATAGATTCTAAAACTGCTAGGTGCTATGGTGGAACGACGATCGGGCTTTACCAAATAATCCCAAACATGTCGCCATTATAGTTTTTTGCACAATCTGGGTTTTCTAGCAAATGCTGCCCGATAGCAGAATCGCAAGTTTTAGTTGTAATTTTAGATTTGCAAGATCGAGGTGGCTGTTCTCTTTGGGGATGGGTTTTGTTTCTAATATTAGATGGAACATGTTGTTTTATTCTATCCTCCAATCTTTGGGTGGTGCGTCCTACGTAGCCAGAATCACACTGGCACGTAAATTCATAAACAACAGAACTTTTTTTGTGGCAGGAACGCAGTTCTTTTGAATGGATGGAAGGGCCTTTTTTTGTACTATAAACAACACGTGGGTTGACCGCGAAGAAACAATTAGTTATGGCCTGTTTTATTTGGCTTTCAAAACGTAGGGAGCTGTTACCGATCCAGGGTAGTTTTAGATAGACCGGGCACTTTTGAGGACCAAATTTTACGTCAGCCGAGAAATTTCCTATCTTCTTCTTAATGTAAACTGAAATAACATCTTCTGGAAAGCCGTTCTCCAGAAAAATCTTAGTTAGTTTTTCAAGTTCCGAGTCGAGTTTAGACTTGGAACAAATCATCAGTGCCTTATGTGTAAGCGTTTTGATGAGGCTGATTTTTCTTTGTTTTGGGCAAAACGAACTCCATCGAGTGTATAACCCCGAAAATGTGGGTTTACGGTATACACTAGTGAGAAATCCAGTGTCAGATTTTTCAACCAAAACATCCAGAAATGGCAAGGAGTTATTTTCTTCCTTTTCAAATGTAAAATGTAGGGCTGTGTGAAGGCCATTAAGGCGTTTTAGGAAAGTATCACACTCAGCCTCTGTTTAGAATATAGTATATGTGTCATCCACGTACCGAAAATAGACACCTGGCTTTTGGTCGTAGTCGAACAAACGTTCTTCGTAAAAGCCAACAAAGACATTGGCCAGCCCAACCCATGTCCCAGAGGGCTACCCATAGCGACACCATCCTTTTGTTGGTACATTTCATTGTTAAAACTGAATTCAACTGAACGTGTTGCAGTTTCCATCAGTTCAATGAATACTTCCTCTGGGAATGGTGGGCTATTAAGCTCGCTCCGGTACAAAGCGTCGGCACATATTTTGATGATCTCACTCGAAGGAACATTTGTGAAAAGACTGCTGATGTCGAAAGAACACATGAAAGATGTTTCGTTTTCGATGTTCAAGTTTCGCATGAACTCAGCGAACGTAAAAGAGTCCTTGATACAATGTTTTGAATATTTTTGAAGAACAGGGTCCAAAACTTCAGAAAGCCACTTAGCCAGTTTAAATAGGAGTGGAATATTTTCTTTAAAATTGGCTATGAAAAATGCAAACATTTCAAAACATACTTAAACTTTTTATCGGACAATTTTACAAAACGAATGCCATTTCACAATATTTAATCATTTTCTAATAATTCAATATGGATATCATCATTTATCATGAGTTTAAAGAACTTAAATGAAGAAATATAAAAACTTTGTGATACTAAATAATAGCAATACAGATTATATTATCAAAACTATGATTACAAACAAAGGAATAAATATAAAACTTAATCAGACCCTGTTGCCTTGCGGTACAAATCTTTGTAAATTTCGCTCATACTGTCGTTGAAGAGCTGTCTGTGTGTTTTGTTTGTATAATGGTGAGAATCGCTTGACCAACATTTTCTTGCGCTCAATGGGACAACAACGCTGCAAAACACAAATTATGTTTTGAAATGGCTTAAACGGCGGTAAACATGGTACTGAAGTACAGTTGAACCCTATTAAATCTAGCAACTCGGGCATTCCCTGACAAAGACTGATTTTCAATTACCATTTTATATTCCTAACTTATTCTAGTCAAATTTCGTACTCAGGGCTCAGACATTCGCTAAATCAGATTTTTTCCATACAAAAACTGCAGGATCGACTCAACTAAATCCGTCGGTTTACATTTTTTTCAAACTTGTCAGGGTCGTGTAAAATATTGGCTAATAACCAAAAGCTGAAAGAAGCAGCGTTATAAATATTTGTTATTATCTGACTCAATACTCTGAGTAGTGTCAAACAAAAAAGTATTTCAATTTCATGTTGCAATTCAATTTCAGTATTGGATTTTCTGGCCTTGGCCTTAAAAAAACTGTAAAAGAGACAATGTTGTGATCTTGTGGCACATACTTTTAAAAAGGTGAAGTGACTATCATCCATCTTACTATTCGAAAAGAAAGTTGACATAAATAGGAATCTACCAAAAGTGATAAGTTCATTTTGCGTTGATAAATATCTTTTTGAAAATTATCGGAAGAAATATTTGAACATGTTTTGTTTAGAAGATAAATTGTTTAATAGAACAATGGGAATGAAATGGGAGGTAAGTCTCAGCTGATAACAGAAATGACAGAACATTCAAGAAACCTAAAAGTTTGAACTTCAAACAAATTGATTTTGATCTGATTCATAACTGGGCACATTGAAAACAAGAATACTATTTAAGTCAGTCTTTAAGTCAGATGCCACATAGATAATATCATCCTATGGATTTCCACCCATGAATAGATCAGTTAATAATCGGTTATGTATCATGGCCGAACGAACATATATCATTGTTCGTTTTGGCACTAACAACGAGACGACAATTAGCATAAATCTACCTTCTACCCGGAACTTCCTTAGAGATGCTTCTCTTGCTTGGACTTTCAGGCATCGGGACATCGTCATCAGATCTAAAATATTATGTCACAACGTTCAAGCAGTTATACAAATTTAATATGTCATAATATTACTATGAAAGCGTCATCGACACTGGTTGTTTCGTGACGTATTTATATGTATCACTTAGTGTAGTGACGTATGTATCATGATAGTGTGTATAGGATCGTCGCATGACGGGCATCGCAGACGGAAATTAGGATGGCTACTAAGTATGCTCGTTAATAGATCAAGATTTACTTCGCCTACAAAGACGCTATAGTTAACAAGCTATCAAGATGAACAATTTTCAATTGCAATCAAATTTCAACAGAATTATGATGATAATTATCTTTCAAAACATTGGTAAATAAATAAAGGAAAAGTTGAAAAAAATAATTCAAAAGTAATTGTTTGAGGGGTTATAAAGTTATAATACATACATGTCACTCATCAGGGAGTCTTCGAGTTCAGAATCTGTCAGCTCATATTGCTTGATGAATAGAAAATTATAAAATAGAAAGGAATTTTGAAATGAAAAGAAAAAAAGCCGGGTGGTGTAAAGAAACGATAGAGACAACATCAAGGAATTGTTGTTAAAAACAAAGGAATCTAAATTAACAATATCAACATAAAAAGTTCTCCTTTCAGTTTAGAATTATGCTACGAAAATAAGCATTATGTAGAACAGTATGATAATTATTCAGCTTAGACCTACTCGGTACTCATTTAAAAAAGAAATATTTGTTTGCAATTTGTTTGTTTTTATTGATTCAGGTAAAAATTGTTGATAAGTAAGTTTTATTAAGATAAGTTTTATTCCTTGCAGACACTTTGGACCAAGCCAGTCAAGGGTCGGAGTGTCAAAGCAATAGAATGTGAGGATGGCTCATAAGTCAGGGTCACGAACTTATGAGGACAACAGACTAAAAAGCCTCTGGGTCAAGCCCCTGCCATGCTGTTATGGTCATAGCTTGTACTCAGAGTGAGGCAGGTCCCCAGGACTCTGTAATCCTAGACATAGGCAGTGGCGTACCCAAGGGGGGAATAGGGAGGTCCGGACCCCCCCTACTTTTCTAAAATATTCTTCTCCAGATTTGTCCAAAAAGGATCTAAAACTCATTTGGTGGGGGGGGGGGGTTTGTAGTATACTGTACATTTGTGTCAATAACAATTGTAAAATACTTTGCTATTTACCGTAGCTAACATGAATTAAATAATGAGGGGAAATTTTGCAAAAAGGGCGTTTCCCCGCATTTGGGAGTGTTTGAAGAGCCCCCACACCCCCCTCCCCCCACTGCTGCAACCCTGGGCACGCCACTGGACATAGGAACCACGAGATTTGGTTACATCAAGAGGAGGTACACTGCAGGACGGCAGCTTCTCTGTGTCTCAAAAACTACTACCTGCCGAAGCTAAGTACTAAAAGAAAAAACAACATTTTTCGATGGTCCGTTTATATCGAACAAGAAACATGTCTATCTAAAAAGATACGAGACATATCCCCTAAGCACCAATTTGGCCGACCTGAAAACTAAATTAAGCTAAGATTGTAAGCGCAGAAGCAGCAAATATTAGTCTAAAAATCCAAAATGAGTAGACGTATGAGATAAAAATTAAAAATGACAGACACTGTTGAGACAAAAAGGAACGTTGCGTTCCGCGCTTTCTGCATTTTATTCAAAGATTTTTGCTTACCAATACAGAATCGTTTTTTCTCAGCAAATCCTTTACTGTGCTGCGAACATGTGATCTAGTAATGTTGTGCTCTGGTGAATCCGAATTTTCAAATATCCTTGCTCGATTGCGGTTTCTCTCACTCGATACCGCTAAAGCCGCGCGGTAACGGTCTTCATCGTCAAATGACACAGGTAAAGTGATCGGGATTCTTGCACGGACAGTTGGCATTCCAGGTTTGCTGCTGGGAGAGCGATTGCCGCGCGTCGAAGGATGCGGGGACGATCTTGGTCGCTCTTGCACCGAATTCTCTACGTATTGATGTCGCACACTTCTGTTGCTTCCATTTGGAGATGTGGTACAATTAGTGCAGTCAGGTGCTGGTAATAGGCATTTCGGGCAGGAGAAAACTAGCAAAAGATTCAGACATGTCAAAAAACAACAAAATATGCATTTAATTTTGATCTCTAACGGACCAACGATCTTCAAATTTGCCCTCGTATATTCCAATGCCCTTTCATTGTCAAAAGACTAGCGATGCAATATGAAATGATAAAAAAGTCTAAAGTATTAAGACTCTTAACAATGCAAGAGCTTCAGAACAATTTTCAAATCGTTTTGTTTCATGCATAAAACTGTATGTCTGAAAGATGTATGTCCGAAGATTTTTTGTCCGAAAGTTTTCGAATGAAATTCAAATTGGATTTCAAGAGCTGAATCTTACACATAGAAACATTTTTTGCAAAAAAGAAACATAAAGACAACAACATTTAAAGGTGAATAAGCTCTTTAGAGATGCTTTTATGTTATATTTTGAGAGGTATTTTCCAATATGGGTTATCAAACATGTTGGTGTTAAACGAAGAACAAAAATCCATGATAGCTCCTCCAACAAAGATGGAATCATAGAGAATCTATTATGCATTTCATACCACAAATACACTTTAGTGTATAGAGCAGGATGCTTGTAGATTGCAACTCCGAATTAAGGTGAACACTAATTTGCAACTGAGAACCTTCCTGTTCTATGAACATAAGCACGTGAAACTCTGTGTCAAGCACTAATTAAAGGGCCACTAATATGGTGAACATAAATACCTGTGCTATCTCCGAAAGTTATTCTTTGATATCTTCTCGGTGAATTGTTGAAATCTCGTTTTGATATGAGATCTTGTGGGGCCCGGCCAGCCTTGAAAGGAGGCTTATGGAGCGATGTCTTTTTAGGGTTTCCTCGGCTAGGTGAAACTGATTTCGAAGGAAGGCCATTTCGGTAACTTTCTAGTCGGTTAGGGCATTCACAAATGCAGTGTTCTTCATGCTTTACAACGCTGCGCTTTGGTGAATGCTTCCGCCTCGGTGTTGTGATGATTGCTTCTTCTTCGGTTTCTGAGGAGGAAGAGGGAGGTCGTACCAATGGAATCTTTCTCGCAGAGTTTGTCTGTAAAACGAAAAGGGAATATTCAAACCAACTCCAAATGCCAAAAGGTTCTTTATTGAATAATATCTCTAAAAATGCATATATTTTTTGGCTAAATTTAATAATAATCATCATGCAATGTATGATTATGTATGAAGTAACATATAAAACTTACAGCATAAGAACAAGCCTACTCTTCAAGTAAATTGAGAAGCAATGATACACTTAGAGAACAAAAGTATTGCGCAGCCTGAAGCATAGCGGCAGGACTGCTGCGAAATTACATAGCTTAACAAAAATTCAAATAGCTACAGTAAGTTTTATAAACGTTGTAAGATCTGAAAATGGCACGAAATAGCGAAAACATAGCGTACTAGAGTATTTCTCATCCGACTCGCGTCAGATAATTTCAGATAATGACCGAAAGTAAGCTGAAAATTTATCTCCAGGTGTGGATCGAAAGAAACGCGATGAAAGAAAATTGCGGAAGATTTACCAAAATCTGGTATCAAAAATAAAGAAAACAAGCGTATTCTCAATTTCTGCTTGTTTTTAAACGATATCGACACTAGCGAAAACAAGAAAATATAGCTATCATGACAAAAATACCTGTAAAATATTTCCATTGAAAAGGCTTTTGGTTGCACAAAACAGCAAGATCTTATCAAAATGAACTCGGAGATGCCTATTTATTTTAAGGTGCCTAAAACTGTTTGTTTTCCTTACCGTTATTAGAGTATTAAACTTTGGTGATGCAACGGGCCTGATTTCGGAGACAATTTTATGATATGTTGCAGCAGAATTTAGTCAATTACTTTTGCCACAAACTCCCAACTGTATCTTTTCCAATCTATTGAAATGTTGATTACGGAACAAATAATTTGCAAATTCCTAAAGAACAATTTATCTCCTTATTGAAGAACAAAGTTCCCGCGATAGACAGGTATACCAAAGTATCTCAATATCATTCGAAGAGTCGCCATAAAAACGTCAGGATATATATTATTTTCCAAGAACTCTAACAATTTTTTTTCTAAAATTGTCATTTTGTATCTAACAGAGCCTGTCGTTTTACGCCTGCCTAAAAATGCTTCAAAGAGGTTTCAAACCGTCAAGATTAATAAATAAATAATAAAACTACTAGATATTTTAAAAATTACTTTTTGAACTGTTGCCATTAGTTTGGGGCTTTGTTTGATTAATTTTCAACAATTGACAGACTTGTTCGGGAGATGTAGTAGTGTGAAACCAATTGTTCTAATACAGCAATATATATCCAATGAACAGCCGACGCAATTACACGTTTTTGGATTTATTGTTATTGTCAAATGAAATGCATTGAATTAGGGCTTTAAGATACTCAGAATTGTGCTAGATAGCACCAATGTGCAGATTAAAACTACCTACTTATAAATACATTTGTCATAACCTCGATAAATTTTCAGCGTTTTCAACCTGATGTTCCAATGAACAAAACCAATCTTAACCCTTGTTAGGTTTAAATTGCAACCTTAAACGCATGCGCAAAAAAATGTCACTATTTTTATCGATGCTCACTTATCTCCTCAACAAGACGACTAATGGCTTCAAATAGAATCTTGAATCTCGATGGCCATGTTGCTTACAATGCTGACGCCATTACTCATTTGTCAAATATGCTCAAAGTTTACTAAGTGTATAATCAAAGTTCGCCGATCCAGAAAATCCAGGATGTTTTAAAGAATTTTCCGATAATAATCAGAGGTTTCTGGAAATCTTGCTATGTTTTTGGACAAGGCTTTTTGTGTGCTTTCTGTCTGGAGTTAAAGTTCTGTTAAAGCAATTACAATTAAGCTAAGATCCAAATATGATTTCAGCTAATACTTTTGATGGTCTAATTTCAAACAATTTTGTTTTCTTGCTGTTTTCAAACTATTTCTGCATATCTTCGACTGATAAAGAATTTCAGATATAAAACTAGACTAAGGCCTGGTTCAAACGTCGCACTTCTCGTGTGCCGAATCTAACTCTGTTTGGAGCGACACTTGAGCAGGTTTAGCGCGACTCCCGTTTCAAACGTCGAACTTAATCATGTCGCGCCAAATGGGTTTTAGAATTGTTACATGAAGTATCTTGGTTTAAAATTAAGGCACAAAGCAAAACAGCGACGAGAATTCAATGTTATGGATAAATTTTCAAAATAGATTAAATTAAATATAATTATGCATTGAGTTCGGTAGATGACAAGTTCGATGCTTGAAACCGTGCCGTGCTGGAGTCGTGCAGCTCGGCAAGCTCTGGCGATCCAGACTAGTTTGCCGCTCCTAACTAAATCTGCCGTACCAAATTGATTCAAACGTCGCGCCCCTCATGTACTTAATTCTCGAGTTAGGTTCGGCACATGAGAGGTGCGACTTTTCAACCAGGCCTTAATTGGACTATATTTATCTTTAAATTTTGGCAGGCAGCTTATAAACAAGAATAGCTTACATTTTCCTCTAAGATTCATCTTATGCTGCTTTTAAACAAAGGCGTATGAGGGCAAAGTAATATGGTATCATTGCAATCTTTACGTAAAACGCAGAAAACTATGCCAATACGGAAAATGCAGCAAAGAGGCATGGAGTTAAATACCGTTCTGGTTGGTGAAATCCTAGATCTTGAAAGATGTTCTCTTGAGCTTGATGCAATACTGGTCTCTTCAATTCTGGTGCTTGTTGTAAATGATAACTGTGGATCAATGCCCTAAGAGAAAAATAGTAAACAGTGTGTCTTTGATCAGAATGAATTAAGAATTATTATCATAAAAGTTAATTTATTTTCAGTAAGACACATTTCAAGAAAACCGAGGTAGAGCTAACCAAAGCCTATCATTTGCATGCGGGAATGATATGCAGCACGAAATAAATGTAAAAAAGGACATAGTAAATGTGTATCTTTTTATTAAAAATCGAAAGTTAAAAAAAGGCTCGAGTCAAGTTCTCAGTCGACATTCTACAGCACGAAGTTATCAGTTAATCTAACGTTATTTCCCGACTATGTTCCATGCATAAATGTTTACAGCATCAGTGACGTAATCAACCTTTTTTAATAAAGGGAGGGATGGGGGCAAAAGGGTTCAAGGCCTTTTTAATAGTTTCAAGCATTATTTGCATCGCAAAAAGTTTACTAGCTCGAATAATTAGAGGTTGTTCCCCTGCCCCCATTGCATACGCCACAATAACATACAGGCATCTCTTCAACATTCTGCTTCCCTTGCCTTGGTCAATGCCTGTAGGTGGTGACATCACAAAATGTTTATTAGAAATTTCGAACTCAGATCACATCTACTGAGGGAGTATTTGGATAATCTCTAAATGTGAAAAAGCAATCACATGTGGCAGAAATTGATCAAGATATGGCCACATAAGCACAGGCTCTTTTCATCAAATCATTGTTATTTGGTCACTGAAACTCTACGAACCAAACCAAAATCAAAATATCAGACTGGACCAATAATTAGCTAATTGTCCATATTCAAAAGCATTTAGTAGCGCTGTTTCAGACTGTGTGGCCAAAAGTCAAATAGCAAAAAAATAGGTTCTTTCAAACGTCGCTATCTAGAGCCCTATTCTTTTAAGATTAATATAGCCCCAGGACACGAGAGCAAAATTTCCCATAAACAAAATATTCTTGTATAGAAAACTTTGACCGATCAATACTGCACCCCACCAGGAACGCCTTTGAGCTCCTAGCAACAGTCCGGCATACAACAGCTATCATTCAATTAAAGAAGAATATTCCCCTACTGTGATAAAAGGTGGTCTTACTAGGTGTCCGATTATAGTAATATAGCCCGTTAGTAAACCGTTCGGATTTAAAGGCTCTGCGGCGTGTTTATGATTGAAAATTTTTTTTGTATAGTCTTTCCAGCAGAATGTAAATTGCCATCAAAATGCGTCGAGGCATAGGCCTTTGGTGAGATCTGACCAACAGATTCTTTACAGTATAACAGAGAAGGGAATTATGTATGCAATAATTCAACTGAAAGTTTGATTATCATGATTATAAACTGGATACATGGCTCGATGGCTTGCCCAAAGTTCTTTCCATGTGTCCATCAGCCTAAAATTGTTTAATTTTCATTGCTGAATTATAAAATATTGGGGTTGACCGTTCATTGTTATTTAGGCAAATTTACTTGGATATTGTATATTAATTATAAGTATGTTAACCAGTATATTGTAATTAATCAATTTTATGTTGAAAAATGTTTTGAGTTTGAGTTTATCAGAAATTCGAGTGATGCGTGCAAACGCTCCATGTCATTCATCCCCCATTGAAGGTAAAAGTCGGAGGTACAACTTAAAACCGTCCAATTATAAACACCAAATCATGAAAAATTGTCTATACACTATCCAGCACCATGCAAAAGGCCTAACGTTTCATGATTGTTTCTTGTTAAATTAGCAGCAATAGACACTGCTTATAAGAACAGCCCTTATAAGGAACATCGGGCTGCGATTCGTCCAAAAAAGAACAACATAAGAAATTTGTTCAACAAAACTCAGGAAATGAAATAGCAGAAAAAATTGAAAAATGAAAGAACAGCAACAGAAAAGACATAAAGCGATAAGCAAAATAGCATTAGTTACTTTATCGATCACATGTTATTTTCGGACACTATTATGCACAGGAAATTCCCTTAAAAATTATAAACAAAATAAGAAACACGCTAGGCTGAATCAATTGTAAAAAAGGAGTGCATGATATTACATGTATCCTTTTAAAAAAAAGAAAGGTGGGTATAAGAATAAAAATATAACAAAGAAACCTACACGTTCAATGGGGTAATTTTGTGTTCTTGCCAGCAATATTTCGCGATTAACGTCATCCTTTGGTGCAAATGAAGGCGTTGGAAACAAAAACTGTCTAGAACACTGCTCGAATCTTGCTAGAACTTTGCCGTCTAAGAAAAGATAAAAAGCAAAGTTGCGAGACGTGCAAGGTAGATAATGTATCAGACTGTATAGAACAATAAAAAGGGGGTATGCAGCGGTAAGTATAAAAATGTCAGGAAAGGCAGAAAGCATTTAATGCCGTAGTCATGAGCATTTATAAAAGAGCTTCTGAACTAGGGAGAAAAATGTATAACGATTCTGACATCAAATGCTTATCATCGGTAACGTATCATGTTGGAGTATTTGTAAGCACCATTGCATAGCATGGAGCTTGTTACTTTGTACTTTCAAGCCCCCTTTTCAAGTCTACAGCATATTAAAATCATATATGTAATGTAACAAGATATATGTAATGTTGAACCATTCGGTGTGCCATTGCAAAGTACTGAATTTTGATCTTTGTATGATATTTTTGAGCCATCCTATAAGGTCATCCTATTAGGCCATCATATTACGTCATCGTAATTTTTTCAAACAAATCCTCCAAAAAATGAATAGCAATATAAAACACAGACTCCTCAACCAGGCAGCCCTATGTGTACCATCCCAAACATAGCAATGAAACGTAAGGGGAGCGGCATACCGTCATATCTTTCTGAATATTGCCTCAGTTCAATGCTAACAATCTCATCTAAAAAAGAAAAAAGTGTAATGATGATATCATAGAAGGTAATCGCATCCTCTTTTACGATATAGACGTATATAGGCGTGCATTTAATTGGATAATAAAACTTCATAAAACTGTGCTCTTAGACCATAGAAGTAATGTTTTCTATCAAATCTCTATTACTACAAATCTAGAAAGGGAAGGGCTTGAAAATTGAAGAGCATGGAAATCAAGAAAATGAACAGGGCATGCCTAAAGATTGGATATAACTGCAAATAAAATTACCCAACAACCGAACAACAATTTCGATATTAACTACTGTTCAACAAACTACAAGAATTATTTATCAGTATAACAAAATAAGGAACAAACTTTAACAAATTGAAAATACCTTCCAATATTTCAAGTACATGGTCCAGTGTCCTTGCATTGGTAAAAATCTGTCAACAGGGCAGTCAAAATCACATTTCGACAACAACATTGAAATCTATTGATAATTGCAAGCTTGCTAACCAAGAAATTGTCCTACTCTATATTCTTTGTATGTTTCTTTTCATGAGATCATATGAGAAAGATATCAAAACATTTACAACAGGCAGCCTATCAAAAAGTACCTTATATAGGGAGCTTGTAGCATTTGAAAATTATGAGATGAAAATGTTTCAACACCAACAACCACAACATAATAAAAAATATCATATAGCTAGAAAACAATGAATTTAAGGCTTAACATATGAAGGTCATAGCAGCTATCATTAGACTTATACGAGACCATGGCACTAGTATTTTAAAAAGGGTCTTAACATGCTATAAAGATCAATGCTTTTCTGGCCTCTCTGGGAAAAAATACTATGTGGGCAACAAAAGGCCCTTGCCAGTTTGGCTGCATGTTGTTAATTTTTTCATATTTGGGTATTTACAAAGGCAACAATACATTTCCTTGCTAATTCTCTAAGCACTATTCGGGTGAAGAAGGCATTTTTGCGTGTATTACTACCTTTAAATGAGAGAGATAAGGAACATATTTTTTTGGAATATAGAAAAGTTTTGTTAGGTTTTGCAGGTTAAATGTGGCGTTTTTGCGAATGCCTAGTTTATATGTTTTGACTTGAAAAAAAAAATTTTTTGTATTTGAAAGCATGGTGTAACATTTCTCACTTTAATTTTTTGTAGTATTTATCATGCTATATGTTGTTCCTTTTGTGCATACACATTTCCTATTCCATTGCAAGTTTTAGCAGCCAATATAATAGATTGCTGACATTTCCTATATAAGGAAACGGAAATCTCCTATTTATAACATCATTTGATAAACACATAGACATGTAAGACCTCTTTCTCTTTATTTCATTTGATAAACACATAGTCATGTAAGACTTCTTTAACACCTTGATATTTAGCGGTAAGTAGTAAAAATATTGGGAAGCTAAACTGTGCAAATTATATGAGAACGTTGGTTTGAAAAACTGTGCGGGCAGAAAAAAGTTGTCGCACATTTATTTTGCGTGGGGTTTGCGCGGGACGGGCTATAGCCCTCATCTCAGGGAAAGGCCTGACTTCTGTTAAAAGACCAAAATATTCATCTGCATCAGATCATTATGCATGAAAATAAAACAACTCATATATATAAATTATAAAACAGCAAATATCTTATAATCTAGAGAGTCCACAGATATAACAACATAAAATGCAGCTATTGCACAATGAGAAGAAACATTTGCAATGTTGCTCTTTGATGGCAAAATCTTTAATTACATTGATGACAAACCCTAATTAAGTTAATGCATCTTCTTGTCAACCTTATGACTGCCAGAATATTAGTTCTTTTATATCAAATAAATATATAATGATTATAAAAGAGTTTTTGGTTTATCTAGAATCAAAGGATATTTCAGAATCATAAAAAAAAATATAAAATTTGTTACCCACTCTTTCAAACATCAATTTTTCGTTGAAGACAAAAGGGAAACTAGCAAAAACAGATTTGGTTCTTCTTGTCTGAGCTAAAAGTGAAACTGTAACAAACACAAAGTTTCTGTCAGTCAGATGCAAAGTTCCTGGGCAGGCAACCTAAAATTGAAAATAATTAAATAGGAAAATGAACACAAAATGGCAATATAATAAACTTTTGTGTCTTGCAAGAAGTGGTGTCGTAGCAAACAGGATTGGTAATACCTTTGGGTACTACCTTTAGCTTGACTAAGCTTTTTAAGCAATATAGAAAAAAATCTGTCTTTTCTACAAACAAGGAAAACCTTAGAATATAGTTAAAGATATATAATTTCTTTTACATGTTTCTGCATCATATAAAATCCAGTTTCATTTTCATATTCTCTCTCTACAATTTCTCATCAAAATACCAAAACAAACAATTAACTAAACTAGAGTACAATATTATTAAAGCACTTATACAGAAAATTAATGACAAAAAGAAAATAATATATATATATATATATATATATATATGGAGAGAAATACTTAGGAGGATTTACCTCTGTAGTTAGACCAATAGAGGAGAGAACACATACACCGCATTGCCTTTCTTAATGACAAACATTTTCCTTGTAGCTATATTTTCTTTGGATCAAAAATTACTGAACATATATACTTTAAAAATCATATTTTAAATAAAAGGGTAATGCACTTGATTCATTTGCTTTAAAGGAAAATAGTGTTGTGCTTAAAAATTGCACCTGAAAAATCACTTTTTACAACTTTCATATTGCTCTTGTTCCTTAGTATAGTCAAGGACAGAACCAGACTACAACTTAGAGTGTTTTTTGTGCAGGAATAGTACATAAGTTGGTGTGAAATTCATTGCATGCATTTATCTAAAAATAAACAAAGCCTGCTAACTTGCCTATATTCTTTTCAGAGGCTTTTGTTGAGTGTATAAAACTTTAGAACCCGTGCTGTATCTAATGCAGAAACATACCTGTGGTCAGATAAACTGACCAATCTTGGTTCCTTGGGTTAAAATCGATGCCATCAGACTTTTATACGTAGTAGTTTTAAGTAAAACGAATCATACAATAATGAAAAATATGATATATAAAAACATCATGTTGAACTTGGCGCGAAGTTGACTGGGAAAGCCTGTCTCACAAAATAAACAGCACAAATCTTAATCTAAAGATTTTCTGAGTTGAATTTGATAGAATTTGAAATACAAGATAACTGAACGGCAGTAGATTTGACAAAATTGTCACTTAGTGCTATACTAAAAGCAACAGAAGAATAAACAAGGAATAAGAATTACCTGCTTGACTTTAAAATTGACATGGCATTTAAGTGCAGGCCGAGGCATCCTTCTTCGTCTAATAAACAGTAACCGAATGTGTAAACAAACCTCTCTGGGTACAAATTTCGCGCTGCTGTCAACGAACGCCACTGAGCCTTTTTTTCAAATTAACAGGAAAGAGGCTAGTAATATAAATTAAAAGGCTCGTAAAATATGGATGGCTCATCTTGATTTGAGATCATTATGAAAGTTAAAATTCGAATATTTTTGCGCAAAAATAAAATAGAAAAGCCTGTTCTGACAGGAATTGCGAACGATTCTTTTCTGCTTGCCTACCACTTAAAGAGTTAGAATTCCACCAATGGAAGGAACAGATAGGATTGAACCACTCTCAATTCTCTAAAATTTTGTGTTTGATTGGTCTTTGACCACATGAGATATTATAGAAGAAGGTAATTGATATAAAAGAATTCATTTTTTACTACTATTTTCTAAATTCTACTTGATTTATACGACCTAGAATTTTACTTGATTCGGAAAGTTTACCTTTGAAATTGGGATTTTATGCATACTAATATGTAACAATGACGGTTGTTTCAAGGCATTCTCATTAAGTACACATTGATTACAACGACAAGCGAACAGTAAAATATTCGAGCCAGAAAACAGACTTGCAGGAAATATGTACTTGCACGAAGTAAAGACTTGTCAGAAAATTTATCACCTTTTGACCACCTAAAATATTCTTAATAATTGAAAAAGTCAAATCATAACGAAATGATGCTGATTTCTGCTTATGGGTAAATCACTCTTCTGCTAGCGCTAATGTAGAAACATTTCCCGATTGATGTGTGAAACTTGCTGTGAAACTTGACGATCTATATCTTTTCAAAATAGCTTTTTAACACAAAAGCCAAAAAAAGCAAAACAAACACCAGTTGTCCAAATGCAATCAGCCATATGCTTAGACTTTTTGTCAACGTAGGAAATCTGGCATTCATCGCAGGCTGAGGAATAATGGCAACATCGGATTTGGTTGCATGAGATTGAAAAAACTAGGATCAATCTCAATCTGGTTGAACAAAAATTCGAACAAAAGCTTCTGCATATTGTTTTACGGCTTCATGATACTGGAAACAGAAATGCAAAATTCAAAATACAAAATACAAATTTTCCAATGGCAAAAAGCTGCCAGGGATTTATCCAGTTCATAGTCATTCCGTTCAAAATTTTCTACACATCAATTTCTGTGAGTGGTAGGATAAGGGTAGGGGTACTTCGCTTACCTCTCTTTGGCGCCCAGTGCAACAAACAAAGGATTGGAAAGTGGTAGGTGTGTTTTATTTTTTGTGCAAATAAGTTCTCAGAAAATTAATCTGATTGTTATGGGAATATCAGCTTTTGAATAGTAATCTAATTCCTGTGCGAAAGGGTTCCCTGGAGCTGTTGGAAATACAATATGCAGTTCAAGTCCAAAATATATCGGGAATATGCAAACTCGAGAGGTAACAAGCAAGGACACAACGGGATGTAACAAAGAATTGTTTCACAACACATAATTCAGACAAGACAAGGACTACAACTCAAAAAGAAACTAATTTAATCAGTTACTAATTTAAAGTGACGACAATATAAAGAGATGTATCAATTTTACTTTGCATGCGTTTTAAGGTGCTTTTTCCTTGTTACTGTCTGATTGAATCTCTTTCCACAGATTTCGCATTCGTACGGTTTTTCTCCGCTGTGAATTCTAAAGTGAATACGAAGATGCGAAGAGCGGTTGAACCGTTTCCCGCAAATTTCGCATAGATACGGTCTTTCTCCACTGTGAACCCGCAGATGTCTAGTTAAATGCGTTGATACGACAAAACCTTTTCCACATTCTTGACATCTATACGGTTGTTCTCCAGAATGGATCCTCATGTGAACCTTAAGGCTACTCATCTTCGTGAACTCCTTGTTGCAATGCATACAAACACATTTCTTGTCCCCTGTGTGCTTGTTCACGTGATACTGCAAGCTAGAAGTGCTGTTGAAGGACTTTCCGCAAAACTTACACGAGTATCGCTTATCTTCGTTGTGTACATTCATGTGAGAGTCTAGAAGGTTCTTTCCAGCAAAGGAATTACCGCAAACCTTGCACTGAAATGAGTTTTTGTCAGTGTGAATGGTCAGATGTTTTTGCAGTATAGCAATGTCAACAAACTCTTTGCCGCAGAACTCACATTTATGAGCTGAGAGTCCACTATGTACAAGAAGCTTGTGGTTAACCAGGTTATGTTGGGTCGAAAAACAACTGTCGCACTCATCGCAAGGCCAAGATAGTAGCGTTGCTTTCTCTGAATTGAAAGTAAACAGAGCTAAATCAAGGAAGTTTCTTCAGACAATCGATTGATACTCAAATGGCTTTAGCGATCTGTCAATCAATCTAAGCCAATCAACAAGCGTGCTAATGAAATCAATCACACTCATTGGTCAATTATTGATGGACAAATGGCTGAAGCGACTTTAGTATCTGTTGATTGCTTCTAAGAATGCACGTTATATTTTTATGGAAGACTATGGGATTCAGAAAAACGAATGAACGCTGAAAACATGTGTGTGCAATATAAAGAAGATGTATTTAAGCTTTACCTTTCTCGCTGGACTTTTTCCCTGGCATTTTTGTTGCTGTATTTCCAATAGAACTTTCATGGTTGACGAACGCATTCCAGAAAACACTTTTCAAAACATGATTTTCTTCTAGGGACATCATCTGCTCTGAGCCTGTAAGATATGAATTTGAAAATAGCATAGAAAAATTGAAACATACCAAACTAAAATGCTTTTCGTCTGACACATTTCAGCGTGTAGACGTCGGAAATGTCTCAAGGTAAACAGAAAATCTATATACATCCAGATGAGGATTGAAAGAAAAATAAGAAGCATATTCAATTGACTCTTTTTATTCAAATCGGTGGCCGATAACCTCTCAAAAATTAAATAAAACAGATTTTAGTTTTTAACTACATATATAATGACAACAAATAAATAAATCTAAGTAAAAATCAATTTTCTTTTCTAGAATTAAAAGAATCTTGGCAGAAAATTATGCGTACTAATTAAAGTTTAGAATAAAAACCTGAACTTTTAAAAGGACTTGCGAAGAAAACTTACAATTGGCAGTGAACAGCAATAGATTCACAACTTTATTGCTCATTCAAAGGTTGGTTGTATGACAATAAAAAGGACAAGAAATGTTTGTTGTTGGCTTTGTTTTTTCAATTGAAATCGTTTTCAAATTTTGTGTCACGGTTGCCATTAGTAGTAGGATAAACTAGTTTTCTACATACTAAAAGTAATACCTAAAATTTGGACGCCGCCATCAAATGCTACCAGACTGATAGCTGTAACTCCAGCCTTCTTATACAGTTCATCAATCTAAAAAAGGATCAAAATGTCAACACTCCATTATTAACACACAGGGATTTAAAAATTCTTCAATTATTACATTATGAGGATATGAAAAATTCTACAATAACAAATCTGTTGTCTCTAAATATTCACAGAAAGTGTTGCAGGAGTGTTGCAGACTTTCAAACTTCAAATTTCACTTTCAAATATTCAAAATTCAGCCCTCGAGGTGACTTTCGATTTGCTTACTAATACTTTTAAGGGATCGCGTTCCTAATTGGCCTGATTAAATCCAAAACTGGGTACATATACATCCTAGTATTTCTGATCTATGTTCTAACAATTTATACTCTGAAGAATGTGAGACGAAAATCTTCAGCAACATGTTTCAAAATGTCTGCTTTTTTCAAGCCATATTAAGCAACCTTTCATGTGTCCACTACAAATTAAATTATATGGGCTGTAGTGAATAACAGTTTGAAGACAAACGTCAAAACGAAATTCAATAATAGCAACACGAAACAGGCAAACTCTAACTTGATATTCAGAGTATTACTGGTAATTTGCTTGCATTGTAACAATTGTGTTTCAACTGACAGAGTTCTGACTCTCGATAAAAGGAGTGCGCTTGACATCAAATTTCATTTTAAATGAAATAGGTGACTGGAATTTGTCATTAGTTAAAATCAACATGGTGTGGTTTTGAATAAGTTAATCAAGAGGTAAGAACTATCAAACAAGTAGAACTTACATTCGCTTTTATATTCTTTACCTTCCTAGCTACAAACTTCTTTTTCTGTTCATCATCGGCAAAACTATTTGCAATAGTTACCTAAAAATTCCAAATAACAAATATATACTTAACTGATAGTTAATAAAAATAATTATAACTCCTAACAAAATAATTTTTTTATAAAGTGCTAAAAATAATGTATAAGGTACTTAATACAAAGTTTATTTGCAAAGAACATATTGCAGCTTAAAAATTTACTTTTGGAAAAATTCAAAAATTTCAATTTTTTCAATGCTAGAAACTTTGTCAATAATTCAAATCACCAAAATTTAACCCTAGACAATGAAGTTTTGAAACCAAAATCCACAAAAGTAATTTATTAAGGCTATCTGAAAAAATTCATCAACATCTTCCGGGAAAACTGCTGTTTTCATGAAAGTTGCCATGACATTGGCTTTAGTAGTTATCAAGGAAATCTAGTAATTCTATTACTTTCAAACTGTAATGTATGTCTGGTAAAGACTTCTGTGGCTTGATAACAATGTTATGTTACAAAAAGTAGCTTGATGTCCCAGACGTTGGCCCATTTTCAAGATGCTGGTACAAGACTGAAATATAATATATATCAGGCATGGCCATAAGACTTCTAACAAGATAACAGCAAACAGCTGTTTTAGTCATTTCCAGGTGAGTTATTTGAAGGTTAACAAGTATCGAAGCAAAGGAGAATTGATTTCAAGGAGAGCAATTTGCTTCCTGGAGCAATTCAGGTGAGCAATTTGTAGCTCCCCTCCAGCATTTGAAGGAAGCCTGGAGGCGAGAAAAAACTATTGGTTCTCCTCAAATGACCAGGCCTGATATATGGGTTATGAAATAGATATTAGATACTACCTGCAGTTTATATTTTGAATGTTCAATCAAAAAGCCTGCCATCCCTTTCCCTTAAGCTAGTACTGTATTGTTATAGTACTGTTAATGACCATTCTAGTCTTAAATTAGACTTTTCCCATACCTTACTCCCTGTTTCACCAAGGATGTCTTTATCCAGAACCTGGTATGTTTGATACAGCTGGCCATTACTTTGAATTCCAGCTGCACTTGAATCTTGACTGGTAGCTGCTTGTAGATCATTTCCCAAGTTGGTGATATGAATATTCACTCCCTGTGAATGCACATCAGGCTCTTGTAAGCTGCTATCTTGCTGGGTGACAAATTGAATACCACCATCACTTGGAGACTGCTGTGTTAGTAGAAACTTTAATGTAGCTGTGTCTAAGGTCAAATCTTTCACTTGCAACTGCAACAAAAAAACAAAAATTAAAAGTTTACATATAAATAGAATTTATCATGGGTGATACGGCTGCATTGTTTTGACCAGAGCTTTAATCAGTCATTGATCTTGATTATCTGTTGAGACCCAATCAGTGTATAAGATAGCAGTTTGGGCATTCTCTAGCTTTTTCACTCTCTAGACACAAATCTTGAGGGCTTTAAACAAATTTCTATGGCACACACATTGATCATTGAAAGTTTGTGGTAAACAAAATTTATTGTTTTACAAATTTCGAGCAGTAGTGGTTTTAGGTGGTCTAGAGAGGGCCATGGCCCTAGGCCCCATGTTTATGGTAGCCAGAAGGGGCCCTGCAACTAAGAAAAAACAAAAATTGCAATAACAAGTTTTAGGTACTGGGACCCAGGCTGGGTTCTGCAGTTCCGTAACCAAAGATGTCCATCATTGTCGTTGTATAGTGCCTTGTCAGATTCTGACATGCCAATTAGGTGAAGTAAATGCATTAAAAAAAATGTACTTTTACCTTTAATTTCTACTACAAAATTCCCTTCAAACAATTCATATATGTATTTCAGTTTCATATTTTAAAATTCCAATACACACACCTTCAATTAAAGCTACATATACATTATACAAAAAAGAAATTACAGAGAAACTAGATACCAAATACAAGATACAAGGGAAAATAAATGGAAAAGAAAATACATGGAGGGGAGTTTCTAAATTTATGTAACCTAATCGAGGAGAGAGCACCCCCCTTTAGCCAGGATACAAGGGAAAATAAATGGAAAAGAAAATACATGGAGGGGAGTTTCTAAATTTATGTAACCTAATCGAGGAGAGAGCACCCCCTTTAGCCATACTTTGTATAAAAATAAAAATAAATTGAATGGATTCATTTTATAGTAGCTGTCACTAGCAACAATCAATTCTTGTAACTTTTGTCAAATAAATATGGTTTAAGGTTTTAATAATCTTGTCACTTTGCTTTGCATTTTCTTTGTACTTGATTATTGTACAAAAATTCTAGTAGTGTAATAGTGTAATAGTGAAATTGCAAGCAAACACAACTTGAATGCATCCTTTGCAAACGGGTTTGCACAAATAATGGGTTACCTATAAAATAAACTTTAGGCTTGGTAGGGACTAAAACCAGTTTTATGACTCGTGCAATCTTAGATGTATTGAGAATGGTTTTCTGAAGGACTCTGTCCGAGAAAAAGACCCTGAAAACAAACTTGGTCTGAGAACAATCTAAAATGCAGTTCTGAGTCTACACAAAAACGAAGGAAATCGAAAGCGAGAAACACGTCGATCAGCTTAGAAACCGTTTCGCTTTCTTGATGAACATAATGAAAGCTTAAAAGAAGAACGCAAAGTACGGCCTAAGTTTGATATGACAAAAAAACAGAAATAAATACTTGAATTCTCTCTTCGTTTGAAGCAAATGTGTCCAGTGTCAAGCCAATAGGCCTGTTTACATCAATCCCATCAAGTTGTGGTACGGGGTTTTCTTTTAAAATAATTGTGTTTTCCATTGGAAATGGCCTCATGAAGATCCCTACCACTTACCAGCAGATCCTGGAATCCTGGATTGATTCATGCCTGCTCCGCCGCAGTGACAAATCCCTCCACCAACCTTCGTGTAAAAAAGTCAAGCACTTCGCTACAGACGTTTGACCACAGACAACAATGAACTCCACAAATACCTCAAAACATTTCGGAAAAATCTAATCATAAGAGATTTTGAATCTCAGGATATCACCAGCGAATTAAGTAAACTGACATATTTCACCCAAAACGAGCTCCTCTTCCCAGGAAACCCCACCAACAACGAAACCACTCCTCAGGGCACCCAGACAGGGGGCCCGCACTACCTCAACTTCGAACCCCCTTCACCAAAACCATAAGTTCTACCTTTTGTTGTCCCATTCGACATCAAAACTATAAATATAGGTTCCGTCCTTACTAAAGATTGGCACTTGATTTCACCAGACGTGCTCTAGCCCTCACTAGAAGTCCTAACCTCAAAGATCAACTGGCCCACTCTAAATTAGGCCATTAACGCAAAGCCCCTTCTCGAAGCATCAATGCGCCTTTAACTTTAACAATACATAAATATTACACTAGAGGCACGGTTACGTCTAAGGTACAGCATCCACTGATAATTGAATTTTCATTCTTATTACCTATATATTTATTATGCAACCGTGATCCTGGACCCAGGATTGCGAGGGGCGCCCACGAGAAAAGGACATACCGAATTTAAGCCCCGAAATGTCCCTCGTTAATTTCTTGCTGATGGGTTCCCTTTTTTATCATTTTCTGCCCATTTTCAAGCTAATTGCCTAAACATACAAGGGGCACACACAACAACCCCCATCTGGGTTTGAGGCTGTAACTAGGTGATAGTGACTACTCCTTATCTCTTTTTTTCTCATTTTTGCATTTTGGATTTTACAATTTCATTCACACGTTGTTTTTTTTAGTTTTTACCTTCTATACCTATAAAACAGTCTGTTGGGTAGGGAGGTATCGATTACATCGAATTTGTTGCATCAAAAGACCTTGCTTTTACCCTGAAAAACCAGGTGAACCGTCACGTGCATAACGTCTTCTATAGCCAAAAATCCAGATAAGGAAGGTGCAAACAAAATATCAGGGCCATTTTTAACATAAAAGCTAGGTGGTAATTGCCCCTCCAGCCCCAGTGACTTCCATTATTTCAAACAAATGGTATTGTTTTCCTCTTTAAAAATTAAAGACTTGTCCTGCAGCCAATTGCCCTTGCTACAATGTAGTCTATGTAGAATATATTGCACATTAAACATAAAACGTTTGAGTGAGATTAACAAACAAAAAAGAATATCGATAAACTAGTAAGTTACAGAGAAAATATTTTGCAAGATACCAAAGAGAATATCGATTAAAAAGTTAGGATACAGATGAGAGTTGAAAGATACCAAAGGAAAAATTGATTAACTAGAATTGACACAGGGAAGAGTTGCAAGAATCCGAAGGAAATATTGATTAACTAGAAATGATACGAACGAAAAATCGCAGAATATCAAATAAAATGTTGATAAACTAGAAATAATACAGATGAGAGTTGCAAGATACAAAAAACATCGATAAACAAGAAATGATAGGAATGCGAGCTGAAAGACACCTGATAAAATATTGATAAACTAGTAATGAAACAGAAGAAAGTTGAAAGATGCTGAAAAGTTTATCAATAAACTAGTTTTGATACGGAGAAGAGTTGCAAGATAACAAACGGGATGCTGACAAACTTGTAATGATACAGATGAAAGTTGCATGATTTAAAAAAAATGACATATTAGACATGATAGGGAGTTGCCTCAAGATATTTTTTAAGACAAAACCTGTTTCCTGAAACCAGGGCCGGCGAAACGTATTTGAAAGTGGAGGGGCCAAAATATCAAAGTCTTGAAAGGGCTTAGGAAAGGAAAGAAAAATTTTAAAATTATTTTGTCTTAGGGATGGCCAGAAACTGTATCTAAATGAAATAATATACTACATTAATTTTCGCTCTTGCCTTTAATTTTCTTTTAACTCTGCAGGAAAGTGGGGGGCCATGGCCCCCGCCCCCCCGGTTTTGGCGGCCCTGGAAACTGGAAACATTAGCAGCCTTTAAAATTCTAGTTGTGAAACGTTATGGCTAAATAAATCGCTTAACTGTTCTGGCAAGAAATATAACCCTGCCTTGTTGACAGATAAACATTCAGTTGGCAATTTAGAAGAATGCTTAAGAACATTATGACTTTCTTGGAAATCTTGGTCACGTTTAGCGTTCGTATTTGTTCGTCTAGTTGTATGTAATGGCCATAGGGTTGCCATGGTTCATTGCTCTTCATGGTATCGTACCTGCAGTACGTAGAGTAATTAGCAAGTAAAGTAGAATGTAATTTTCATTATAATATTTTATATCGATATAAAAAAGAATATTCTTGGTCACATCTACAAAGTCTTGCTTCAAAATTGAAACACTTTCAGTGCATACTATATAGCAATATTTTTGACTTAGATGGCCAATTTTATTCTTCTATATCTGAGAGAATCTTCTGATAAACATAAAATATGTGGCTATAATCAAATTTTTCATCTTTCTATTGAAAAATAACGTTGCATTTCAATCTCTAAGTCATCGACCTTGGTGCTCTTGTGACACTTATGCATGTCTATGTAAGAACAAAAACAAAGGCTTTTTCATTAGTTCCGACAAAGATTCTGTTCCACAGAATTTTTCTGGAACCTAAATTACTTACCGTTTTTGAACTGTTGTTTCCCCGTATTTGTCTTTGTAAGTACCATTCAAGGAGATAAATGACCTTCCTGTTTATATATGTATCACCAGCAATAATAATAGATGGTGTTTGAAAACTAAAATGCTTGCGTAAGTTCCCTGATTAAGAGAGCCATTTCAAATTCTCAATACTGAATGAAAATGAATTGCATTAGATCGGGGATCTATTTGGCTGCAATATCCTTCAAATCTGATTCGCTAAATACAATGCTTCAATACCTGCTGTTGGCACATGTCTAAATAACTATCGCGTGATTAAGTAAGTGACTGCTTAGCGTGATTGAAGTCATTTCAGTATACAGGTAGCCTGCAAGAAGGCCCAGTATTCTGAGGAAGAAAGATATATTAACTATATTCTGTGATGAATTCTGACAAGTTATACGGTTCCAGAAAAAACAATGCATTATCCAAATGTGTACGTCCTTCTTTTGATTTTAGGGTACGTATCTCTGGAATGTTACAATCGCCGAATTTATGAAACTTTTTTATCTTTAATTTGTGCAAAGGGACAGGGATTCAGAATATTCTGAAAGCTTCTGTTTGCCCGTCTATTGTAGAGTCTTTGATGCAACATAGACAGAGCTGCTTTTGTTTGAGTGTGCAAGGAAGAACGGATATAAGTTTCTACTCTAATATTGAAGCATAATGTGACCCCCAAGAAGCTTAATTGCATAGTTTTTATACAATTATCTATAAGGAGGATTTGATTTACTTGGAGATGCAGATTGTACTATAAATTTCAAGTGACTTTCGCTTCCTATGATCTTACCTCTTGCAGTTCTTTCCATAACAAACTATTTTCTAAATTCTACTTCAGGCTGGCATTGCTCCTACAACGTGCTGGGTCATGGATTTTACGTCTGCCATGCAAAGAAGAGGGAGTGTTTGACGTTGCATCTCCAGGCTACGCACTTTATAATCGATTGCTTTCAACATTGACCGCTTCAAGTTTAGAAGATTGTTTTGAAAATTGCAGAATTACTAAAAGATGTAAGTCTGTAAATTTCAAAGAATCTGGTGAAGGTAACTGCGAGCTGAATACTCAAACAAAAGGGAATGGTAACCTGGTAGATTTCAAGACCAAAGATAGCTGGACCTATTATGCTACAAATTACAACAAGAAAAATGTATGTTTATGAAAGTAAAACGATTCATTAAACTGTTGAAACAAGATTTAAATTTTCATATCGGTTGTAAAAATCTGAGTCTTTCTAACATCTTTCTGCATTCAGGATGAAATAAATTTTTGTTCTTGTTCTAGATTGGCTCTTACTGCGAGTTATTCAAGCCTTGCAGGCAGTCAGAGTACTGCATTGACACGTGCTCGTGCCCAGGCTTTAGGTGCTCCGATTGCAGCGATAAATACAAACTGAATGATGAATTGCAATGCGTTGGTAGGTATCTATTTTCTATAGCAACATTATTCAAGGTATTGAAAAGCAGGGAATAGTCTACATCGGTAAATTTCACTTTTCATGACACCTACTCTCCCTGAGTGGTTGAGAAAGAGATTCCGTTGGTCACAGAAATTTGCACTTGAAGAACAGGAGCTTATCATTTAATATGCTGTTGGGAAGCTCCTTTCCTATGACATTTCAACTAATGAAAAATAACTTCTCTAGCTTTCATAGAAAGGTCTGAAGAGAACTGGGCACACCTGTCCCCGCTTTTCATTAACAGAAGAAAGGTACCTATTTGCAGCAAATGGAGATGCCTCCTACTCCAACATGTGTTCAATTTTCCAACAGGTGCTCCTTCTTTTAAAATACTTTTCTACGATTTTTGCCTTCAAATGAATGATTTCATTTCATTTAGTGAATATAGCATTAAACAAGCCAGCGTTACTATCGACACAATATGATCAGTACACACCCGCAACCAACGCAGTTGATGGTAGCTTAGAAGCGGTGCACAGAACCTGTGCCATTACAAAACATCAGAGTTTTCCTCCATGGTTTCGTGTTGATCTTCAACAGACACTTCCTGTTCGATCAGTTGCTTTGCAAAACAGGAGGGACTGCTGCTGGCATCGGATGAACCCTTTTGATGTTCGCGTCGGCATGAGTCTGGAGAATGATGGTAGAGTGAATCCTAAATGTGTTGATGGGGCCAGTTTTATCCACGGAAACCAATACCTCAGTTTGGAATGTCCTTCGATAATGTACGGCCGTTATGTCATTGTGTTGGCTGAGTCTTCAACGATAATAGAGCTTTGCGAGCTAGAGGTTTATTCATAAGAACAAATTTGTTTGTATTATGTAGACACTAACAAACGATTGTAATTCGATTACAAATTTTGCACATATGGTGTGGTGTGGCGGATGCTTTCGGTGCCTATCTGAAAAAGATAGGGGTTATGGTAATTGAATTCTTAACGACACACAAGACTCAGAATTCATGTAATGTTATATATCTATTTAAAAAAAGGATCATACTATCAGACCTGACCGTAATTTATTTAAAGCATTTTAAAATTTAGCCTATTAAATATTTAGATTATTGTCTTTTGTAATGCAGCCAGGTATAAAATGATGGTTTAGTTGTATTTTTCAAAGGGTAAGATGGACGCCCATAATCCTATGCATCTATAAGATCATTCAATTGAAAAATGTCTGAGTTAAACAGTAACAATTCTTCTAAAAATAATACAATACACAACCAGACACATCCTGACTTTCCCTTTTGCTACCCAAGCAATCTTAGATACCTTATTACAAGAATTTATTTTCTATAACACTTATTTCTTTTTTAAAAACTCTTAACATGTCAAATATTCTTAAAAATAATTATGCAAATGTTTAAAATTCTTAAATATCATAAAGAACAAATATTTTTAATGTGACGTTTTACTTTATATCTTGTCAGAAAAGTTGCCATCTTAGCTTCTGTATCCCAGTTTTTCCAAAGTTTCGAATTTCTAAACAAAATGACTTCCCCCTATTGAATGGAATTTTCTTTGGCGGCTTAGCACAGTGTTTCTTTAGTTGAAATTACGAAGCAATATTACGTTGAAAGTTTGATAGTAGCTCAAAATTATTCAATTCACCTTAATTTCATAGTTAATTTGTATCGTTAGCTGAACGATTAAAGCTTCAACATTAATAAGACCATTTATGAATTATGCTGCTTTTCTGCAAAAACTTTTGGCTTTGATTAGTTCAACTATGCTGTAATTATGTTGCAAAGTACATAAAAAGCGTTTTATATTCAATCTATTCTGTGATTCAATTGACAAGTTGAAAGTGAATAGGCTGCTACGAAGGGTCATTTTATTGAAGATTCCATTTCTTAGTTTTTTAGTAATAATCTACCTAGTTCAACATCATTACTCTCCTTCTATTTACTTGCTGATGGTGCAAACATTTACTCTGAAACTCAAAGTCTTAAAAAGTTAAAAATGGCTAACTGTCAACAAGTTGGCACTAACCATTGACAAAACTAATTTAATGACATTTGCAACATTCATTCTCAGAAACTGTAAACATCACAATAGGAAAGGAACTGATAAAGGCCCTAGGCCCTATTCGCACTGCAAATATGATAATGTTTGTCAAACCCGATTTCCTCACGCCAATTAAAAAAACTTTTTCATGATTAACAAAGTTTGTCAGAATTCTGTTCGCATTAGGCAGTTTTCTGAGATGCTTAATGGCAACCTGATAACGTGTTAGATAACAATACAACATCTCAGAAAATTGCCTAATGCAAAACAAGAAGTCTGACAAACTTTGTCAATCTTGAAAAAGTTTTCTTAATTAGCTTGAGAATATCGAGTTTGACAAACATTATCATATTTGCAGTGCGAATAGGGCCATATGATTTTAAATAGCACCCTGGGCTTTTTTATTAGTGTTAACATAATTCTGGCATATTCGTCGAGTGACCCACTGGTTATCAGAGATTTTCACAAAATTGTGATGCTCCAGAGCTCTACGACGGAACCTTTGACCAATTAGTCGAAACATTATAATTTGTCAAATTTCAGATTTTGCTGTTCGCACTTTACTTCCTACGCTACTTCCTGGCAAACCCTTGCCGCCTTTGAAGATAGAACAATAAGGGATTAATATTATCAGGTTTTTTAGATGCAGTGCGAATAGGGTCGAATAGCAATCTAGATACCTTATTACACCGCTTATAGGCACACCTCATTTAAAGGCGAATGCGCTTATATCCGAATATAGACGCGGCGTGCTTATAAGTAACCTGTGCTCAAGGGGTCCGGAACACAGAATAGCTTGTAAGTTGATCTTAATCTTACAGATTTTTCGAGAAAAATGAACAAAGAAACAGCAGTATGGCTATTTATTTTCTCTCTAACGACGTTTAAATCATTCCTAGATTATTTTTCTTGCATTATCGATTTCTTTAAATTCTCTTTTGAGTAGAAACTGACATGATGGTGAAGACATCCTTGATGAAGAAGACCTGAATGGAGAAATTATAATCATTAATAATGATTCGGATCCTGAGGAAGTTTATACTGAATATCTGTTAGAATATCTAGAATCTACTTTTGAAACATTACTCAGGCCATTTTTTTGTTACAATATCATTTCTTATAAGCACATGCCCCTAAATCTGAATCGTTTATTTTTTTGTACCCTGTAAAAAGGTAAAATGATGAATTTATAAATACATGCGCTTTTAAGCGGGGTAAAAGTGTAAATAAAATTCATGGCGTTATTTCGAATGAAACTTTTAATGTAAATACCATTTATTTGAACTTTCAAAAAAGTTGCCAAGAAAATGTGACTCGTTTTTCACGATAATATATTTTTATTCCAGTTGATGTTTTGATCTGAAAATGCAATGAATCATTCGAAAAATTATGAAAAGTTCATTATATCGAGGGTAATTATTATAAAGGGACCTAAAATTTTGTTCGTGTAATATCGAGAGTTCGTTATTTCAGAGGTTCTTTATACCGAGGGAATTTGTTGGGAGTTTCTTAGGCAGAAACAAAGGAACCAGACATTTAGTCCGTTATACCGGGAAGTTTGTTATATCCGGTGTTTGTTATATCGGGATTCCACTGTATTTGCAAAGGCTGTTAATTGTGAATTTCAAGAAACAGGTTTTTGCCTTTTTAGAGTATTTCGAAACAAATGTAAAACGAAAAAGAGTTTCACAAACATGAGTCCTTTGTAAGCAGGCAAAGGGCGGTAAGTTAGACTCATAATTCTTCTTTATACGGCATTGATTCGTCTAACGACAAAAAGCAACTAGTTAGACGGAATAACGGGACCAATCTAACCACAAGACTAAACCAAATTAAAAACCAGCCCTAAAATACCCTTAAAAGAACCTTAAAAAATGATTATAATTATTAAAATTTTGGTTGAAACGCCGCCAATCAAGAGAACTTCTTAATACACAGGCCCCTTTTCCAGGTCAAACTTTTTTGCTTAAAACAAGTAGAGATGACATCTTATAGGTAGCAACTCTCCATAAAAATGTTGCTGGCAGGGGAAATCTATTGGTCTCGGTTTTCTAGTTAAACTTCAATTTGCGTGTCTGTAACATAAATTTTCAAAAAAAACAATGTCACAAATCTTTAATAGAACCAAAACCAGAGCCTTTTAGTGGCACCTGGAGCTATGGTGTTCAAAATATCTTTCAGCTAATTGCAGCAATATGAATTATGAATCATTTTCAGATTTAGCTTCTCCTGATTGCTTCTTGTTCATTGAAGTAAAAATTTCTTCTACTGCTCTCCTAGAAACAGCAAGCTGATCATGGTTTCAAGATTGATTAGATTTCGCTTGCGTAAGGAACCTGCCTAACATAGCCATCTCCAACAGTCCAGGCTGAATGAAAATGAATTGCATTAGATGGTAGATCAACATGGCTGCTATCTTCTTCAAACTGGATTCGTTAAGTACAATGCTTTGATACCTGTTCTAGTGAATAGTCATATGAACTACTTCGACATGAGGTAGGTGTTTGCTTAGCAAGATGAAAATAATTTCAATAAAGAGGGACTAGAAAGAGGTTTCACTCTAAACTGTCATGAAATTCTGTGGAGTGATAGGTTCGCAGAAAAAATAATGCGGATTCCAAATGTTTGCATCTTTCTTATGCTTTCAAGGTAAGTATCACTAGAATGCTGCTTTTGTTGAACATAAAAATCTGTTTGTTTATCTTATTTTGTTTCTCCACTGAGGGATTCAGAATGTACAAAAGATTTCTGGTCTAAAGTAGAGTCTTTGATGCCCCAAAATAGTTCTGTACGTGTTTTAATGGTCAAAATAGGAGTGATATAAGATTTTACAACGCTGAGTGTCAAGACAATGCAATCGAAAAGCAACTGAATTTTGCAGATTTGTATGTAGCTGTAATGGTACAAAATAAAAAGATTGTGATCATTTTTCAAATGTTGATTAGAATATACTAATTTTGTTGTATATGTTTTCTTTATCAAATTTTCGTGAAAGGCAACCAAAAGAAAAATTTCCTCTTCTTTTGTGAAAGAGCCAGTTTCGAGCTCTTGCAGTTCTTTCCTTAAAAACTTTTTTCTTAAATCTTTTCAAGTCTGGCATTGTTCCTAACACGTGCTGGGTCATGGATTCTACGTCTGCCATGCAAAGAAGAAGGAGTGTTTGACGTTGCATCTCCAGGCTACGCACTTTATAATCGATTGCTTTCAACATTGACAGCTTCAAGTTTAGAAGATTGTTTTGATAATTGCAGAATTACTAAAAGATGTAAGTCTGTAAATTTCAAAGAATCTGGTGAAGGTAACTGCGAGCTGAATACTCAAACAAAGGGGAATGGTAACCTGGTAGATTTCAAAACCAAAGATGGCTGGACCTATTATGCTACAAATTACAACACTAAAAATGTATGTTTATGGAAGTAAAACGTTTTATTCATTTTAATGTGGAAACAGGATTCAAATTTCCATATCGGTTGTAAAAATCTGAGTCTTTCTAGCATCTTTCTGCATTCAGGATGAAATAAATTTTTGTTCTTGCTCTAGATTGGTTCTTACTGCGAGTTATTCAAGCCTTGCAGGCAGTCAGAGTACTGTATTGACACGTGCTCGTGCCCAGGCTTTAGGTGCATCGTTTGCAGCGATAAATACAAACTGAATGATGAATTGCAATGCGTTGGTAGGTATCTATTTTCTTTAGCAACGGTATACGTGGTACAAGGAAGTCAGGGAACCGCTTACTAAACACAAAATACTCTCTTAGGACAATTTATTTGATATTGCCTTTTTAGTTGCAGCTAAAGATTAATGAACTCTTAGCCTTTCAACAAAATGACTCCTAGCCTCTTATAAATTGGGTTGACTGATCGAGACCTTTTGCTAAACTTCACGTCAATAAGGTGCAGGAATTCTTTTTGTCGCTCTTTCTTTTTGCTACTAAGAAAAGGGATGCCATATGGCTTAGAATTTTAAACGGAATTTCTTATATTCACGTTGTAAGGTATGCTGAAGAACTGGTGTCTCAAAACAAATATGCCTTTTTGGAAATGCTTGTGTTTAAAACAGTTCACCATATTAAAAATATTTACTTTAGCGTAAGAGGAAGGGCTCGGAGCAAATTAGAATTCTCACACCTGGCTTCCTGGACCTTCTATGTCATGTTGAAACCAAAGCCTGTCCTCTCCTTTTCTAAATATCTAACCGATGTAAATGAATGCACATGCACAGGTTCAAATAAGGACGTTGAGAAAATGTGGACTCTATTGAGAACGGGTCGAAATGATGTATTTTTAGGTTTCCATTGACGCTGAAACAGTCGAAAATGATATTCAGAAATCATGATCTGATATTGATAAACCATGTATAATATCGTTAATCCATTAAACAGACAAACTGTTGAGGTTTCGCACCGGCTTCTATCGGTTTTACACTTTGTTTAATGTTGACAACTCTGCTATGCACCAACATATATGAATGTTTAAAGAGTTTTTCTCTAGAGCTCTGACCAAGTTTTTAAGTAAAAGAAAAAAATTTCGCCTGTATGTAATTCTGTTGAATTTAGCCTTTTGTAGCCCTTTTGTCCCCATTGGAGCACAGATGCAAGAACGGAGGGAGGGGTGATGGAGGGTGGGGAAGACACAGTGCACATGTGCTCTTTTGAGTAACAGAGGTACGGTGCCTATTTGCAACTCCTGGAGGTGTCACTCTCTTCATACATGTGTCCCCTCATTTGAAAAAGCATTTTCTATATCTATGCCTTCAAAAGCTTGATTTAATTCCTTTTAGCGAATATAGCATTTCACAAGCCAGCAGTTCTTTCGACGCAGCATGATGCAGACACACCTGGAGCCAATGCAGTTGATGGTAGCTTAGTAGGGCATCACGCAACATGTGCCATTACAACACATCAGGAATTTCCTCCATGGTTTCGTGTTGATCTACAACAAAAACTTCCTGTTCGATCAGTTGCTTTGCAAAACAGACAATACTGTTGCTGGCATCGAATGAACCCATTTGATGTTCGCGTCGGCATGAGTGTGGAGAATGATGGTAGAGTGAATCCTAAATGCGTCAACGGTGCCAGTTTTACCCAGATAAACCAATACCTCAGTTGGAATGTCCTTCAGTAATGTATGGCCGTTATGTCATTGTGTTGGCTGAGACTCGAACGATAATGGAGCTTTGTGAGCTAGAGGTTTACTCATTAGAACACATTTTATACTCTGTAGATTCCCAAAAGATTGTAACCCGAATACCTATTTTGCACAGCTGCTCCATCTCCTTTAAAAAGGGGGGGGGGGATCTGCTCAAGGGAGCTCTTTTAGTGGAAAGGGTGGTGGAAGCTTTAGTTGGTTTGAGATGTTCCTATGTGTAAAGACGTAGGTGCCAAAATCTTTGCTTTTTATATGAAAAGCAAGATTCATAATTTTGTGTCATTTCTCAATAAGAAGCAGGCTCAATTTTATTAGGCTCGACTGCACATTTAAATGAGGCATATCAAATTTTAGCCTGTAATCTCCTGAAAACATACTCTTCAAGGATGGAAATTACGGATTAGTTATATTTCTAATAAAGTAAAACACAGATAACAATAGTCTTAGGAATTTGCTATTTTATAGAAAATTCTGATTTTATTTCCGCTTTCCTATTCTCAAAATCCTCCCATAGTTCTGGTTCCATAAACATCTTTTCCTTTCTCTTTCTCCTTCGCAGTTTCCCTCCCCAGGTTATACTTGCTTTGACTCTCCGAGACTCTGTTTGACTCTGCCTGAGTTTTCCCAAAAATTGACGCATACCCGCTAATTAATGAGCATCTCCTCAAACTCCACTGCAGTTGCATGTATGTATAACAGTTAAGGCCTATTAACTTGCTTGCTATTTAGAAATCAACACATAATTAAAGAAAACATTGTAATTTGATAATATAAAGAATGTCGTTATATGTTTAGTTAAAAATCAATTGAAAACCTTCCCAGGGAAAGTCCGGCCCCAGGGGAGGGAGGTCAGCGCCGGCCCCTGTGGACCCATTGTTGCGTGTTCATTTGCATGTTAGAACATTAGTATCAGTAGATCGTCTCGTTTCTTATTTTAGGGAATTGAAATAGAAAACATCTCTTTTCGCAAAATGAATACTAGAAAATTCTAGAAAATGAATATATTATAATCACATTCCATAACCTGCATAAATTTCATTGTTTTGTGTAGAGTTGTCTCACAAAATTCAAAGGAATGCGCAGAGGAAGTATACTTTAAAATCGTTGCTTAGTTTTGAGTGGTTGTACATTTGCTGTAGTTCAGGCTAGTCCATGAAAAATATTAAGGTGAATACACAGTCTGTACCAATAAAGAATCACCAAACACAGTTGACCTTAAACTAATTAATAATTCTAAGAAGCATTCAGCGATAAAATATTGCCTAAGATCTTCAGCAAGCAAAAATTTTCATATGTCCTACCATTTCCATCAGGTCTATCTATAATCGTTACTTTAAATTCGACATATATTAATTTATATATATGTAACTAAACTTTTGTTTCACAAAAAGCAGTATTGTTATAAAGAAAAATGTTTTAGGAAAACAATGAAAAAAGACAATTTATTATTTTTCCGGAACGCGTTTCATCCTTTCAATGAGGAATCATCAGCCTATTTAGTTCTGAGTAATCGATCCAGCACCATTTTTACTATGTTCAGGAGTGCTAAAACAACAGATTAACTTAATTTACGTTCCTTGCATTTGGAAAAAAGGAACATCGTCGAATCTCATTTGGAATATTGAGTAAGGGCTGAAACTCTTAAATTAGAGAGTTACGAGGGATTGGCATTATGTGCCTTCGATAAAAGTGTGTCTTATTTCAAATTTCCAAACAGTTTATCGGAAAAAGCATCAACTTCAATTCACAATGAGATCTTTTTTAATGCAAACAGGAATTCAAAAATAGCAAGAGAGGTCAGTTGAGACTCAGTGGTACTGGTTACCTGGCCTTAGAAGTATCATGAAAACATCGTATTTTTTAGGATCACGGCAGACTTGTACGAGCTGCACAATTGGTGTGCAAAAATGAAAGAATCTGTAGTATAGTTATGAGAATATGAAACTACTTTCGCTGTACGACGTCTGGGTTTACTAGGCGACCGAATGTTGTTGGCTAGTGAAAGGTACCTCGTGATATTGTTAATTTTACGAAGGCAACGAAAAAGTGGTCGCTTTTGAAAAATTGCCTTGAAAGAATCTAATGACTTTTCACAAGACAACATCATCACTTAGCTTCCAGCCTTTTTGACGTCATCAGGACAGTCCCAGTATGAAAAATTTATCCCCACCAACCGAGCGAAAGGTTTTTTCCTAGCATAAGCTAAAATATATATTAAATTTCAAATAGCTTCAAGCCTGGGGATAATTATTTAATAGAGATAGCAAATAGCTAATGTCAGTGGTTTCTGGAAATAATAAGCTCTAACAATATTAAACAAGCCCTCCTTGATGCTATACTACTAATGCATCTTTTGTTGGTGGCAGGCTTTTATGCGTTGAGCTTTCTTCGTGAACAGCATACTTCTACACTCATCTATTAATAATAGCCTACAAGTACGATCGTAGAGCAGAACAAACCTCTCAATTGACTAGACTAATTAATCCTCAAGTTTTTGACACTTTGACTGCTTATCCTTAGTAAATTTTGTGCGTTACCGTAAGACAGCCTAGAATAAGGGCCTGTTAATATTAACAAATTTATCCCACCTCGCAGCCCATAATCGGGCAGGTTGGATGAACCCATCGAATCTTTACATGCAAATTCTATCCCAACTTTCAGCTGTATATAGAGAAAATCATCCAACCATCCAGCTTGTGTGCTGATAAGGTAGAAAAAATTGAATCGCGTTTATATGAACATATTATCCAATCTTCCTGTTTCATCCCACCTTCTAGCGTTTATATGGAAAAAATCATCCTACCCTAGTGAGAAACCCACCTCTCATGAAGTGGGATCTCACTTTCCGGGCTGGCTTGTTTTCCATATTAAGGCTATACGAAAAACACAAAGGATTCTATAGAGGAGTGGGATCTCACCTCTCAGCTCACTGGCTGGAAGGTAGGATGATTTCTTTTTCATATCTATAAAAAAGTTACAATACATAAATACAAGCTACGCTACTTAAAAATTTACTTCAGAATACTACTCGGACGATACCCCGAGGAGCAAAAGACTATGACTACCCCGGGGCCATTGACACAGAGGTTAAAATAAACTACTATAGTCTGTCTCAAATTACATGCCACGAGAAATGTCTGCAATCAATTCAAATTTAAGAAGGGAGGTTTAGGAAGGGAGGTTTAGGGATGATTTTCTCTAATTCTCTATAGAAAAAGACTATCATAGTGCCATGGGAGGCTACTAACGCAAAAAGACAGAAAGTAAGCTTCTAGCTATTAAAATATTGATTAGAATGCCTACCTGAAAATATTTTCTGTAATACCAAGGTTTGATTTCCAAACAACCCAATCGCTTCTCTCTCTCTCTCTCTCTCTCTCTCTCCCTCTCTCTCTCTCTCTCTCTCTCTCTCTCTCTCTCTCTTCTCCTCTCTCCATCTCTCTTCTCTCTCTCTCTCTCTCTCTCTCTTCTCTCCTCTCTCTTTCTCTCTCCTCTCTCTCTCTCTCTCTCTCTCATCTCTCTCTCTCTCGGTCAAATCTCTCTCTCTCTCTCTCTCTCTCTCTCTCTCTCTCTCTCTCTCTCTCTGTGTCTCTCTACAGCTGAGTGATAAAACTGTGTCACAACCTGTGAAAGCATACCAACAACGTCACCCAATGCAAACATTCACCCAATCCAACCAAGTTTTGCAGCATAATAGTGGATTTGAAAACATAACTGTTTATCAGTCCAAACCAAATTCAATCCACAACTTCTCGATGCTGAGCTCTCGACAAAGAGAGACCGCCATTACAACGACATCTGTGTGTACGGTTCTGATGCTGATGTTTTGGCGAATTGTTTCTGCTGCATTTTTTGCGCGAAGGAAGGAAAATGTGTGTGATTGAATCCATAATTTATATTACAAAACAAAACGTTGCATATTGATTCAGAGTGTCTTACGTATGTTTTTTCAAAATATGTGATTTTGTAAATGTTTGAAACTGCTAATATCTTCAAAAACTATCAAAAATAGAAGCGGGGAATAAAAACGGGAAAATTGCACTTTTCCAATGCACTTTTGGCAATATTTTTCATTTTGTGGAATAGGACTGGAACCAAACTAAATGTTCTAAATATAGTAAATATGATAGCCTATGGACCTTATTTTCCTGGCATGACATTTCAAACTTCAGATTGTGTATGAATACGAAATTAAGCAAACATACACTCGTTTTATCGCTCGAAAGTGATTTTTTCCATTTTGAGGACTGGTACCAGGTTCAATGTTCTAGAAATTTGCATCAAACTTTACACCTCAAACCATATAGGTTGTGAAGATTTTGCTGGTATGATATATTGCACGAGGATTGTGCGAGAATGGCTCAGTTGTTAGAGGCGCTAACTACAGACCCAAGGGTTCGTGGTTCGAGTCCCTGACATGACCAAACTTTCACCCAAAGTGGGGAGAGTCACCAGCTCTCTGTAATTCCAGGCGTAGGAATCACGAGGTGCGGTCACATCGAGAGGAAGGACCAGGACACTGCTCGATAAGCATAGCTTCTCAGTGTCCTAAAGCTACCTTTGGATGCTAGGTAGCAACAAATACAAATATATTGCACGATTGTTGCAAGATTTTGACCTATCAAAAGTAACGATATGGAAAAAGGTCCTTTTCGAGGAGTGGCCCAGTTATCCAATAGTAGACATCCTTGTCAGTATGTTTAGATACCTAAGCATAACAATTTTTAGTCTGGTATCACAGTTAAAAAGATTCATTTACTCAGAACCCAGACTATTATTTCACCTCCCACCAGTTGAACGTCCTTTGTACGCCACATATCACATAGTCACACACTTCTATGACATGAGCTATTCAATCCAGCAATAGCGGGCACCGCCCCTTGTTGAATAGTTGAGACTACAAGCGCTCACTCCCAGGGCACTGCTTATTAACCATTTTGGGTGTCAATTCTTTTATTTTGATTTGATAAGTTTAAAGCAATCGTCAGATGCCAAAGAAGCTAAGGTCATCATTCAATCAACAAATGACCAATCATTGGGAATGATGCCACCCACACGCTTACTGATTGGCTAAAATTTAGCTTATTTAATTTAGCCTTATACAACATGTATACAAGCCTCATAAACAAAAATCTATTTTTATCTTTATTTATTTAGACCAAAAATTACACACAATTGTGAGTATAGCGAGTATAGCATTTAAATAATATTTTACGACTAAACATGCTAAAACCCAAAAGCAAGGCAATTTTGGTACGACTTTAAGTACATTTTGGAAATTATTCGGGGGGTGTTGAAGCCCCCGTAGGCCCCCTCGCTTCCGCGGTCCCTGAGTTTGAACAGGCTCAAAAATGTTTAGCGGGTTGACTCAACATTTCTATTATGCAAGTTGAAAGATGTTGAGAGCGTTTTAACATTCCATCCAAAAATGTTCTGTCGGAGCAAGCGGGCAAGACTTGGTCTTTCCGCACAAAGAAAGTAAACATCTGTAAATGGAAGACCCTGCAATTGAACTAATATCCTCATATAATCATTGAATAACGATAAAAATTTTATTTACAGTTGGCAACGAGATCTAACATTAAGCTAATTTACAATGAATATGAAAAGTAATAGTTTATAAAAAGCTTTAATGAACAATAAATTTTTTACACAAGCTAAAGCAGGACTCAATGTTTTGTAAAGATTTTATGTTGGGCTTAAAAATATGTAGCGATTGGGACTCTAATTTCAGTAGGTAATTTTTGCCATATTTTTAGCAAATAAATCTAATTTTCTCTGCGCTGTTTTTGGGATTCATGACCCAATAGGTTTATCCTATCTCACTCAAATTAGAGTGGGTCTTAGCAAATTAAGCTTTCATAAATTCAAGCACAATTTTAGGGATTCCATAAACCCAATGTACTCTAACAACGATGGTATTGAGACTACGGAACACTTTTTGTTGCTCTGCCCCGCCTTTGAAACTGAGCGACGAAATCTTCTCGCTAGAGTCTTTGAATTAGTACAATCATTAGGATATAACGATCTTTCAAATGAGGTTTTGTTAGAACTTTTATTATATGGCGATAAAGAACTCCCAAACGACCTTAACAAAAATATAATCGAATTAACTCTCCAATACATTCACACAACTGGGAGATTTGAATCACTGTTACCTTGCCACCAAGTCTCTTTTCATATAGTTTTGTATGCCTACTTATGTAGTATTTCCCGTTTATGTATATGTTGTATTTTACTATGTATGTATTATTATAATCTAGATAATGTATATGTAGTATTATTAGTTATATTTATATACAAGTCATATCCCAGAGGGCAGTCATGTTATATTGCTCCTCCTGGGTTCTGTCCTTATAATGTAGTTTAGTAGTTTGTACGTACTGTTTTAGGTAATTTGTTGTGTAAGTTTTTATATCGAATATATATATATATATATATACAAAAAAATATATATATAAAAAAAATATCATTGCTTTAATGCTATAACAAACGAAAGCGAGGTTAGCATAATAATTAAGTATGTTCATAGATTTAATGGTTGTAATCTATATCCTCATGTAATCAATATACGAATTTCTACATAACGTAGCAACTGTTTTTATGAGTAAACCTCTAGCTCACAAAGCTCCAAGATCGTTGAAATCTCAGCCAACAAAATAACGTAACGGCCAAACATTACTTAAGGACAATCCAAACTGAGATATTGGTTTATCTTGGTAAACCTGGCACCGTTGATGCATTTAGGATTCACTCTACCATCATTCTCCAGACTCATGCCGACGTGAACATCAAATGGGTTCATTCGATTCCAGCAGCAGTCCCTCCTGTTTTGCAAAGCAACTGATCGAACAGGAAGTTTTTGTTGAAGATCAACATGAGAAACCATGGAGGACAACTCTGATGTGCTGTAATGGCACAGTTTGAGTGAATCGCTACCAAGCTACCATCAACTGCCTTGGCTGCAAATGTTGTTGAATCATACTGTGTCGAAAGAACTGCTGGTTTGTTTAGTGCAATATTTTTTACAACTGGAGAGGGCTTCTTTTTCACTAAAAAAGTTGAAATCAATCATTTGAAGGGTAAAATTATTTATTTATTTATTTTTACAAGCTTTGGAATGACAATAAGTTTCAAAATATGTATGTTGCTTACTTAAATACCACATGCTTCAGCAATACATTTTATGAAAGAGTTCAATGTGCTCTTGGTGAAGGGGAATCTCAACGAAAATTTTGATGTTTGAATATAACACAAATTAATGCAGAAAATTACAAGCACAAGGAGAAAAATGCAAAATTAAAATGTATTATTTTGGGTTTCACAAGATAAAGAGAACTGATGACAAAATTAAATTTTTCACCAACATTCCAACTTTGGCAATTTTTCTTTGGATATAAAAGTTGGTAAAAGTGTAAGAATCATCTGATGTTCGTAGCCCAATTATTTACTTATCATATTGATGAATCTGGGACTTGGCCTTATGAACCGTGATATTGCATAAAGATATAGAATATAACCCTACCATAATTTCAAAGGTTTACTGTCAGTGGTTTCCAGAAGTTACAAGAAGAGTACAAAATCTGATTCTGTCGCGAAGTAGAGCAGAGCTAGGTATGAATTCTTTCCAGTCCTTCATGTGTACACACGGGGACTTCGCTTGCATAACGGATTGTAGTGAGACAATTATTGAAAGACCAAATAACTTGAGCACAAACATGGTCCAACTACAAAGTTAATAAGTTAATAAAATATCTCATCCGAATCAGCCCTGCAGGTGCAGTGATATTTTTGTCAAAAGCCAGAGATGTCAAAAGCCTCTGATAAACAAATAACTTTGGAAATTCTGGGGACTGCATCCCAGCAGAAAGGGGATATTTGATTGAGGAAGATCAGAAAAGGAGCCTACCTGAGCATCTTAAAATTTACCAAAGGCAAGAATAAGTTCACTGCTAGAGATGTTAAAAATGCCAATATGAGAATTCATGTTGAATGTGTTATCAGTCAATTGAAGACGTTCAGGATTGCACAGTTTTTACAATTCCTTCTTTTTTTAAAATCTTCACGCATGCTATTGTTTCAGCAAACGTGGTGTGTTCTCCCGCCAACATGGACGTGCGTGCATGCTTTTTTCATTTATGCATGACGTCAGAAGGCAAGTGGTCTATATTGATCGCTCTGAAAGTGAATGACCTCTATAGAGAAAGCCTATTGATATATTGATCACTATGACTCAATTCTCTAAATCAAGAAGTGGCATGTTGCTACGTAGAAACGTATGGTTTGCTAGCACGTTACAGAAAACGACATGTACAAATGTATGGTACATTGGCACGTAACATATAATGGAACGTGCAAACTTATGTTACGTTGTAATGTCACGTAAGAAAATGTCATGTTGACACATTGCTACGTAGAATCTTATGGTATGCTGGCAGTAGCAAAAATGGCACGTACAAACGTATGGTACATTGGCACTTTAAAAGAACCAAAACCAGAGCCTTTTTAGTGGCTCCTGGAACTATAGTGTTCAAAATACTTTGAGCCAAATGCAGAAACATAAATTATAAATCATTTTCAGTTTTAGCTCCTCCTGATTGTTTCTTGCTCATCTCAGTCCAGGCTGAATGAAAATGACTTGCATTAGATGGTAGATTAACATGCCTGCTAACTAATTAAAACTCGATTCGTTAAATACAATGCTTTGATACCTGCTGTAGTAAATAGTCAAATAAACTTTTGCGTCATTTGGAAGGTGGTCGCCTTAAAGAAATTTCAATGAAGAGGGACTTGAAAGAGGTTTCACTCTAAACTGTCATAAAATTCTTTTGAGTAATAGGTTTACAGAAACAATAATGCAGATTCCAAATGTTTGCATCTTTCTTATGCTTTCAAGGTAAGTTTCACTAGAATGCTGCTTTTTTTGAACATAAAAATCTGTTTGTTTATCTTATTTTGTTTCTTCACTGAGGGATTCAGAATGTACAAAAGATTTCTGTTTACAGGTCTAAAGTAGAGTCTTTGATGGCGCGCAGATAGTTCTGTACCTTTTTTAGTGTGCAAAATATGACTGATTTAAAAATTTACAAAACCGACTATCAAGATAATGCTATAAAAAAACAATTAAATTTTGTCATTTTGTATTAAGCTGTAATGGGTTAGAGTAAAAAGATATCGATTGTTTTTTATATGTTCATTGTAATATACGATGTTTTCCTTATCAAATTTTCGCGACAAGTGACCAAAAGTAAAGTATTCTTGGTCATATTTTGCTGGTATAAAGGTTTCGAGCATTGGTCATATTTTGCTTTTACCACTTGCAGTTCTTTCCTAAAAAACTATTTTTCTTAATTCTACTTCAGTCTGGCATTGTTCCTTACACGTGCTGGATCATGGATTCTACGTCTGCCATGCAAAGAAGAGGGAGTGTTTGATGTTGCATCTCCAGGCTACGCACTTTATAATCGATTGCTTTCAACATTGACAGCTTCAAGTTTAGAAGATTGTTTTGATAATTGCAGAATTACTAAAAGATGTAAGTCTGTAAATTTCAAAGTATCTGGTGAAGGTAACTGCGAGCTGAATACTCAAACAAAGGGGAATGGTAACCTGGTAGATTTCAAGACCAAAGATGGCTGGACCTATTATGCTACAAATTACAACACTAAAAATGTATGTTTATGGAAGTGAAACGTTTTATTCATTTTAATGTGGAAACAGGATTCAAATTTTCATGCCGGTTGTAAAAATCTAAGTTTTTCTAACATCTTTCTGCATTAATAAGTAATAAATTTTTGTTTTTGCTCTAGATTGGTTCTTACTGCGAGTTATCAAAGCCTTGCAGGCAGTCAGAGTACTGCATTGACACGTGCTCGTGCCCAGGCTTTAGGTGTTTCGATTGCAGCGGTAAATACAAACTGAATGATGAATTGCAATGCGTTGGTAGGTATTTATTTTCTTTAGCAACATTCCGCACATTCAATATTATAGTCGTTCAAGTTCTTTTTGCGACATTAACTTCTTCACATCCACATACCATCAATTGTTCCAAAGTTAAGTTAATAACAATTGTGCATAACATTTTAACGTAGCAGGGTTGCCGATTTGCTGAGAAAAATTGCTCTATTTTGTTAACAGGCGCCCTGTCCCACCGGATTTCGATTGCCCTTCAAATTTTCGATTGGTTTGATTATACAAAAGACCTATTTCTGCGTTTAGGCATCTATCATAAAAAGCCGTAGAAAACTGACGGAAACATGAAATATGAATATCGAAGTATGCTTCTCGGCTTTTCTCAAGGCCCCACGATCTTTAGATTGCAGGCTCTCTAGGAAACTTTTGGTTACTCGTTAAACAAGAGCGAGGAGGTCTTATGTCACTGTTAGTTTACCCATATCCATATGAAAAATTTCAGAAGGCCTTATTACGCGTTCGGAGATCTTGCCGTGAAGGGCCTTTTCTAACTATTCTCGTTATTCTTGAGTTGTTGCACTGGCACTAGCATTGAGCCCCCCTCAACAAGGGCCTCCTTCAGCTATGGTCACAAAGGGCCCTTTTTTGTAGAAAATTTTTTCAAAGTTATTTAATTTGAGACTGCAATAGCTAGTGCAGTGGCGTAACGCACAGTGGATGTGGTTAGAGCAACTCCTAAGGGCCCCCGAGCAGTGGTTCTGATTAACTACTACTACTTCAACTACCCCAAACTTACTACTGCTACTGATTTTCACTAATCGGCGCATATTTTTAGCAGTAGTAATAGTTTGCTGCATAACTTAAGGGGACCCTACCACTTGAGGGGCCCCTAGGATTTTTCTCATTGTGCGTTACATCACTCTTCTAGCTACTATTGTCTTAAATCATGTAACTTTGAAATAATTTTCTACAAGAAGAGGGGGCCCTTTGTGGCTCTTGCGGAAGGGGGCTTTTCGGCCCCCAGCCAGGTAGCTTGACCACATAGTCCGCCCCTGATTTTAAGCCATTATATTAAGCCTACTCTATTACAGCTATTGAGGCACTTGAGCGAACCTGTTTATCGCGGGAATTTTGGTATTTTCATTTAATGAGAGGACAAAATGTTGTTTTACGCAATTGGCAGCATTATTTGTTCCCATTACAACATCGCAATCGGTTGGAAAAGATGGACTTTACAATAAGTGACTCATTTTATTAGTTGAATTCTGCTGCAAGACCTCACGGAGCGGCCGCAGCGATTAGGCCCATTGCGGCTCCAAAAATTTTCGATCAAAACGATTAAAATATTCTCTAACAAAAGTGAAGAAAATGAGTACTTACAATCATAAAGTAAGTATCCCCGAGCTCATTGTAATAGGATATCGCAAATTGCTGCAAAGATGAACTTTTTTCCTAAATGTTTCACAGGTACTTCAATCATCATGGCTCAATTTTTGTGATTTTGCAACTGTCTATATTGTTTAGAAATACGCAAAAATCAAGAATATTATTGCATTTACTTTCACCATGAACCTGGAAAACTTTTCTATCATATTCCAGTTAAAAAGTCATCTTACAACTTTTATGAATCTTGCTTTTGCAACTTTAATTTTGGTTCGCTAAAACATTTTGCTGCAGTGCTGCCATTTCTGTTTCAGCCTGTGCAATACTTTTGCCCACTAAGTGTACATTCTAGGTTTTTGCCTTCAAATGATTGGTTTCATTTCATTTAGAAAATATAGCATTAAACAAGCCAGCGGTACTATCGACACAATATGATTCACGAACATTTGCAGCCAACGCAGTTGATGGTAGCTTAGTAGGGAATCACGCAACATGTGCCATTACAAAACATCAGGAATTTCCTCCATGGTTTCGTGTTGATCTACAACAAAAACTTCCTGTTCGATCAGTTGCTTTGCAAAACAGACAATACTGTTGCTGGCATCGAATGAACCCATTTGATGTTCGCGTCGGCATGAGTCTGGAGAATGATGGTAGAGTGAATCCTAAATGCGTCAACGGTGCCAGTTTTACCCAGATAAACCAATACCTCAGTTTGGGATGTCCTTCAGTAATGTACGGCCGTTACGTCATTGTGTTAGCTGAGACTCGAACGATAATGGAGCTTTGCGAGCTAGAGGTTTATTCATAAGAACAATTTTTTATATTATGTAGAAACTAAAAAGAGATTGTAACTCGAATACAAATTTTGCACAACTGGTTTATTTTCCTGAAGTGGCGTCAGCTGTTTGAGGGAGCTCTTCTAGTGAAAGGTGTGGCGGATGCTTTGGGTGCCTATATGAAAAATATAGGGGACATGGTTATTGAATTTTTAACGCTACACAAGACCTAGAATTAGTTTTTTTATCCCATATAAAGTTTACAATGACGAATTACTAACTAACGAAATTACTATACAACACTGCGAAGACAATGCCAGGAAGAGCAGAATATCATGACTACCCCCTGGCTTTTAACATCTATCTAAAACACAACTCGGAATAATACTTTTTAATGCATGAATGATTTTACAAAATAAAATGAAAAATAATTACGATTTACGAGAAATTAAGAGAAAGAAGAATTACAAGTTTTTGTTTCTTATTCAAAACGTTTTGACGCGTGGATAAAAGCTAGCGTTGCTTGAACAATTTTTGCATTTGATTCGGGAGATGATTGTACATGGCCGTACAGGATGACTTTCAACAACTCTGTATTTGAGAGCCTTATTAAACCATGAAGCCACAATATCGCATTTATTCTCCTGAGAAGATCCCGTCTATCTGCTTGAAATTATGCTTAAATTTATGAAAGTTTAACTTACCATTTGGTTAGTTAAGATTTTCCATTTGGTTAGTTAAGACAACACTATCACTTTTTTCACAAATTTTTGGTTGGATGTGATATAAGACATCATCATAGTCTAGATGCGGTCGAACATAAAGTTTGTACATTTCATCGAGGGTGTGTCGTGGTAAGTATTTTTAGAAATATCTCAACAGTTCTATTCCTTGCCTCGCAATTCATGTAATGTTATATGTTTATATTAGAAAAAAGAACATACTATTAGACTTGACCGTAATTTATTCAAAGTATTTTAAGATTTAGTCTTTTGTCTTTTGTAATACAGCGAGGCTGAAAATCTTGCTCTTGTTGTACTTTCCAAAGCGTAACATGGATGCCCATAATCCTTTGCACATTGGATTTTTGCTACCCAAGCAATCTTAGGTACCCTGTTACAAAAATTTATTTTCTATAACCCTTAATATGTCAAATATTCTTTTTAGTATTTATGCAAATATTTAAAATTCTTAAATATCATAAAAAAACAATCATTTTTGAAGCAACGTCACAAAACTTGGCATCATGATTTTAGTATCCCAGCTTTTCCAAAGTTTGGAATTTTTAAACGAAATGACTTCTTCCTATTGAATGGCGGCTTAGCACAGTGTTTCTTTAGTTAAAATTACGAAGCAATATTTCGTTGAAAGTTTGATACCAGCTTAAAATTATTCAATTCACCTTAAATTCATAGTTAATTTGTAGCGTTAGCTGAACGATTAAAGCTTCAAATTAAAGGGCATGTGTCGTTAACATGATTGGCTAATGCAATACAATTATCTCTTTTGTTTTGTACAAAGCATGGAATCGAGGGTGAATTTTTACGGCAGTAAAAATTCAAGAAGAAGCAATAAAAAGTCACGAAACAATGGAATTCCACTCCAAACGCTTTTGTTTTATTAGCCAACTGCTAATGCGACATATGCCCTAAAATAAGATCATTTATGAATTATGCTGATTTTCTCCAAAACTTTTGGCTTTGATTAGTTCAACTATGTTGTAATTAAGTTGCAAAATACATAAAAAGCGTTTTATATTTAATTGACAAGTTGAATGCGAATAGGCTGCTACAATGGGTGATTTTGTTAAGGATTCCATTTCTTAATTTACCTTGTTCGATTCCATTAGCAATAATCTACCTAGTTCAACACCCTCACTCTCCTTCTATTTACTTGCTAATGATACAAACATTTACTTTGAAGCTCAAAGTCTTACAAGGTTAAGAATTGCTAGATTTAAACATGTTTGCACTAACCATTAATAAAACTAATTCCGTAACATTTAAGTCTTTGTAACATTCATTCTCAGAAACTGTTAACATCAAAATAGCAAAGGAATTAATATAGAAAACTAGGTACCCTAATACCCTGCTTGTAGGTGCACCTCATTTAAAGGCGCATGCGCTTATAAGTGGGTTTCTTTATCTTAACAATATTTCGAGAGAAATTAAAAAAAAGAAACAGCAGTATGGCTATCAATTTGCTCTCTAACAAAGTTTACATCCTTCCTAGATTATGTTTCTTGCATTATCGATTTCTTTAAAAAATCCTTTGTATATTAACTGACATGATGGTGGAAACAACCTTGATGAAGAAGAGCTGAATGGAGATATAATGACCATTAATAATGATTCAGATCCTGAGGAAGTTTATACTGAATAACTGTCAGAATATCTAGAATCTACTTTTGAAACATTACTCACACCATTTTATTGTTACAATATCATTTCTTATAAGCACATGCACCTGTATCCGAATCGTTTTTTTTGTACCCTGTAAAAAGGCAAAATGATGAATTCCGTTTAGAAGCACATGAGTTATTTTGAATGAAACATTTAGTTAAAAAATAATATTTATCTGAACTTGCAAAAATGTTGGCCAGAACATGTGACTCTTTTTTCAAGATAATATATTTTTACTCCATATTATGTTTTGATCTGTGAATGCAATCAATCGTTCTTTCTTTTTCCAGTTTGATATTCATAGCAAGCGTGTTTATTTGTTGCTAAAAAGATTTGTAGAAGCTGTTGTCTTTGAAAATTTAACAGCACCCTCCAGTTATCATGTCTAGCATGAAGATTTTGAAGCTGGAAAACTCTTTAGTTAAATTGCTTTGCTTTAATCATCTTTTTGTCAAAGAGTACTCACCTCATTGATATCCCCATTGTTCTTGATTTTATGACAAATGTTCACCAATATCAGACATGGCAAGTCACAATGGCTTCTACATTTTCTAATTAAGGATAACTACTTTTCAATATGGTCTCAGGTCTGTGCGTCTTTGGTGCAAGATGTCTGTTGTCACTATTGTTTTGTCACCCATGTAAATAGGTACTTACGCTGGTGCTAAATAGGTACTTACGCTTGTAACTAGCTCTTCTACTGAGAGGGCCCCTATAATAATCAGGGCTTCAAGAACTGAAAGTGAGTCATTCAGACCCCGTTTACACGAGAGCGGATCCGAACAGGATCGGATCTAAAATAGTACGGATAGGCCTTGCGTTTACATGGGAACTGGTGGATCTGTATACTTTTGAATCCGTAGGTAAATTCATAGTCAACCCTCTCTCTTCCCACCAACAAGGCCTTCTTGTCAACGGCCCTGGCTAAAAGCGTGCTTCTCTCGTCTGTGATATCAAACTAGGCCTGTCTAAATTTTTCGAATCTCCCAAAGCAAGTCTATAGAAGTTGGTCATCTATCAAGTGCTTAATCATCAGAGGCAGTTGTTTCACCAAAGTAGCTCCAAAGCCATTTGCACCAAAGCAGCTCTTTCGAAAATGTTCCCAATTTTTGAAGACTGTTCCCGTCTTTATCTGCTTGCTCTTCTACACATAAGAGAAAATATGCTTTACCATAATTTAATAGAAGCCTTTAATTGTTTGTTTCTTCTTTTTCAATTCTTTCCAACATATGAGAATATACTCAAGTTTGACCTTCTATAAAATGACATATTAGTCTGGTATGAAGGCGCAACAGTATGATACCAACATGAACACTTTACAGCCTATGTAGATTGAGGTGTAAAAATGATGCGTAACAGACTCAAGCCGAACAATTTAAACGCTAAAAACTATTTAAAACCTTTAACTTGGTCCCAATCCTGAAAATGAAAATAGTCACTTGCGAGCAATTTAACAAGTGTATGTCTGCAAAATTTTATCTTCATATACAATCTGAAGTTTGAAAAATCATGCCAAGATAATAAGGTCCTCAAATTACCCCATCTCTACGTTTAGCATACCAATTATCAGGCTGGTATCACAGTAAGCATGGTTCATGTTCTCAGGACACAGACTATTATTTTACCTCCCGCCAGTTAAAAGTCCTTTGCACGACACAGATAACATATTTACACATTCCTATGACATGAGCTATTCAATCCAGCACAAACCGGCACCGCCCATACCGAAACTAAAGGGAGTCGTATAGCCCCCTGGTAGAATATTTATGACTACAAACTTTTCCAGAAGCGCTCACTCTCAGGACACAGCTCATTAACCATTTTGTGTGTCAATTCTCTTATTTTGATTTGATAAGTTTAAGGCAATCGTCAGATAACAAAGAAGTTTAAGCCATTCGTCAATCAACAAATGGCCAATCATTTAGAACGATACCACCAACACGCTAACTGATTGGCTAAAATTTAGCTAATTTGCCTTATATAACATGTATTCAACCCTCATAAATAGCTAGGAAAACAATTGGAATATGTCTAGATATGCATGCTTAAGCTGAGGCAATCCATAGTTGAGTTCTCAAAATAATACTATAATAGAATGTAGGTTTTCTTAATAGAAGCGTGTCTGCATGTATACGCAGTGCAACAAAGAGAGCGATGCAAGTTCACGCAAAATATTATGCAAAAACAAGTATGACTAACGCTGGGAGAGTGGATGGATGGACGGGGGAATTTCGCAAACGAGGCAGGTAAGAGCAAGGCTTAGCGCTTCGAGTAGCGGCATTACACACAATTGTGAGTATTGCATTCAAATAATATTTTGCGGCTGAACAAGCTAAAATTCAAAAGCAATGCGATTCTGGTATGATTTTATATACAATTTGGAAATTATTTGGCAGGGGTATAAAAGCCCCTATAGCCCCACTTGCTTCCGCGGTCCCAGATTTTGAACAGGTTCAAAATGGTCAACGGGTTGACTCAATATTTCTATTATACGAGTTGAAAGATATTGAGGGCATTTTAACACTCGACCCAAAAATGTTCTGTGGGTGCAAGCACACAAGACTTGGTCTTTGCGCACCAAAGAAAGAAAACATCTGAGCTGATGAAAGCTTCGAGGCGTCAAGAGCTGTGCTTAGATCGAAATTTATAAATCGCAATGGCAAACCTTGACAGGTGCTTCAAAACAGTTGGCAGTAGCAGCGAATCGGAAGAGATTACAATTCAAAGCAAGTTGCAAGACAGAGAGCAGGCTTCCGAAGAAGAACAGGAAGATGTTGCGAACGAACCGATATTCTCATATAATCATAAAATAACGATAAATATTTTATTTACAGTTGGCAACGTGATCTAGCAGTAACCTAATTTACAATGAATATGAAAAGTAATAGCTTAAAAAAAGCTTTAATGAACAATAAATTGTTTTCACAAGCTAAAGCAGCACTCAAAGTTTTGTAAAGATTTTTTATTTCGTTTAAAAATAAGTAGCGATAGGAATCTTTAATTTCAGTAGGTTACTAATTCCACATTTTTGGTGAATAAATCTAATTTTCTCTGCGCCATATGTTTTTGTTCCTGCATGGGACAAAAAACATTTGCTGTTTGATTGATATCCATATTTTGGGTTTCTAGTGACAAAAAAATTGTCCATTATTCCTGGATTCAAGTTATTGACAGTTTTACATAACTCGATCAAGAGCAAAGCAGATGTACATTTTTTCTTTTGGATCGACACTGGTTAATAATTTATCAAAGTTAGAGGTGATATTTTTGTGTTTGATTCGAAGCGCAACTTCATAATCTATCATCTCTAGCACCAACAAGGTTACGACGACTTTTCCCTTTGGCTGAAACTGCCGCCATTTTGAAGGCAAACAACTCGAGCAATATTGGCGCGAAAACGAACATTCCTATATAGCGGTTTGCTTTGCTTGCATCTCCGAGAGTCCGAAGTTGATTGCTCGACAAATGTTGAATCTATTTGTTGAGAGGGTTTTAACACCCCTAAGCAACTGATGAAAGTAGTTGAAACTAATTTGAAGAACAAATTGCTAAAACAATGGAATAGCGAAATGCAGGAGTCGAATCTAGGGAAAATGTATTCGTGTATGAAAACAATTTTGGATAGGAAAAATATCTTAACCTCCGTCCTTAAAATTTATTAAAATACCTGGTCTTGTTTAGAACAGCAGACCATAAATTGACAGTAGAAACAGGCAGATGGGCCAAATAAGTTATGATCAGAGACTTTCAGAGAACTCGTCGGTAGAATTAAATTTATGACAAAATATTAATGTAATAAAAGGATTTCTGTCGGTAAAATATGGTTTTGTATCTCTTTTACCCCCAGCGAGAATGGTCATGCGACGCCACTGATCAAAGAATATAAAATATGTGTTCATCCAACGAAATCGGAGATGAATGTGCACACTCTTGAAATGTGCTACTTTTTCGCATATAAGAAATGATTATATTCCTAACTATTTTGTTCAATACCAGTCTATGCTAAAATATCAAATACTGACGACAAAGACAGACAACAATGAAAGACTCTGGGCCAATATTGCAAATCTTATAAGAGAAATTTCTAGGTACAAAAACAAATGCAGGTCATTTCCTGTAAAGCAGACTGTGTTCTTTGTTGTAGTTGTTGCTTCTCTTTCCTTGTTTGTTTTGGCCAAATTTACATAAATTTTAATAGTTGTCACTTATACATGCTTGTACTGTTACTTGTTGTTACTGTTATTTAATTAATTTTTCTTTATTCCAATGTTTGCGTAAAAAGCTCTAATTAGTCATTTAGATGTTAAAGGCATTGAGTCATGATAAATAGACTGGGTATACCCTAAGTGCCAAAATCCGCTAAGTCATGATTTCTATGACTGCGATGCTATTGGTTGACCTTGAACTGGTCACATCAACTCACCTCGTACTGATTAACATAACAGTTTCCATCAATAGCAAGTTGTCAACAACGGATGCCAATATCGCATGAAACAGCAGCGATCACGCCGAAACCAAATGACCCCCTATAGAGAAAGCCTATTTACCATGACTCAATGCCTTTAAGAGCGTTTTTAAGTACTAAATTGTACTTTAGTTAATTCAATTCATCATCATGATGATGATGATGATGATAATGATGATGATGATAATGTTGATGATGATGATGATGATGATGATGAAGATGATGATGATGATGATTATGATAAAATATATATAAACCTAGCTTAGTTTTCACTACTCCGTTTTCATATGAAAACGGAGTCAAACTAATCCGTTTTTTGTCTTGCGTTCACACTACTCTGCTATGAAAACGGAGTCGTTTGAAAACGCTAATGAAAATTGATACTTTTGAACACCGTGCGTATTTGAACACGGTTTATTGAATACGCTCCGCTTTCAGTGTGAACACCAAGTACGGGGACAATTGAATACGCTAACAACGGCAACAAAATACGTTCTTTTTACTAGCACACCAAATCACAAAAATTTTGAAATTGAGAATTCACAATGAACTGGTAGTTGTCACAAAAAAAATTTCACAACTTGCTTTTATTTAATTTCACTTATAATGACGCCAATTTGTTGAGGATTCGTGAACGCCTCTTTCCAAAAATGAGGCCAACAACAGCGTTTCTGTTGGAGTAGTGAGAACGCCTATCTTATTCACAGCGTATTCATTTGAAAACGGATTGTATGAACGGACATCGTTTTCATCAACGAAAACGGAGCGAAACGAATACGGAGTAGTTTGAACGTAGCCTTAAATTTTGATAAAAATGTTGACAGATGTTCAGTGAAATGTTTAGAGCGATTTAGTGCTTTAATGTTATTACAAGCAAACGCAAGATTCGCATGATAATTACGTATGTTCATAAATTTTATGTTTAATGTATGTTTAACCCTTTAATTCCTTATCCAGATGTACATCTGGATAAGGCCACGTGACCGATACCCTAGCCGAAAATATTTTATTTTGGAGCTCCAAGGCAACATACCCTCCTTAACTTATGCTAAAATTGCTCAAATATGATTGGACAGTTAGAAAATTATACTTATTTGATTAATTTATGCGCTTCTTTCGTATAAATATCCCAGACAACGTGGGCCTGTAACCGCCATCTTGACTGATCTTGTTGCGTATGTCGTGAATGAGGCGTGTTTTTCAAAATTGATTTTAAAATGGATAATGAGAACGGACTTGACTCAGAAGATGAATTTGAGATCGACTGTGCCTTATTAAGTGGTAGAGAGGTAGAAATTCGGTTTGTAGCACCGCTGATGGAAAGAGTGGACGAACCAAGACGAAGGAAGCCCCGCAGGAAGCGACAAAGAGAAGAAAATCCTGAAACTTCGAATGAGAGTGGATCGTAAGTTTACATATTGTTTCCTTCAAACTTTTGGATACATTAGCGATAAAGAAGAACCATTTCTGAAGCTGTAGTGAAAATCTTAGAATAATGGCTAACTAAGTACGGCCAAAAATTTTTGTTTTTTTGGGAGTGGTTTTCAAGAAATTTTAGGCCCGTGATAAACAAATCAGCTGATTTTGTATATGGTGGCTCTGAACAGATTCACTTAGATTTCTTTACTATTTGTTGCACTGCTGCAGAAATTACCAAATTATAAATCATCTTGTCTTTGCTTATTTTCTATATCTTTGTTTTAGGCAGAGTCTGGCTGGTTCAGGACATCCAGTTGAGTTGGACGATGAGCTGGACGGAGCTGTAGTAGTCGATGAGATCCATGACGAGTCAGAAGTTAGTGAAGAGGAGTATCAGGATAGTGATTGTAGTTTGGCAGAGTCTCTAGGCTACACAGGTGATAGGGAACAGAAGTGGCTTCCACCACATAATGTAAGCAGTGTTGGCCCAAAAGTAGTTTGGGCGAGAGGCAGTGCCCCTTGTAGAGCCTTAGACTTTTTCTTGCTTTTTTTTTCTTTTGATCTGATGGGAACCATAATTGAAAACTCAAACATTTATGCTGTGTATGGTCAAGGAATAGGTCAAAGCTACATGTCCCAGGACCATGGTTGCCATGTGTGGAGACCCATTGATTTGATGGAATTTAGGAGATTTCTTGCCTGTCTATTTTATATGGGTATTGTTAAGGCCCCTGCTAGGCGTAACTACTGGCAGAATGATAAGCTTTTTTCTGGTCTTCTTGGGTCAATGTTTATTCCAACATTTTCTAGGTATTGTGGAATACTTGCTGCCCTTCATTGTGTAAACCCTGAGACAGAGGACAAAAGTGATCCATTAGGAAAAATAAGGAATTTCTATGACCATATGCGAAGTCGCTGTAAGGAACTTTTTACTCCTGGTAAATGTGTGTCTATAGATGAACGTATGGTTAAGTCTAAGGGTAGGTTCTTCTTCAAACAATATATAATGAATAAGCCCACTAAATGGGGTTTCAAACTTTGGGTTCTAGCTGATTCTGCTACAGGCTACAATTGGGATATGGTGGTTTATACTGGTAAAAGCAGAAAGGATGATTGGGATGATTTCAGTGTTGTTGATAATAGTTTTGAAGGGATAGAAAGAGGACTTGGTAGAGCTAAGGCTTTTAATGAAAACCCCAATCCAGAAAATGCAGGAAATCTCATCAACCAATTAGCTGCCAGAGTTGTTATTAATTTAACAAAACCTCTGGTAAACAGGGGGTATGTTCTTTTTGCTGCTAACTTTTATTGCAGTGTCCCATTGTTCCAATATTTGACTTCAGTTGGTATAAATGCTGTTGGTACTGTAAGGGAAAATTCCTCATCCTTTCCTGAGGTAATGAAAAATAGGCAGTCTTGGGGGAAGAAACTTGATCGAGGAACAATAAGGTATATTAGAAATGGGGAAAAGCCGAATGATGTGTTGCTTGTACAGTGGGTTGATAGGAATGTTGTCTCTGTTCTCTCCACCTACCATTCTGCCAATGATTATGATTATTGTACAAGGAATACAAAGGTTGATGGAAGTCATAAAAAGGTTAAGGTTTTGAGGCCTAAATGCATTTCAGATTATAACAAAGATATGAATGGTGTAGATTTGTCTGATCAGATGTACCATATGTATTCTGTTCAATATAGGACTAAAAAGTTTTGGAAAACATTATTCTTTCATTTTGTTGATATTTGTGCTTGGGATGCATATGTGTTTTGGAGAGAGCTTAGAAACCCAACCCCTGAGCAGAAAATGCCTAAGAACTATTCTTTTCTTGATTTTAAAAAGGATTTAGCCCTTCAGCTTGCTTTTGTTGAGCAGAAAGCCATTAGAGCCGAACCAGAGGTCAGATCATTTGCCGATTTAGGTACTAAAGTTAGTAATGTAGAGGACTTCATCTGTAAGGCAACAGCTCATGCAGTAAATAGTGCAAAGCAAAGATCAGCAACTTTGAAGAAGGCAGTTAGTAAAAAGGAATTGTGGCAGAATAGACTAGAGAAAGGGCATTTGCCGGTGAAGCTTGAGAAACACCAAGTTTGCAAAGTTTGCTCAGTTATGAAGTCAGTGCATAGCATAGATCAAAGTTATAGAGCAAAAACCTCATCATTTTGCTGTGTTGTATGTGATATCCCTTTGTGTATTGGAGAAAGAAACTCCTTCTTGTTTTTCCATTCCCCAGAGTTTGAGCAGTACAAGGAAGCTTTCCTAAGTTACAGTCGTGATCGCTAGATTAGTTGTTGTTTTTGGTAAATTCATGTAGATTAGATAGAGAAAAAGCAAAAAAAAGTAAAAACTAAAAAAGCATAAAAAGTAAAAAAGAACATTTGGTCAAAATTACAATCTTTTCTCTCCAAGATTTTGTGTTTTTTACTTGTTTTCTTTCTCTTAATAATCGAAATCGAAATTGCACTTGCCAAATTGAATTGAATTGTTTTAGACCCATTGTTGCATATTAATTAATTAAAAAAAGACTGTTCAAGAAAAATGATTGATATTTCAACTCAGTGTGCTAAGACTATGACAAAATACATTATTGAAAGAAAAAAGTAGTTAAGTGTTTTATTATTGAAGATAATTGACCTTAATTAATAAAGTTCTTTTCTGTTATATTCAATTATGCAAATTGGATGCTAATTAATGTCCAATTATAATATAATTTTGGCATAATAAGATCATTTGCATAAAATACAGCTATTGATGATTACTTGGGCAAAAGATCATCCAGTTATCTTAAAAAATCAATTTTTGCTGAATATTTAGATAAAGTAGGCAAAAATCCTAAAATTCTGTCAATAACGAAAGGGTTAATGGTTGTAATTCATATACGAATGTAATCAATATACGAATGTCTACATAAACTAACAACTGTTTTTATGAGTAAACCTCTAGTTCGCAAATTTCAATCATCGATGAAAGTTCAGCCAACACGATGACGTAACGGCCGTACATTACTGAAGGACATCCCAAACTGAGGTATTGGTTTATCTGGGTAAAACTGCCACCGTTGACGCATTTAGGATTCACTCTACCATCATTCTCTAGACTCATGCCGACGCGAACATCAAATGGGTTCATTCGATTCCAGCAGCAGTCCCTCCTGTTTTGCAAAGCAACTGATCGAACAGGAAGTTTTTGTTGAAGATCAACACGAAACCATGGAGGAAAACTCTGATGTGTTGTAATGGCACAGGTTCTGTGCACCGCTTCTAAGCTACCATCAACTGCGTTGGTTGCGGGTGTGTACTGATCATATTGTGACGATTGCACTACTGGTTTGTAAAGTGCTATATTTTTTACAACTGGAGAGGACTTCTTTTTCACTAAAAAAAGTTGAAATCAATCATTGGAAGGGTAAAAAGGGAAATGTGAATTGCTTGTTAAACTCATCCATAGCTGCCGAGACAAACCCAAAACATGCATGTATGGCCCCATATCTACCCGCTACCCCCTTACCCATTCTGGGTGCATCCTAGAAGATAGGGGTTTTAGAAAGATCTAAACAGAAAAAAAAAATTCCTGAACATCCCAAACTTTACCAAAGGCAAGAATAAGTTCCCTGCTAGAGACCGACGTTGCTAAAACGAGGAACTAGCGGAACGTGCGCGGAACTAGCGGAACGACTAAGGAATGAGGCGATAACTAGCGGAACGAGCAGGGAATTGCCGCGGAACAACCCACTGATCTCAACAGGAAGACTTTTTGATGGAACAACGGTCAGGGAACTTCGCAGGCGCACATTATTTTGGTGTCATGTTTTGGTTTATTATTCATTAAGTTGCTAAGAGATGTATTCGCACTAGACTAATCAAAGTTTTTCCCTTTTGTTTTGCTCGCACTTTGTTGTTTTGCCTCCGTAGACACCAGCCTATTCATCAAAATATGGTGTTCCGTCTGAGCATAGGTTTTCCATGCCATCATCAAAGACTGCAATTTAAAGCAAAGGTAGTTAACACTCCTGGAAAATTAACGATATCTCCTGGTTTTATTTCAAATGTTTAATAATCTGCTAGAATGCTGCGATGGTCGTGAGTATAAGACATCTGCAGTCGCCATTTCGAATTCAATGTTTTGCAGTTCCACAATAGAACAAAAACAATAGGTCAATCAAGTACAGCTCTCTTACAAATTAAACTCCCATAACAAAAGATTTTGTTGCAAAAAAATTTCGAGGGCCTTGACAGAACTTGATCGTTTCAGCATGATTTCTTTTATATATCTTGCATCTCATATTTATTTTTGAAGTTATTTTTTTATTTATCTAGTCTAATCAATCCATACTCTAATTAGACTTACAGTCTCGTTTTGGAAATTTCTCCAAACTTCATTATACGGCTCTCAAGCTCAAATTTGGTTTTATCACCATAATTTTAGGTTGGATACAATCTTTCATATTGTTTGTGCTTGTATTTTAGATTTTACAGAGGAATGAAGTTTGAAAACCTGTAAGGGATTTGACCGCAAAAATCATTCTGGGGGAAACTTTACAGTACACCCATGGTCTGCAATCACAGTAAAATCCCTTATAAAATGTTTATCTTAATGTCGTCATGAAATCAATATCGTAAGCGACACATTAATCCCTTGCTCTCAATCCGAATCTGAAGTGAAATATTTTGTAAAAAAGAATTTGAAGAATTTTTCAAATGAGGCCGTAAGTTGAATTGGTGTATTGTTCTTTGGTCTTTCCGCTAGCCCTCTTCTCGTATCGCGGTCATTCCCTCGTCGTTCCGCTAGTTCTCCCCTCATTCCCTCGTCGTTCCGCGGTCATTCCTTAGTCGTTCCGCTCTTTCCGCGGTCATTCCTCAGTCGTTCCGCTAGTTCCGCGCACGTTCCGCTAGTTCCACGTTTTAGTAACGTCGGCTAGAGACATTCACAAATCAAGACATATTGCCAATGTTAGAATTCATGTTGATTGTGTCTTTGGTCAATTGAAGACGTTCGGAATTGCAAAGACTTTACAAATCCTTCTTTTTTGAAACCTTCATGCAAGCTAGTGTTTCAGCAAACGTGGTGTTTTCTTTCGCCAACATGGACGTGCATGAATGCTATTTTTTTATGCATGACGTCAGAAGGCAAGTGGTCTATATTGATCGCTCTGAAGTGAATGACCTCAAAAGAGAAAGCCTATTGTCTATGACTCAATGCTTTAAATCAACAAAGGCACGTTGACACGTTGCTACGCAGAAACTTATGGTATACTGGCACGTTACAAAAAAAGGACACGTAAAAATGTATGACACATTGGCACGTAACATATAATGGCACGTGCAAACTTATGTTACGTTGTAACGTTAGAAAAATGTCATCTTGACACGTTGCTACGTAGAAACTTATGGTATGCTGGCAGTAGCAAAATGGCACGTACAAACGTATGGTACATTGGCACGTAACAATAAATGACACATTGGCACAAACAAACCTACCATACGTTGGCACGAACAGACCTAAGGCACCTTGGCACGTTCAATTCCATGGCACATTGGCTGGAAAATGTCGAGTAATGTCACGTTGGCACACCTGGCATGTAATTTACCATACTATAATATTCCCTTTCTGTTCCAGCATTTCCAAACATTTCATAGTTTTATTATCTTTTCAACTCGAAAATTCTTCAATAATAAAAGCTAACTACAGTTCATATAAACCTTTCACAAGATAATAGGGTATTCAAATTTTGCAACGAAATAACCTACCAATTTGAACCTTCTTCCATATCTTATAAAAATTTCCAGGTGAAGCCAATACATGCTCTTCAGGTACAATTTTCAGTTCGTTTGATCCATGCATTTTTACAATATATTTGCAATCCTCATTTCTGTCACATTGGAAAAATCTTTTATTCACAAGAGGATTGTCAGCTTTTTCATTGCTTGAAGTATCAGCACCCTTTATAAGTTCAAAATATGTAGCACTTTGAACTGGAAAAAAGGAAATGGCAATGATATAAAGAAGTCGTTCAATACCATTGACTTCCATCGCGTTCTCTATATTGCTTCTACCTTGCTCAAAGATCGACTCGAATACTGACTTGTCGTATGCTACCGATAAATCTATTCCCGTTTGGTCATGTGATGCATAAATCAGTGAAAGTATCTTGCGTTGCCATAGTAATAGAAGATACGGGCCTAATGACCATATACGAATAGTGATGTTATTATAAGAAGAACTGCTCGAGGAAATTTAAGAAAAGAGCTCTGCTAGTCCAGGGAGTTTCAACAAAGAAAAAAGCGATAAATCAATTAAAGAGTATTTTATTCAATCTAGAAAGTGGCAAATGAAAAGGTGCTTTTGAATGTTTAACTTGTTTAAGAAAAGGTAGTTTCTATGGGGCGTAAGTAGGGTTTTCAAGGGGCTACAGTCACCACCCCTTCCCCCGTAAAAATATTTACAGGAAAGATTGTTTTGAATGAAAGACTCCCTTTTATATTGTTCTCAAACAACAGGTCCAGGACCAATATTTTTTTGTATCTTAAAGTGCTGTTTTGATGCATTTATTTGTCAATTGTTGAGATCGAGTTTTTAATACAGGGAAAGCATTTAAACAAAAACTTAGAAAAATATTCTTTTTATGTTACCAAATTTGAAAATGGCTTCAAAAGAAGTAAAAATTTTGAGCCATATTAAAGCTTTCCATCCGACACTCTTCAGAGTATAAAACTTCAAAACATAAATCGAGTGTTTTGATCATTTGTACGATATGAAATATCTACGTCACGTTTGCGATCCGTTGTTGGAAATACCCCAACCTTGCGAGTTCACTCGTATAAAATAGCGAAACTTTTTGCGACTTCACCAAAACTCAACATAACAACTCAACTTGAAACATGATACACTGCTGTTCTAACTACAAACAGTGTGAATATAAAATGCGGACCCAAGTCCTCATGGTTAAATGGCTATAATATTTTAAACACTCCCCCCAATCAAGAAGTTAATCTTCTTGATTCAAAACCTGAGTTTGTAGTTCACTCGTTTCTTCTCCGGCAAACGTAGCTAGTCTTCTTGGTAACAACGCTGGATTCTGTACTTCAAACGACAATCCAGAAAACTGCAATCTTCCCTTGCATCTCATCACTCCGTCTATCTTTACAACGTTCAGCTGTTGCACCAACTGCTTGTAATTTGCACTCTCTTCAATTTCGCATTGTACTACTTTCACCCACCTCTCTTCCGCTTCCTTTACTTCGTCCGTTGTAACGTATTTCAGTTGGAGCCTATCTCCCTTGCTTGCCCTGCAGTTCTTCATAAAACGCAAAATCCACGCAGTTACACCAAGTAATCTTCTCTTTGAGCTATAATCTTTCAACCTTATCAAACTTGAAAGTCCCCTTTCTTTTATCGTCGTGGCCATCTGTAACACTGGATTTATTTCTTCATCTTCGATTTCCTTTTCCCTTGACAAGATGGGCTGTTCTGGCCACTGATCAGAAATCAGCCACGATGGTCCCTGCCACCACAGGTCACTCCCTTGTAATTGTAGCGGTGTTTTGCCCCTTGTGCCAAGATCCGCCGGATTTTCGCTTGTTGGACAATACTGCCATGTTGCACCATTTGACAGATGTTCGATTTCCTTGACTCTGTATTCAACAAATTGGCGATACTGACCTCGTCTTTGCAGCCAATGGAGAACCGTGCAACTATCCGACCACATGCAGACCCTTTTTAACTCAAATCCTGCCAGTGCTTGTTTTACTGTCGCTGCCAACCTTGCCGCAATCCTTGCTGCTGTCAACTCCAAACGTGGAATGGTCATTTCCTTCTTCAATGGAGGCAGCCTGGTTTTAGCAGTCAGCAGGTTACTGAACTTTCCTTGCGGCAACGTCACAACCAAATACACGGCCGCGCAGTAGGCTGTTTGACTTGCATCTGCGAAGGTGTGCAATGACATCTCCTTTGGCTTCTCTGACAATGCAACACATCTTGGGAACTCTATCTCTGACCTTTGCTTCAAATTTCTTTCAAATGTCTTCCATTTACCATGCAGATCTTCACTGACCAAACTGTCCCAAGTTATACCTTCTCTGCAAGCATATGTGAAGATCTTTCTACCAACAATGGTGATCGGACCCGCAACTCCTAATGGGTCATAGATTCTGGACAAGCGGCTCAGCAACTCCCTTTTGGTCATGCGTAAATCCCTTTCTGCTTCCTCTGCAACCTGTGACAATTCCACTGCCATTATATCACTCCTTGGATTCCACTTTATCCCAAGGACTTTACTTTGGCTCTCATCCAGATTAAGTTTCTGCTTCGCAAATGTTTCGTCTTCATCGCCTTTACTGTCCACCGTTGGCGAGCTGCACACTTCCTCAATATTTGACTTCCACTTGTGAAGAGTGAAGCCACCTTCTTGCATTACATCGGTGAGTTTCTTTTTCAATGTGATAACTTCTGTCGAGTTTCTACCGCCACCAACAAAATCATCCACAAATACACTTTTAACCACCAAACTGACAAACTCTGGATCTGTCTCCTCATAGCCTCCAATGTGCCTTTGCATCGTCGCATTTAGCAAGAATGGACTCGGACCCGCTCCAAAGATAACCCGAGTGAACCTCAACTCAGAAAGCTCTGAAATTGCATTCTTTGGATCTTCAACCCACAAAAACCTTAGGCAATCTCTGTCTTCAACTGCTACTTCAATCTGGTGAAAGGCTTTTTGTACATCACCCACCAGAGCAACGAGGTACATTCTGTACCGAAGCACAATGTCAAACAGCATAGGTATCAATGGTGGTCCCTTGTGAAGGCACTCATTTAGCAAATAGCTACGTTTCCTCTCCTTTGCTGACGCGTCAAACTCGATTCTCACTTTTGTTGACTCTGCTTCTTGTCGAATGACAGCATTATGGGGTATGTAGTGGGTGGCTGTTACCCCTGTTTCTTTCTTGGGAGCCTTTTCCACAATTCCCGCCTTTATCTGCTCTTGTATGATGCCATCATAAGCTTCTAACTGCTCCGGGACTCTAAATAATCTTTTCAGCTGAGAACGTAGCCGCTTTTCACATAGCTTCTTGTTGTCTGGTAATGAGGCTTTGGCTGTTGCTGACTTCCAAGGTAGATTTACTACATAACGTCTACCGTTGAACTTGACTGTATCTTTGAACTCCACGTGCACTGGATCACCTTCTCGGATCCCGACAGTCTCTAAGTCCCATAGCCTGTCTACTTCTGTAGCTATCTCTGGCCTGTTCTCCATACAAAACAACAATTTACTTTCTTGATCATCAGTTTTTGTTCCTTGATAAGTTGGTCCTAACAAAGTCCATCCTAATTTGGTTTCCTCGGCAATAGGCTGATCTTCCTCCCCCCGTATTTAACGTCCTGTCTTTACTCTACCCAAATCTTCAAGACCAATTATGACGTGAATTTCCAATTCGTCGTGCTCCGACACATCTGAGAATTTGATGTCTTTCAAGTGCTTAAATTTTGCTGTACAATTTCAGGTCTGGCGTTCCTCACAGTTGTCAGTTTGCTTAGCGTTGCGGCCTCTGTAATGAGCTGAACTTCTCCTTCCATATTACTGATCTCTAAATTATAAACAGCACACCTGTGGCTTCTGCTTCCATGAATAGTATCAAGAACCTTTGTTTCATGTCGAATGGGTTTACCTTTCAATTTGTCAGCAATCTTCTGCACCAAATACGTTTTGTCACTACCTGTGTCTAGCAGCATGCGACATGGAACTGAGTCATACCCTGGTATGTTAATCTTTGCCTGCACCGTCTGATACGCAATAGCTCCATTAGGTGCAGCATGCAAATTTGGGGTCGTTTCTCCTCTGCATATCGATGTGTGGTGCCCTGTTTTCTTGCACTTGTCACACTGCCTTTTATCTCTGCACTTTCTTTGAGGATGTCCTTTCCGAAGACACTGAAAACATCTGTTGTATTTACGCAAAATGTCCTTTCTTTTATCAGGATCCTTGACTTGGCTGCACTCTCTACTTTGATGTTCTCCAAGACAGTAAACACAAGAGGTACTGTTGACTAAAAGTACTCTGCCCTCTCTTCTCCTTTCGATTACTGGTTGGTCTTGTGACTCACTCGCACTTCTTATCACCAATTCTTGCCACAACTTATCAAGAAACTCTCCTATCATCCACTCATGATTAACATCCTTTGATCGACGTATGTTGATTGCTACATCTCTTGGTACTTTACCCATCAACTCTGGGACAACAGCTACCGAGTAGTGCTCTCCTGGAACTTCTAATACCGACAGCGCCTTGTAGTGTGCGTCTACATCATCATAAAATTTCCTCAATTTGTTCACATCTCTTGCATTTGAAACTCCTTGTGTCGCCTTTAAAGCTGCCATATGGGCTTCCTTCAACAATCCTGTCTGTCCATATTTTTCTTCGAGAATTGCTATTGCTGGTTTGTAATTGTCCCCAATTATTGACAAATTGGCGATCGTCGTGCTCGCTGGCCCATCTAAACATGCCTTCAAGTATGAAATTTTGTGTACATCCGAGTCGCCTGGATTGTCATGGACATTTCTTTCGAAATTCTCCCAGAACTCTAACCACTTCATTGGGTCCCCATTAAAGCGTTTAAGCTCCAATCTCGTCAGTTTCACCATATTTTGGACTCCAAAATTAACTGCATTCTCACGTTCCCGCATATTTCCTGGGAGAGGGTTGAATCTTCTTTGAGGTTGCATTCTGCTTGCTGACTGTCCGATAGGTCCTGGTTGTCCACTATTCGTTCCAAACTGTCCAAAGGCGCTGTACTGTCCTAGGATGTCTTGTTGCCCATACGCTCCTGGCTGCTCCCCCCATCTTTGCGCACCAATGTCGGCCTTTTCTCCAAAATTCTCCAAATTACTTGCCCTTGCGCCTTCACTTCAAAGCTCCACTGGTGGGAAATTTGAAAATAGAAAGCCCGGTGACATATCTCCCTGTCTTGTTCTGGGGTCTTCCCTTTGGGCTCTCGTTGAACCCCCAATTCCGGTTACAATTTCCCTTTCAAATTGTTTCTTTTCAGTTTCTGCGGCCTTGTTCAAAGCCACTTGTACTTTGGCAGCGTATGCCCTTCTTCGTTTTATTTCTTCCACCAAACACGATCTTAACTTCAACTTTCGCATTTCCGCTTGTATCTTAACGTCGAGGTCTTTAATCTCGGTTAAACTTGGTTCTATCACGATTTGAAGTTCTTTAACTTCCTTTGAGAGCTCCTGATCGACATTTTCGGTACCATTTAATTCATTTAACCGATAAAGTGCGTCCTCTAAGGCTTCTTTAAATACTTCTCTCTCGTCCTTCAATTCTTCAAGTGCGGCCATTTCGTCCCGCGTCGTCGTTCCTGAGTCGCCGTTCTCAGACATTCTCCCGCTAAAATTTCCACCAAATTATTCCACGACCCCGTGTGGGTCCCGTCGGAGGTGCCAGTTGTTGGAAATACCCCAACCTTGCGTGTTCACTCGTATAAAATAGCGAAACTTTAGCGATGAATTCTCTTTTCGCGACTTCACCAAAACTCAACATAACAACTCAACTTGAAACATGATACCCTGCTGTTCTAACTACAAACAGTGTGAATATAAAATGCGGACCCAAGTCCTCATGGTTAAATGGCTATAATATTTTAAACACCGTGTCAACTGAGGTAGCTCGATCAATTGCATAATTCGAATATTTCATTGCCTGTTTGTCTTTGATTGTGATGTAGTGATTAGTGTCGTGTGTATCATAATCTTCATTTTGCAGTTTTTTGCATAAGTTGCAATAGAGTACCGATGTGTGACGTCATCAAAATCTATTTTTAGAACTTCTTAAACTTGGCCGAATAATCTGAAAGAACGACATAAAGTACCTCTTAATGTGCCAAATTAGCTAGATATGTGCCAAATTGGGCGAGATATTGCCAATGAAAGTTTACTGATATTCTGGTCTGGTTCATAAAGTTATGAACCAACACCAAATTATAGAGGTTTGATGGGGCAAGAGCCTGTGCTAATGTGGCCATATCTCAGCAAATTCGTAATGCATTAAGCTTTTTTGCATATTTAGAGGTATTTTATAGTGCTCTTTCAGGTTCTGGGATCAAAATTCAGAAATTCTAAAAATAAATTTTTATGACGTCATCACTTTGGTACTCTATTAGTTCCATTGGAACTAGCCACGCAGCAGACCTTGACGATGCAAATTTATTTTATCTTCCCACATTTTAGACGAGGATGGCCATACTTTTAAACGAGGAATAATTTTCAACAAGCGCAGTGTTGCAAAACAATGTGCTGGACTTTCTTCGATAAAAATGGCCCCTAATAATTTAACCTTTGAAATCAATTCTACAGAGTGAGAAGAAAACCTTGAAGAGGAAAAAATGTGTAGATAGGATTTAAAGGTACCATCTGAAACAAGTTCAAGTACAAGTTCTTTGAAAATATCAAATCGGCCAAAAGCTACTACTTCTACGAGTTCTCGACCAAAGAGTGCTAAAAGCAACAATGGTGTTGTGATGTCAAAATCAGCTTCCAGTAGCTGCAGCTTGCTTTCTTTCTGCCATACTTTCCCAAATTTGTGCTCAAATCAAATATGACGCGGAAAACCATTTATCGGATCAAATTTGACGCGCTGTTGTGACAGATAACATTAGCAATAGACGTTGTACCACTATGTTGCCCAGTTTGGCCACAATGTTTTGAAGGCAAAAAAATCAACACAATTTGGAGCAACATGGTCACGCAACAGTATTGCCCAGTTTGGCCAAGGCTTAAAAGATCGTCGATGTAGTTTTCAATTGAAATGCATTGAAAGAATCTGAACGTGGATAAAAACGTCCTCTCGGCCTACGGTTATCATCTGACAACCTATGCTCAGCAATTTTGTCGTTTTTATCTTAGCCATACATATATTTCTACATAATTGACGGCAATCTGATGTACATGTCCTTTCTCCATTTCAATACATACATTCATTCATATAAACACCAAAACTAATGTTTCATCAAACATCTTTCATGTAACTTTTAAACATATTAAATTTATCATTTGTAAAATTTTGTGCTTTTATTGCCACTACATTATCAATCTGATGTACATGCCTTTTTCCACTTCAATACATACATGCATACATTTGCATACAAAACTAACATTGCATGAAACAAATTTCAGGTAACTTTCAAATATGCACTAAACATGCTGATGAAAAAGTCCTTAAAATCCTTAAATGGAGCATATCATTTGTAAGATCGTGTGCCCTTAAGAACACCATTTAAAACCTGTTATATTGCAGTTCATATTGAGGCTCATTTTTGAAAAAAAATCTTATCTTATTTACAAGTTTTATGTTTCTTCTGAATCTGTCCATACGTTTACATGCCCTTGTTACTGTTTTGAAGCGTTTCCATTTAGAGGGGTTTCTTTTGATCTTGAGAATTTCGATTGCTTATTTCTTATTCCATCTTATACTATGGCCCTGAACGCACTGATTTCTGACATAAAACTCATTATCTTTGTGAAAGTGGATAATCGAGAAAACTTTTTCAAGTTTGACAAAGAGAATTCGATTTCCGCTTGGAAATTTGAGCGCGCATCAGTTCGTGTGTGAAGTGGTTGTTTGGCTATTGTAATGTGCTCTGGGGCAGGTCGACGGCACCTTTGAGGGATTAGTGAATCTGGTTCAGTGGCAATTTGGGTGGGCGCAATGGAGTTTCAGACGAAAAGCTTTAGTTTACTAAATGTTTGCTTTTTTCAAAGCCATTTTCAAATCTATTATTATATAAGAAAAGAAACATCCCATATTACCAAAAAAGTGCATTTGCGTGACTGTAGCCAACGGATTAAAGTGTAATAAACAAGAAATAAGTGTTGTGAAAGATTTCAGCTCGAAATTTAATCTACTAAACAAGTGAAGTGTCTTAAAATTTTTGTTAAAAATAAGATCTTCGACAAGTCAATGGTGCATTGTGTTCTGAATGATACATCTATTGCGGGACATTATCAAAAACACTTTTTGACGAAAAAGAGAGAATCCATGAAAAATTGGTCAATGTGAGATCGCAACGAAACTTTTTTGTGTGGCAGGAACGCAGTCCTTTTAAATGGACGGAAGGGCCTTTTTCGTACTATAAACAACACGTGGGTTGCCTGCAAACACAATAAGTTTCGTTGCGATCTCACATTGACCAATTTTTCATGGATTCTCTCTTTTTCGTCAAAAAGTGTTTTTGAGAATGTCCCGCAATGTGAATGCCACATAAAAAAGTTCCGTTGTATATGAATTTACGTGCCAGTGTGATTCTGGCTACATAGGACGCACTACCCAAAGATTGGAGGATTGAATAAAACAACATGTCCCGCCTAGTATTAGAAACAAAACTCGTCCCCAAAGAGAACAGCCACCTCGGTCTTGCAAATCCAAAACTACATATAAAACCTGCGATTCTCCTATCGGGCAGCATTTACTGGAAAACCCAGATTGTGCAAAAAACTATCATGGCGACATGTTTCGGATTATTGGTAAAGCCCGATCGTCGTTCCTCCTAGCAGTTTTGGAATCTATCTACATAAGCACGAAAAAACCGCTACTGTGTAGACAAAAGGAGTTCGTTTTCACCTTAGGACTCCATTGGTAACATTTTCATTAGGTAAGCGGCACTGATTGGTCAACCTCAACCAGTGACGGACTGGCAGGAATGCTAGGTTGCGATCGCAACCCGCGTCTTCTCAACTTCATAATAACCGGGCCCTCCGTAGATACATTCGAGAAAATAGCTCTGTTAATTTCAAAGATATCTATGTTCAAGAGAATACAAGTGACAGAAATGAAGATAAAATCCTTAGAAAGAAAACATTTCAGTATTGCTTACCAGGGGCGTTGTAGCTAGGCGGGACACAGGGAAATTTCTCGGTGGCCCCCTTTCGAATGAGTTTGTAAAACCGAGCAAAAAATTTAATATGAACAAAATCTTTGGTGAGAAAATGCCTCACTTACCTGTATATTCAAGTTCACAGTTTAAAATTAGAGGAGGTCAACATTTACATGAACAGGGAATATGAACAGGGCTTCCGAGAGGGGGACAAGGAGGGGCAAAATGCCCCTGGGCCTCGAGGTCTAGGGGTCCTCTTAAAGCAAGGAATTCCAGATTAAGAACTGAATTTTAACGAAACGCAACAAAGTATGCCTAAAATTTTGTAAAACGAGGTAAACGACCGTAAAAAGTATTCTGAATCGTGTTTCAAGTTAATTTAAAGGGCGTGGCCGAAAAAATTTTCTGCTCGCTTCGCTCGCAGTGCATATATGTCTCTTCCTTTGCATTTTTGTAAGCATCAACTGTGCACAACAGCATTGAGTTTGTTCCTTTTTTTTTGCATTTTCGTCTTAAAGTATTTATTGTTAGAACAAAGGGGCTACACACCAACAAATATAGCAGATGAACATTTCAAAATGATAAAAAACTGGGATCTTTTTAATATTTCATAGGTGCATGGTTTCCAGGTACATATCATTTCTGTATATAGCAACCTGAGAGATTTGCTGCCAGTCCGCCTCTGACCTCAACAGTCGTGTGCTCGTGTTTCTGATTGGCCTATTTCGATCCACAACTGGGTATATATATTTCCTAGCGTAGAGTTTTCGGTCTTCGTTCTGACGTTTTAAACTCTGAAGAGTGTCAGACGAAAAGTTTTAGTTTACTAAATGTTTGCTTTTTTCAAAGCCATTTTCAAGTTTTGTACCACCAAAAGATTGTTTGAATAATAGATTTATAGGCCGAAATGGCCCTTAATCTACTACAACAGAACAAAACGTCGTAATTTTAAATGATTAATTAAGATTGCTACTTCTAAAATATTACAACAGATGGCTACAAAAATTATAACAGCTTAAATATATAACAGCAAGCTGATCAGCATATTTTTTTCGTAAGGTCTAATAAATTTCACGCTTTTGGAATGCTAGCGTTACTTTTATCGCAAGAATTTGAATCAAATCAGTATTTTCTTGACTCATCATACAAATAAACTTGTTCTCATGACTAAGATTTCTTATATAGGGATACCACTCTTCCATTTTCACCAACAGTTTATTCCGTTCTTCAGAGTAAAAGGGGCAAACCATTACAAAACGAAGTTGGTCTTCAATAGCGTGGATGAAGATTGAATCGCAATATCTGCAGATTCTTACATCCTTAGGGGTAGGCTTGTTGCCATATCTGCCTGAATAAAAATGCAGGTTCTGAGAACCAAGTCCTAATCTGCAAAACATGCTTCTTGTCTTAATATCTGGAATAATATCAAGATACTTTTCAAACTTAAAAGTAGTCTTGAATAGAGCATAGGTCCATAGCTTCTTTTCGTTAATGATGTGGCCTTTGATTTTTTTCATGGGGCTTGAAGTGAAGAGAAGCATTACCTTAGATTGAATAGCAGGTGCACTATCAGAGACATAAATGTTGTATAATGTGATCAGTTCCTTGCTATCTGAAACCCAGGTTTCAACACCAGTCAAAGCATCATCTGATAACATAAGGAAAGCGCGTTTTGCGTAGCGTTCCAGACTTAAATTACATGATCTGAAGTAAATTTTAATCAAGGCAATATGCTTCATAGCTAATATATCAATTCTGCCTAATTCCGCGTAAATTGCATCTGAGGTCGTTGAAGATTTGACCCCAAGACCATATATGCAGGCTTGTAGTTTTTCGTCTATCTAGTGTGAAGAGGTATTTTCTTAAGCAGTTAGGTGGTGGAATAGCTGAACGTTGTGCATTAATTGTTGACAATTGATGTTCTCTTGTACTTATTGTACTTAGACTTTAAGTCCTGAGTGAATAGAGGGCTAGAAAAAGTTTACAAAGCAAAAAGGTGAAGAGAGAAATTAAAACATAGTGAAAAATGTGCACTCCTGTAATGTAAAGACACGTTAAGGGTCGAGCTTGACTACCGGCAAAGGGCTATTAACATCAGGTTAAGGGTTCAGAAAGGCCTAGGTACATTTATCCAAAGAGTAGAAGGACATTAGTTGCAACTGCTAAGTTAACATTGTACGGGCTTAAGTCATAGTATCAAGGCTCCTTGCAAAAGAGGCTTTCTCTTTGATTAAGTTATCGCTCCTTGAGAAAGACTTTAATCTTTTGCTTTAAATTTGCCCTATTTTCCTCAGGATATGAAATATCCATGCACTTCAATCTCGCAAACTTCAATGTAACCGTTTACAGTAATCGACACGTAACGTCCGACTGTGTTTTCCGGACACTGTACAGTTATGTCATTGTCTGAATCAGGAATGGTTATTTCTGTTCCACATGCAGAATTGCTTTGTCCTCCATTTTCAGTGCTTTGGCCAACTTTTATATTGAATTGGCTCATAGATCTAATGGGAACTTCTAAGCTTATTACATGGACAGATTTGACAACTGCTTTCTTTCCCAAATCAACTTGCAGCCAAGCAGGGCTACCCGTAACTGTCTGTGCACAGGAAAAGAAGTCTGTACTCCTATTTCCATCTACAGCATTCGATGCAACTGTTGTGTTATCGAAAATGGCTGCCATGCGCACAGCTTTCTCCAAAGCAAGATTTTGCATGTCACCTAGGAAAGTAACAACGATTGGTTAAGTTATTATCTCGAGAAGTAGAATTGATCAAAACTCTGTCCAAAAGGCTCTGACTTCTTCTTACTTTGAACTTCTTTCTATCAATGTCAGTAAATTGACAATTCTGTAACAAAAATGAACTTTTACGAATAACAGTATTAGCCAAAAGAGCATATAAAAAGGCCTTTAAAAGCTCTTTGAGAATGTTCCTATTTTATGCAAAGTAAAGCTTTTCGTTTAATCCTCTCGGGTATAAAACATCGGAGGATTGATCCAGGGAAGTAAATAGCAGGGGCAAGGGTGTGTTTCCCCCCCCAAAGTGTTTGAAAATCCCAATTGCAGTTGAAAAACTTAATGATTAACTTGGACTTTTAATGGATCTCAAACTGGATCTCAAATTGCACTGTTTGCTTTTTTTTGAAAGGGGTTGAGTTGAATAAATTCTCAAACCTTTTTTCAGAAAACGAGTGTATGCTAAGCTCCCAATTTTAATTGTAACCATCCTTAACTCTTTATCGTAAATTGCTATCTTGGATAGAGCTTTTGAGAATTGAGAAGTCTTAAAAATATGCAGGTCGAACGAAAAGTTTTCCAGGTAAAGTTGGAATTTTATTCTACGTCCCCCCAAAGTTAGCCACTTGTTTTCGTCCCGGTATTGATCAAAAGAATTATAAATTGAATTGCATCCAATAAATAGCTTTAGTAAGTAGTAAAAAATTAATTCGGTAAATTCGGTAATGCCGAATGATTGCCTGCAGTTTTCGAATAGAAATTTCAAGAACAATCAAGGTATCATGTACTTGACTAATCTTCGGCAGCATATAACTTGCAATGACTTAAATTACAAGCCAGAGATAATGATAGGCATTGGAGAACTACCCAAAAGACACCTGTATACTGACTTCATTTTTGCACCTTCAATCTTCTTGAAGGCACTAACGATGCGTTTTTTTATCTAGCAGCATAGAGACGCAATTTTAGTCGCCTCATTCATATTTCAAATTAACATCGATTTCGTGCTTTGCATTCTTGAAAGCCCAGAAAGTTGGTCATACTTCTATTATGTTACAGATTGGATTTATAGTCTTTAAAAATAATAAAACAACAGTAAAACCGTTAAAGGCATTCTTTTATTTTGTGTTGATGAAATAGGCGTGCCACAAATTTAAGTCAACCAAACGCCATGCCACTATATATGGTGATTATTCAATGCTATTACGATCACTAGAGTTTGATAACATTCTTTTTGTCCTAGCTTTGAGCAAGCTTTTATGGCAATTTCGTGTAATTTGAGCTAAATTTGTAATGCCCCCTTTCTCAATGTTCTTTTCAGTTAATGCCCTTATCGGAATTGTGGTTCAAACAGTGAGCGTTACCCAACGGTAGACAATCTCTTTTCGGACACTGACCATAAAATAACCCCGGCGACCGTTTTGTTTTATATATCGATACGAAGTCAAGCAGGCTTTCCATGCTTTGTATTTCAATGCACGAACATAAGAGTCGGTCATCCCGTCTACTTCTAGCGGGAGAGTTGCACCTGCAGTGTTTTTCTTCAAACTCGATGTATATACATTAGATTCAGTAAGCAAGATTAGGTATGTTCTCTGCAATAAAGTGCAAAAAGTAGCATTAAGTTTACCAAAAGATGGGATATTTCCCAAAATATTCCAAGTTTTTCCCAATATCGCGATCTCTACAACTCGAGCGATCTTCCATAAGAAAAGCTAGTTACATTTTATTAATAAAATTTATCAAATTACAAGGCATTTGATTTTGCAGAAAAATAACCTACCTATTTGAAACTTCTTCCATATCTTTGCAAAATTTTCAGGTGACAACAGTACATTCTCTTCAGATACAATCTTCAGTTCGTTTGATCCATGGCTTTTGACCACATATTTGCAAAGGATATTGCGGTCACATTCGAAAAATCTTTTATTCACAAGAGGATTGCCAGTATTTGCATTGCTTGGAAATTCTGCGTCTTTTATAAGTTCAAAGTATGTTGCACTTTGAACTGGCATAAGGAAAATTATGAAAATACAAATGGATTGACGAATGATGTCAACTTCCATCGTATTATCAGAATTGCACCCACCTTGCTTCACAGTTAAAAGCAAATATTGACTTGCTGTTTAGTGTTTACTACCAATAAGCTGTTCCTGTCTCGTCATGTGATGCATAATTAATTAGATGTCTCATGTCTGACCATAGTAACAGAACATTGCCATTAAGGCATCGACCAAGACTAGCACCTATGCTGGTCGATGGAATGATTGCTTTGTCCTGGACTGCCTTGTCGCTGAATCCCGCAAAAGATCAAACAACATTCATGTTTTCATCGTAGAAAGGTCAATTAAGGTGGCTAATTAAAACATTTTACAATTATTTTTTGATATAAAGATTTGAAGAGACAGCTTAAGAAGCTTTCTGTTTTCATGCATAAATTATCATATCCCCCGGTTTTCGGGAGTTTGTCAAGTGATATCAGCTAGATTGCCCTTTTGAAATATCCTCACATGGTACCTTAAAAAGTCTTTCTGTCAGACTGTTTTACCGAAATCTATATTCTTCACGAATCTCCTTTAGAATATAGGCAAGCTGACTTTGTTTATTGGGAATATGTTTAAGATTTCAAATTTTGCTTGTATGTGGTCCCATTGAAAAGATCGTCGAAGTATTAATTGAAATTCAATTGAAATTCGCTGAAAAATCCCACTTCGACATCTGCCAGTTAAATGAATATCTGTAATGTAATTGATACGCAGGGCAATACATTTAAAGAATTAGATTGTTTAGTTAATTGAAAACATCAATTAACAAACAGACAGCCAAGATTCTGGAAAAGAACTCGGATCCAAAATAGATTTTTGTTAATTGCTCGAATAAATGAAAAAACCTGCTTCAACCAAAATTCTATTCAAGTGCATCTCCAGGAATCAATATAAAAAAAATCTAACTTGCATCCCTATTCCGACAATACAATATCTACAAGGAATCACAAACAAAAGGATGGTAGGGAAATTACATGCACTCTGGCAGAACGTCCAATATTATAAAAAAACATATCCACGACAAACGGGTTAAGTGATCGTTGATTGGACAAAAAAGGAACCAATCAGTATTCATTTTCTTTCATTTAATTTCGAACTGAACCTGAACTGAACGTCCTCTCGACCAACGTTTATCACCTTTGACCTTTGCTCAGCGATCTTGACGTTCTATTTTTTAAGCATACATACATATATGTAGATGGCCTTTGTCCACTTCTAAACATACTTGTATACGTATGCACACAGAACTAATACTGCAGAAAAGAAATTTTAGGTATCTTTCAAACATTCACTAAAATTGCTTAAGAAAAAGTCTTAAATTCATTGAATTGAATTTATCATTTGTAGAATCATGTGCTCTATCACGTGCATATAGATCATAGATCATCTGACATCTTGCGGTTCATATTGTAGTTCATTTTTGAAAAATAAACTTATTTAATTTGCACGATTTCTGTTTTGCCCTCAATGTGTCTCCTTAGTTTTACATGCCCTTGCTACTGTTGTCATGCGGTTCCATTTAAAAAACCTTCCATTTTGGTCTTGGAATTTCGTTTGCAAATTCCCTATTCCCTTTAATGCTATGCTTCACAAGCTTCTACCCGACAGTTGTAAGTGCGATCTCACATTGACCAATTTTTCATGGATTCTCTCTTTTTAGTCCAAAAGTGTTTTTGAGAATGTCCCACAATAGATGTATCATTCACAACACAGTGCACCATTGATTTGTCAAAGTTCTCACAACAAACAAATTGTTAAAGAATAGTCATTTTCAATATTTTTGAAACAAATTTTAACTTCTCCAACTGCATAAATTTCGGGCCGAAATCTTTCACAACACTTATCCCTAGTTTATTTCATTAAGATCGCTGACCTATGGTTGCAAGAAGATACTATGTTTTGGTCAAATAAGATATGTGTAGTGTGAGGAGGAAATATCTTAAGCCGTGACGTGGTGTGAAAAGCTAAAAATTGCATATTCATGGCTGACAATTAATGCTCTCTGGTACTGAGAAGCCTGGTCACGAGGGAATGGAGGGCTAGAAAAAAGTTTACAAAGCAAAAGGGTGGAGGGAGAGATCAAAAAATAGTGAAAACTTTTCAAACGTGTAACGTAAAGACACTTTAAGGCACGAGCTTGACAACAGGCAAAGGGCTAATAACATCAGGATAGTGTTCAGAAAGGCCTAGGTACATTTAGCCAAATAATATATGACAGCGGCTAAGATAACTTTGTACAAGCTCAAGTAATAGTTACAAGGCTCCTTGCAAAGAAGGCTTCTTTTTTGATTCTATACTTGAGTAAAGACTTGAATTTCTTGCTTTACATTTGCCCTGACTTCTTCAGGAAATAAAATATCCAAGCACTTCAATCTCGCAAACTTCAATGTAACCGTTCACAGTGATCGACACGTAACGTCCGACTGTGCTTTCCGGACACTGTACAGTTATGTTATTGTCTGAATTAGGAATGGTTATTCCTGTTCCACAAGCAGAATTGCCTTGTCCTCCATTTTCAGTGCTTTGGCCAACTTTTATATTGAATTGCTTCATAGTTCTGCCGAGAGCTTCTAAGCTTATTACATGGACAGATTTGACAACTGCATTTTTACCCATGTCAACTTGCAGCCAAGAAGGGTTGCCCATAACGGACTGTGCACAGGAATTGAACTCTGTGCCCCTGTTTCCGTCTACAGCATTCGATGCAACTGTTGCGTTTCTGAAAATGGCCGTCATGCTCACTGCTTTCTCCAAAGCAAGATTATGAATGTGATCTAGGACAGTAGAAACAATCGCTTAAGTATTATATCTCTTAAACTAAACTAGAATTTATCAAAACTCTGTTAAAAAACTGGGAATTCTTGAAAAATCTTCAGAATTCAAGGGCTCATGTAAGTAAATCGACAATTCTATAATAAAGATTAACTTTTACGAATAACCGTAACTATTTCGTATCATTAGTTGGAAAAAAACATCCTTGTTATTCCAACGAGCATGCCTTAAAAATAGCTTTGAGAATAGTAAGCATTTAAACACATTGTAAAGTTGGTCGTCTTACCTCCGAGCATTTATCAAAAGATATATACTCTGAAGTGTATCCAAGAAATTGCTTTAGTACGTAGTAAAAGTCTCCTTTCTTCGATGAAATATTTAATTCTGTACCGCATATTGATTGTTCTTCAAATAGAAGTTTTAAGAACACTTATTATTAAAATTATAAAAATTAAGAAAAATGGCTCTGTTTATCCAAATCATGCTATTGATCAAGCAATGAGACAATGTCATTTGGAGCTTGACATGTAGATGACACATTCTGAAGTTAATACAAAAAGCAAACGCATAGTGGTAAAAGGAACCACGGTAAACTGAAAAGACTAGCTGAAGATTGTGAAAGTACCAGGAATACAGAGCTGGAAAGGTTAATTCTGAGGATGGGAACCTTTGGGATAGAATGTTTGAGGTCAAAAAAGCTTTAGCGATCATTGTTAGGTTATTCATGATACTGTAATACTCTATGCTGGAAATATGACCACGTTAAGGTTATGGAAAAACTATTAATGCGGAAATGCATAATCATCTTCACGCAAAAGCTGCTCTTTGTCTTTCCTGTGATTGCTGACAACGAGCGAAAGAGTAATGTTCCTCGTGAATTGTCCATTTTGCTAGGATTTGATTGCCAAAAAATCAAACTCTTTTGCAGAATTTTTCGTATAAAGCCATTCTCTGCAAGCTGGGACAAAGGACAAATTTGTTTTTCAGTGATTTTTCATTTCGTAACGAAATATTTTGTAACCTCTTTCGTTTAGATCTATAATTCGTTTCTCAAATTTGATGGACCCTCAAATTTCCAAAAAACAGCAGCCAATATTGTTTCTTTAAGGTTCCTGTCTGGCTAAAGGGTCAGCAATACAATAAGACCACAGCTTGCTTGAAACTCCAGGACTTCAACTAGGTCAGGGCTACTGAAAAAAGCATGTTCCGTTGGGACCATAGCACCTTTGGCGTTATAACTAGTAGAATCGAATATGGAATACCGATGCTAGAAATCTTTTTCAGTTGCAACAATCATTGTAATATAAGCGGCAAGAGCTTCATTGATTAAAATGTTAGCAGACATAAAAAATATTAAAAGCCAAAAATGAGTAACTGACCAACTTGAATCTTCTTCCAGATAACAGCAAAATTTTCGTGTGATTTGAATTGATATCCCTTACGCAGTATCTTGAATTATTCAGATCCAAATACTTTTAACGAATATTTGAAGTCATTTTCTCCATCGCACTGAAAAAACATCTTATCAAGCAAAGGACTTTTCCATTCTGTATGTATTGAAGAGTCAGTATTCTTTATCAACTCAAAGTTTATACAAGTTGAAGCGAAGTCAGATAAGATCATAGCGATGCAGACAATGATATTAATAGCAGCAACTTTCATCTTGCAGTTCTGATGGCAGCTTCAATAACACTTTAGTTGTCTTAATCATCAACTACAATCTTCCCTACTACCCTGATCGCTGATGCTTCTCTCGCACAAACTCAAGCCTTTCAGAAAAGATTAAAGAGCCAAAGCCAGACAATTTATGACTAGTTAAACTAAATGTGGAAAATTGTATCGATATTAACTGACGCAATTGCTAATTCAAAGTAGACTGCAAACAATTATATTTTTGCTACAATTCATTACGTAAAACTGTTTATTTAGTGCCTCTACAGCTATCAATTTTGATAACATCAAGCTAGCAAGTACTTGACTAATCTTTGATAACATACGACTTGCAATGACTTTAATCACAGGCCAGAGATGAAGAGAGGCGTCGGAGAAATACCCAAAAGACAGCTGATTACTGATTTCATTGTTGCGCAGTTAATCTTCTAGAAGGCAGTAACGATGCGTTTTTTTATTTAGCAGCGTAGAGACCCAATTCAAGTTGCCCTAGTCATATCTCAAATTTATATCAATATGGTTCTTTGCATTATCGAACGCCCAGAAAGTTTATCACTGGTCCACAAGGTAAGTGCGACCAGACGACATGCCACTGTAAATAACGATTAGTGAACGCTAATACGACCACTAGAGTTTGGTATCATGCTTTTATGTCCGAACTTTGGACAAGGATTTATGCCAGTTACGTGCAATTAAAGCAAAGTTAGTAAAGCCCTCTATTTTCAATGCTCTTTGTAGTTTATGCCCTTATCAGAAAGTTGGCTTTAACAATGAGCGATGCACCATGGCAGGAAGTATCTTTTCGGACACAGTGCAGACTGACTTGAAATAGATAACATCGTGGCGTGTAGGGGATCGCCCTGTCCCTTTTTTCATCTGGTTGCATCTGCCACGGCCCAAAACACCAACACCAAAGCACCAATAACGCTGGTTTTGCATGTAGAACTGTTTCTTTTCATTAATCGATTTAAAGTCAGGCATGTTTTTCATGCTTAGTCAATACACCGAAATATAAATTAGTCTTCTCGTCTACTTCTAACGGAAAAGTTGCACCTGCAATGTTTTTCATCAAACTCGATATATTTACATTATATTCAGTAAGCAAGATTAGGTACGTTCTTTGCAATAAAGGGCTACCAAAATTTGCATTAAGTTAACCAAAAAGAGTATGAAATTTTTTCGAATTTTTCGTGATCTTTTCAACTCGAATGATCTTCCACGGGAATGGCTTGTTAAAGTTCATTGAAAAATTACCAAATTACGAGCAATTTGGTTTTGCTGAAAAGAACCTACCTATTTGAAACTTCTTCCATATCTTTGCAAAATTTCCAGGTGACAACAGTACATTCTCCTCAGATACAATCTTCAGTTCATTTGATCCATGGCTTTTTACCACATATTTGCACTCGATATCTCTGTCACATTGGAAAAATCTTTTATTCACAAGTGGATTGTCAGTATTTGCATTGCTTGGAATTTCAGAATCCTTTATAAGTTCAAAGTATGTTGCACTTTGAACTGGAATAAAGAAAATGGTGATAATATAAATAAGTCCCTCAAGTCCGTTGACTTCCATCGTATTGTCTGCATTTCAACCACCTTGTTTTACAGTCCAACGCGAATATTTACTTTGTTTGCTGTTTACTACCAATAAACAATTCCTGTCTTGTCATGTGATGCATAAATTAATGGAAGTCTTCTGCGTGACCAACAGTGAGATATACAGATTTGAAAAGACAGCACGAGAAGCTTTTGTTTTCGTACATAAATTATCATCTCTCCAGTTTTGAGAGCTGGTCACGTGATACTAGCCTTTCCTCCTCTTACTTTCTCCAGCTCCCGTAGAGTCCTTCCGTAGAGTCTGCACGCAGGCTACGCGATACTGGTCCCTTTTGCCCTTTTGAAATATCCTAGCATGATATCTTAGAAAGTACATTTGCCGGACTATTTAGAAGAAATCTGTGTTTCTTCAAGAACCAGCTTGAAATAATAGGCAAGCTGATTTGGTTTATTAGGAATCTGCTTTAGAATTCAAGTTTGCTTGTATGTAGTCCCATTAAAAAGATCGTCGAAGTAGTTTTCAATTGAAATGCATTGAAAGAATCCTCTTGGACATCTGCCATTTAAATAAGTACCTGTTATGTAATCGATACTGAGGCTATTCATTTGAAGAAATAGATTGTTTATTCAATTGAAAAACATCAATTAACAAGCAGACAAGCAAGATTCTGTAGAAGAACATGGATGAAAAAAAAACATAAATAAACAAATGACTTCTTAAATTGTGCATTGTTTTACCAAAGATGACAAATAACATGGGTAATCCGTATGCTGGTGCCAACAACTGGGTATACAATCCAACTTGCATCGCCATTTCCACAATACAATATCTACAAGGTATCACAAACAAAAGGAAGGTAGGAAAATTACATGCACTCGGGCATAACGTCTATCATTACACAAACATGTCCACGTCACACGGGTTTAGTGATCATTGATTGGACGAAAAAGGAACCAATCAATACTAAATTTATTTAGTTACTTTTGATCTGAACCTAGATAAAAACGTCCTCTCGGCCTACGGTTATCATCTGACAACCTATGCTCAGCAATTTTGTCGTTTTTATCTTAGTCATACATATATAATTACATAATTGACGGCAATTTGATGTATATGTCCTTTCTCCATTTAAATACATACCTTCATACATATAAACACCAAAACTAATGTTTCGTCAAACATCTTTCATGTAACTTTTAAACATATTAAATATATCATTTGTAAAATCCTGTGCTTTTATTGCCACTACATTATCAATCTGATGTACATTTCCTTTCTCCACTTCAACATAGACATGCATTCCTAGAAGCACCACAACTAATTTTGCATAAAAAACTTTCATGTAACTCAATAACTTTTATTCATAATATCATGTTTAAAAAAAGACTTAAATTCCTTAAATTGAATATATCGTTTGTATAATCTTGTGGTCTAATTGGCACCATTTATAACCTGTCATTATGTGGCTCATAATGAAGCTCATTTTTGAAAAATAATCTTATCTAATTTTCATGTTTTATGTTTTGTCCCAGCTGTGTCCCTGTCCTACATGCCCCTTTTACTGTTATTATGCGGTTCCATTTAAAAAGGCTTCCATTTGATTTTAGAATTTCAATTGTAACTCTCTTATTCCATCTTATGCTATGTTCCAGAAGCTTCCATCCGACAGTTGTAAGTTCATTGACTTATTTTTCATGGATTCCTTCTATTTCGCAAAAGAGTGTTTTTGAAAGTGACATCCAGTAGATGTAGCATGATTAAACTTCGAGCTAACTCGTCATCGTAGAAACGTGGAGTTTTTTGCCATGTCCGGGTATTTTTTTGAGCTGAGATTAAGGATTTGTCGGCAAAGAAAAGACGGTTCACCCACTATGCCTGCCAATGGGACTTGGACACCCCTCTTGAGCTTAATAGCTACCAACAGGCCTGGTCTTTTCTGTGTGCACTCTACTGTAAATAGAACTTTTTTGAGAATTTTTCAAATATATTAGAACTTGCTCAATCTAGCTATCAAAACAGTATGCTATAGGTCTTGACATTCATGCATAGCGAGCCATGTTCGACAACATCTGTCAACCCTATACAACTTCAACAATCTAGCTTTCTAATAGGGTAGGGACCCTAGCCTAGTCCCTAAAGAATTCAGGGAAGCTGTGTCCCTTTTGTTGATTTTTATATTTTGTGCAAGAGCCCCACTTATCTCCTTGGCCTGTAACTTTTAACGGAAATACGATGATTCACAGAGTCAAATGCTTAAATCACAACGTATTTTTGTGAGTACAGGCTCGCTGTAATTGTCTTTTCGGAAAAGGTAAGGAAAGAAATCAATCTTGTACATAAATAGATACATACATACTAAACACATGCAATATTTGTTAATGCAAGTTACAAACGATGTTAATCTTCATTTTTTTTAACTCTCAATTAAAAATTTTGTTTTATTTTTTTGATTCTGTTGAAATTCTACACCTATGTATTCAGATACAAATACCTGAATTTCCTTTGCCCTAAAGTTAGGTAACTATGATATCAAGGCAATAATATAATCTGATCACGCCATTGTCAACAACTGAGGGTTGATGATAACGAAAATAATTTGTAACAGAGTCTAATTCTAGCTGCCTTGAACGTTTGTTGTTAAAATTTATGAACTCTGATTGGTTAATAGTGTTTGAAGAGTATATATATATTAGCCAATCAAAGATTTGTAGTCGGTTTAGCTTTGTTTAGCATTCTTAAGTGGAATTGTTCTATGACTCTTCTGCTAAATAAGAAAATTATTCAAATATATTAACAAATACATCCTGTATAGAAGTACCTAATTAGGAATGGAGATACTTTTCCTTGACTGTATTTAATTACAAATGATTTGATATGTATTTTGTATTTGTATTTTAAGCTACATACATTATATACCTAATTATCCCCACTATGCACCACATCTCATATGAAGCCATAAAAACAGGCAAAATGCTTTGCATTCTAAAGAGCATGTAATGCCTTACTTCCTAGAGCAAAGAAAGATTCTTCTCTGCAATCATTCAAATTGCTATGACTTCCTAAAATTTTACATGCAATTATCTTGGTACTATAGCACATCCATTTTGTCATTGTTTAGAAATTCAGTCTTATATTTCATGAATTTTCAAATATACACTGTATCATTAACAGACGGATCTTTGCTGATGGGCAACTCTTCTATGAATGTACTGTTATGTCTAGCTTGTAGTCAAATCTACAACTTATTTTGTTGATGTTAATGTCAAATTTCGTTTTCTGCATCGCTAAGATTTACCTTTATCTTGGTAAACATCTTTGTCAAATCCTTAAAATTTAAGAAAAAGGGGTGCTCCTACTCAATTAATCAACCCGTTTTGCAGATAGTTAAACTTTGTTCATTGCCAATATTTTTTAAAACCTTTTAAATATTTTTTTAAAATTTCATACTCCTTTTTAAAAAAATAAATTAATGAGCATTGCTATAGTTATAATCACAATGCAAAAACAATTTTATCTTAAGTTGGTCCTGTCTTTTTTTCCTTTAGAATAGAAACTTGCCAAACACTTCTATCTCACAAAGTTCTAAATGGCCAACGACGCTGACAGTGATGTAACGACCGATAGTATTCACTGGACAATCAACTGACAAACTGTTAGTTGATTCTGGGATATTCAATCCTAAAGCACATGTAGAATTTCGTCTTCCAGTTCCATAACCATTACCAACCTTTACACTGAAGTTTTTCATCGTCCTGAATTCATTCTTAATGCTGATTATAATAACAGATCTGACAACTGCTTCGTTCCCTAAGTCGACCTGTAGCCAAGAAGGGTTTCCATAATCTGTCTGTGCACAGGAGTAGAACTCTGTACCCCTGTTTCCATCTACAGCATGAGACGCAACTGTCTCGTTTACATGAAGGCTTGATATCGTCACATCTTTGTTATAAGCAAGGTTCTGTTTGGCTACAAGAAAATGTTTATGATGCAACCAAAAATAAATCTTGATCATTCTTGATTGATTATTTCAGAAAAAGATGCTAAGAGGCTGTAGCAGAGCCTTGGCAACAAAAGAAGGGAGAATCTAAGAGAAGACGGAGGTTTGATCATGTTAATTGACTTTAGTTTTGAAAGAGGACGGGCTACAACAATTTCGGAAGCTAGAACGCGAAGCAAATTTTGTTCTCTATTTAACAAGCTCTGGAAAGGAAATTTGTTTTCTGGGACAAAGTCCATGGATTTGGCTGACTTTGAATGGGTGAACACTGTAAGAGTTTCTTTTGTTTTTGACTTGTATCAAGCAATCAGTAATGCTATCTATGATCCCTTCGTGCAATGATATAGAGAAACAACACAGTGTCAATGAGGAGGAGATTGGACATGCAAGGTAAAAGTATTTACTAAGCAAATTTCAATGAGATCGAGATTTTTTTCTCACTTAAGCTCTAAAAGGCTTTTTGCGCAACCAGCACGCTTTTCGACTATATCGTACTGCATGAAAATACAAAACACGGTCAATTTCTCAAGACAACTGCCGCTAAGCATGTCGGTTGCGCAAGAGCCTTTAAATAATTGAATTTGAATATAGATCTCTGGTGTATTTTTTGAACCCAAAAAGTCTTCCAGATGGATTGATGCAACTTACAAAATTAAGAGGTACTATATTTAGCATAAAAACCAACCAATTTCAATCTTCTTCCAAATCTTTGCAAAATGTCCAGGCGAATCCAGTACATGCTTTTCAGGTACAATTATCAAATCTTTTGAACCAAGCATTTTCACCACATATTTGCATTCGATGTGTCGGTCACATTCAAAAAATTTTTTACCAAAGAGTGTTTTCCCAGTGTCTGCATTATTTACCAAATCAGCACCCTTTATCAGCTCAAAGTATGTCTCACATCGTACAGAGATTAAGAAAGTGACCAAAAGATACAAAAATTGCTCCATGTGCCTGATTGCAATAACTTCAGTTGCACCGTTCAGATTGCAATTTTAAACAATTGTTACTAAGCTTATCTCAAAAAGATATTTCTGTACGGTGTTCCCTCGAAAACGCGCTATGCTTTTTCAAGAATCTTGTTTCAAGATGCAACCATAACTCAAATGTCAAACAAGGCAACTTGAAAACTGTTTTCCGTTTCTTTTAAAATCGTTTTTCTTTTAAAGGGCACATTGTTTAGCGAGCTGTTGAATGATCTTAATCTTAAATCAACATGTTTGTTATCGAGAATTTCCGTTGCCAAAGCGCTTTTGCAATGACAAAAAATCCCCTCATAATTAATATATCAGTCGAGAATACGATTAAACATCTTCGCATTGTCCCACTCGAAATATACAGTTGAGAAATTCACTTATCTAAGAACGGCATTTTGAAAGAAATTTTGATTTTGATACCTAGGCCAAAATCAAACGTCGCTTTAATTCAAGATTGAAGAATAAGTGGACTCGTGAGAAGTACGACGCCTGGCTAAGTAGGGTGCATTAAAATTGACTAAGAAATTCAATAAAAAGAATATATTCTTTTATCTAATGCTTCAAAAGCAAAAAAGTTAAGATTAATTAATACTTTAATGATATAAGTAAAAACACCACAATGAAACTAACCTTTTGTTGCTGACTTTCTGTTACCAAATTGAAATCTAGCTATTTGTTTTCCGAAGATAAAGGTAAGCAAGTTAGAGAACGGAAATAAGTCGTCCAAAATATTTTAATCAGAATAGTAAATTACTTCATTTTACAACAACGCTTTGCTAGTTTCGAAGTATTGTCTTAGATGGTTTGTCATTGACTGTTCACTTCATATATCAAAAACATATTATTCTTTTTCATGAATATTTTTGTTTATGTTTCTGTATTGAAGTGATGGATGACAGAAATGTGTACCTCGTGATCAATGCCTCGTGATCGATGACAGAAATGTGTACGCTTAGGTTTTTAAAACAGTTCTGGGTTCAGCAGCTCTGGGTTTTGCAGTTAAAGCTAAAACCAGACAATTATTATATATGTCAACGCATTAAGAGCTCACCGCAGAGTCACAACTTGGAATTATTCTTGTTTAAAGCCAAACATCATTTCCCTTCATTTGATGTAGAATTGCTGCATCGTTGCATTTTCTTTCAATCATGGTCGTATGATGATTTTACTTGGGATAAAGTAAGCTGCTTTATCGAAATGAGAACAATTTGTCGCAGGCTTTGTCTCTATGTTTCTTCACAATAAGCTAAACATTTCATCTATATAGTTGATGTTTGATTCTGCCTCTATTTAAAAGGATTGCAGGACTATGTTTATTTGCTAATACAATGACTACCATAAGGGTGTGAATAATCACTAATCTTTCCTACTAAATTCCTCGTCTCCCGTCAGTCCCTTCCCCCTATACAATGTAAGACTCCGACTAGAAAATGACAAAAAAAGTATGTTGAAGCAAGAATAGTTTTTAGCGACATTTTTATCTTCCTTCCCAACATTGCTTTAAGGGGTGGCTGTGTGCTTGAAAGTGGAAGATGAACTGAAAAAAATGCAATTATTACAAGCGTTAAATCAGTGTTCAAGATTCTTTTGGTGGCTATTGTAGGTCAAACATTTTGTTGTTTTGGTCAAATTGCTGTTGCTTAGCAACTACAGCAATGTCATGGTAACAAGACTTTTACTGCAATATAAAGATCTTAATACGATTCTAGAGAATTGGAATAAGAACTATCCTTTACTTTTATGACATTCAAATATAGATTTTGGAAAAACTTTGGGACCCTTTGAAACATGATAGGCTACTGAAATTTCCTCAATTGAGTATATCTGGAACATTAAAAGGTAGCAAATATTTTTCACTTGATTTAAAAAATGTCAGAAAAGACTAGAGTAGAGACAGACATAAAGATGACACTCCTGCAATCAATATTAAAAACACTCAAGATTTAGAGTGCGTATCCTTGAGTCAAAACACCAATCAAAGAATCTTTGATAAAGATGACAAACATTTTAACATCTGTGTACATAAAAGAAACAAGCAGCTTTCAACGGAATACAGACAGAGGTTGACATATTATTTGATCTAAAAAAACTCACAAGTAAACGCCTAAAAACGGTAGTAATGTTTGTTGATTTTTGCATCTTTCAGCAAAAGGTAGTAATGCGTTATTTAGAAGTTGCTGATTTCAAAGTGGAGAGAAATTGCCTGGTTTTCAATAGCAATATTTTACGAACAATGCATTAAGTGCTTGACGCGTATAGAATTAACAAGACTTGCCCATCAAACCATCTTTTTATCTTCAAAAACAATACTCAGTTTGGAACGGTAGCTTACTTTAGTTGGGTGGCTTGGATGAATCGATTAGGTTCGGTCGCTTGGCTTGGGTGGCTTGATTTGAGTGGTTTCCCTTGGTTGGGTAGTTTTAGTTGGGTAGTTTTGGTTGGGTGTGTCTAGTAAGACGAGCCAAAGATGAAACTGTTTTACTAATTAACCGACTAACGTGATAAAACCAGTTATCACTTCAATACGAAAACAACACGCAAGTATGAAAACATGTGCAGTGTACCGCCGCACCTTTCAGAAAGACTTTTCAATGTTACAATGAACATAACATAACAGGGTGGATAGGGTTGGGTGGCTTGGGTTGAAAGGTTTGGGTTGGGTGGCTTGGGTTGGACCTGGCTTGGGTTGGACCTGGCTTGGGTTGGACCTGGCTTGGGTTGGACCTGGCTTGGGGCTTGGGTATATTGTCAAGCATTAATTCGACCATTGAATTGTTTCTGAGTTTAGCATAACTCATGCAGAGCTCTTTATTGAAACTATATGATATCAATATATTTTTATTTATAGAAATGAACAAGTCAGCAACCCAAAGAAAGAAAGAAACATTCTCAAATACTTGCCTTAAAATAATTTTCAAGTCGATGGGAACACGAAAGTTTTTTTGCTTACCTTAAAAATTCAATACAAAATAACAACAGATTTAACATTTCCAAGCAATTGAAATACCAGTATTCTAAAGGGTAAACAGCTAGAAGTTATAACGCTTTAACAAGGAATTGACTGATGGTTGTCTAAAGTGTGAAACCTTTAGTTACTTCTCACAACCGATTGGCACTACAAACAATTGTAGATATGTAAATAAAAGACAACGTTTATGAGCAAAATTCTGCAACAGTCTCTCTTGTGTAAATCTAGGGGAGTAGAATTTGAAATGTTTCATTGTTCTTTCCTGCCACCTAAAGAGTTAATTCGCCACGACGCCCCTATATATACACACCACCAAGACAAAATTATTGCAGCGCCCAAACCCAAAGTAGCATCCAAAAAATCAAGTTTTGCTCCTCTATAAATTTACGCTCCAACATTCCTCTTTAAGGAGAACATAACCATGCTAAACTAATTGTCAATTTTTTAAAGTATATTAAGGATTTAGAAATAATCTGAACTGTAACATAAGCTTAAGGAGTTATGCAGTTAACAGACGAAAATATCTGCAGAGATAAAATCAAAATGATAACAGGACGAGGTCCGAGTAGTTGTATTAAAACTTAGTGTAAATGGTATTTCGATTCAAAAGATTTCAAAGGTTTTTATAGAAAATGATAAGAAAATAGTGAGTGTTTAGAAAACAGCAAATGAAGTCAATAGTCCCTACTACTCCAAAATTCATCAACACAACTTGGGTAATTTTTTGAAAACAGTGAATTAGGAACTAGCAGCGTGTGAGTTAAGGCAGTGAAATATGTTAAAAGAATGCAAAACAGCCTTTTGGGTAAAATTGAATCAATGCGAAGGAAATAAGGGAGGTAGTCCTTCTCATATAAAGCGATTTATCCCCTCAAAATTACCTGAAAATCTGTACGCTCTCTGTCCTTCTCTGGCTTTCACAAACACCTAATCTTAACAAAAGTGAAAATTTCTTATTGCCAATGAAAATGATCTGATTTATAATCCACGAGGCTCTCTAAGATTCAAATAAAAATTGATTTGGAGATTTCATGGAGAATGAAGTAGAGTCCCAGTGCATTTCATCAACAAATTTTGTGCATCCATTCCAAAGCGATTTTCAGCACTTATCAGTTGGTTCATTTGTTGATTTAAAATTTTGAAAATGAAAATTGAACATTCGGATTTATGTTTCATTGAATTCTCTGTCTTATTTAATCAGCATTGACTGATAAGAAAAAAGCTTAATCAGACAACAACAGATGTTTTTAATGGATCCGCTATTAATCGCCTTCGCACTTGTTTCAATACTTTTTGTCCTGGTAGGGTGTATCGATCTGCAGCGAAGCTATAGGAACAAAATGACAATAATTTCCATTTCATTTCATTTAATCTTATTTATACATGATATCCATTCAGTAAAAGGAAAGTTTTGATATAAGAAAAGAAAAACTACCGCACAACAAAAGGTCGGAAATTTAAAGGAAAATGTTTGATTTTCCATAGATTCATGCTGCGCTGTTTTCTGTTAGTTGTTAACTCTTTTATAAATTTGTCAATGGATACGATATCTCTAATGGATTGTGGGATTTCATTCCAAGCAATTGGACCATCGTACAAAAAACCTCTGCTGGTGTACTCGAATGTTAGTGTTTGCACATACAGATCATGCCTATTCGTTTTGTTGCATTTTGATACGGCAGAACTTTTGATGAGTTCATTTCGCTTTTCAGGATAGAGCTAATTGAAAATTTTATAAGTCATGACTGTAACAATTGAGTTATGTTGATGAGTCTCTTTTTTCCGAGCATCCTTTACCTTTGAAGATTCTACTAGATCGAATGCTCTGTTCTGATATTTTTGCAGATTACTTAGTTTGGTATCAGAGAGGGCTCCCTTACAATGTTAGCATACCTTAAGTGTCTTTCGACAAGTGCTTGATAAACATCAAGCAACTGGGATTGCAGTAAGATGTTTTTCAGTTTACCGACTTGTACTGTGCATCCCGGCATATCTTATCGTAAACCGTAAGTCCTAAGTATTTTGTTTTATGAACCTGTTTTATCCTAGCACTATCCAAATAAAAAGGTGGTAGCTCTGGCAGTTTGCTCACCCTACCAGGATAGTCAATAACCATGAATTTAGTTCTCTCTGGGTGTATACTTGGTTTATTTATTCTAATCCACTCGGAAATACTTTCTAACTCAGCCTGGACGTTTTGTATTACGTTTTCAAGCTCATTGGACGAGAATGAAACTTCCGTGTCATCTGCATATAGGTTAGCCTTTGAGAATTTTGACAAGTTTTAAAGTAATTAAAGTACGATATGAAGATCAACATGTCTAAACAGAACCTCTGTAGCATTCCAGTCTGCTTTTTTAGAAGGGCATTTCGAAGTCTTTTAAAATAGCTAGAATTATTTTTACTCACTTTATTTGAAGTTGTTTCACACAATAACAGCTACTAAGCAACATTTAGCACCAAATTCTGTTGGAGAAATAAAAAATAACTTTACACAATCAAGCAAACCTTGCAGTATATCAGTTTGATTATGTTTCGTCGTTACAGGCAATAGATGGGAGCAGACGTGGGCATTTAAATTACCCATTGGTTGGACTACACGATGCACCAACTGTTATTTATCCTATTCGGCAACGAATGGCTAATGGCCAATGTTTTCTCAATCACAAACACGCTGCAAATCCTATTGGTAACTCTAAGGTTAATGCTTTTAAGCGGTTAATCCTTTTTTGTGCACATTCTTCAAGATGTAAGGTTCAGAATCTTAACTAAATCTACATCTATGTACCTGTATGATTCTGTCTCGTAAATATTTGACGCGAGTATGGGTTCTGATGTCCACTTTTGGCTGTTTGGACAACTTCTTATGTGTACAACACCTGTACAGTATAGATTCAGCTTTACCTTTTTCAATTTAATGAAGAAGCAATTTTTATTAAACCAGTCTGCCACAGTTTGCAGTTAACTGTTAAGTGCATGTTCTATTTCAATGTCCGTTCTTTTCTGTATAACAGTTAACAATACCATCAACATATAACATCATGCCAGCATCAGTGAGCGGAATATTTATGTTTTTGATAACCAATCTAAAGCGGAGGGTCCCTAAGATGGATCCTTGTGGGCCATGTGACATTTTATTTGTATGGGATGGTTTTATCGAAAATTGCCTTTTGCTTTTTGTTAAAGAGATAATCACCTATCCATTGTAGTTCCAACTCATTTACATCTTAACAAAACAACTTTTCCAGCAAGGTTGCACGACGGACTATGTCGAAAGCTTTACGAAGATTGATATAGTCAATGTTCTGTCTTATATTTTCAGACAGAAAGGTTTGGCTCAAACGGTATATTATTCATGGGCCGTATTAAATGGGCTATTTGATTCGAAAAAATATAAGCTACGGAAGTTTATTCAAAGACCGTATCAAATGCAAGCCGTTTTTATTTGGTGTTATTGTTTTACCCTCAAAATAAAGCATTATTGAGTAAGATCCGAAACCAAGAAGGCGAAAATGAACAAATTGAAATTAGGACTCCTAAAAGATTCAACGACTGGAATAGGAGAAGACGAGGAACTTTAGCTATACTAGGAAACTTGCCGCATTGTGGAGATGATTTGTTTTAAGGCACTTTGTCCATCTATCCCTGCATTTGATTTGTAATAAAAAAACATCGCCTGCATGACAAGATCTTGTCACAGGCTTCAAAGGAGCGAAGGCTGGTGTTTCAGCAACTGCACCTCGAGTATGCTGGGGCTCCGAATAGCAGCCATTTTTGAATCACACATAGATGAAGGGCATTTCGTCTTCGCATTCAACATACAATAGAAGCCACTCGAAAACAATAGACTGAAATATTTTAACAACTTGCATGATTTATGCAATTAGTTCGGCCAAAGAAAATTCGGTGTCTGCATTTGAATCGTGCTTATGTCGAATTATAAGGCAAACAGTGTCGAACTGAACAGCTGCATCGAATGATATAAAAGTTCTGTACCAAAGTGATTCAGCCGCCATATTCATCATGTACTGAATTAAGTCAAATTAATACAGGACATGATTACAACGCGTTCTAAACTTGGCCATTCAATGTAAAGTAAAAATTCAAGCAAGTTTGCTGTGCATTTAAAGATTGGAAATTATAAAAAGTTGAGGTATGACCGAGGCAACTTAAACAGGGACTATATTCTCTTGAATTAAAACAGCACATCGTTAATGCCTTCAAGGAGATTAACTGCGTAAAAATGAAATCAGTATACAGGTGTCTTTTGGGTATTCCTCCAACGCCTCTCTTCATCTCTGGCCTGTGATTAAAGTCATTGCAAGTCGTATGTTAGCAAAGATTAGTCAAGTACGTGATAGCTTGATGTTATCAAAATTGAAAGCTGCAAAGGTACCGAATAAGCTGTTCTACGTAATGAACTAATTTTTTTTGTGGCAAAAATATAATTGTATGCAGTCTACTTTGAATTAGCAATTGCATCAGTTACTATCGATACAAATTAGTTTAACTAATCATGAATTGTCTGGCTGGCATTGGCATCCCATTCTAGCGGTCATTCAATATAGAGGTTTATTTTTAAATCATGTGTATTTCCACAGGTAGATTATCCAACAAACAAATGCAGAAATTTTCATTTTAGCTACAAAGTCTTTGATGCGATCAATAGGGCAGGATTAAAACTTTGTTTTTCATATTGAATTTGCAGCTGGCTTTCTGGCAACAGCACTTCAAAATAGGTATAAAATAAAAGCGGATCTCTAATCTTTTCTGAAAGGTTTGAGTTTGTGTGAGAGAAGCATCAGTGAACAGGGTAATAGGAACTTGGTAGTTGATGATTAAGACAACTAAAGTGTTATTGAAGCTGCCATCAGAACTGCAAGATGAAAGTTGCTGCTATTTATATCATTGTCTGCATCGCTATGATCTTACCTGACTTGGCTTCAACTGGTACAAATTTTGAATTGATAAAAAATGCTGAACCTTCAACACATACAGTATGGAAAAGTCCTTTGGTTGATAAAATATTTTTTCAGTGCGATAGAGAAATGGACTGTCAATACTTGGTTAAAGAATTTGGATCTGAAGAATTCAAGATATTGCGTAAGGGATATGAACTTAAATCACACGAAAATTATGCTGTTATCTGGAAGAAAATTCAAGTTGGTCAGTTACCCATTTTTTGCGTTTAATATTCTTTATATTTGATAACATTTTAATCAATGAAACTATTGCAGCCTATATTACAATGATTGTTGCAGCTGAAATAGATTTCTAGCATCGGTAATCAATACTTGATTCCACTGGTTATAATGCCAAAGATGCTCTCGAGAGAGCTTGCTTTTATTCAGTAGCCCTGGCCTCGGTAAAGTCCGATAGTTTCAAGCAGGCTCTGATCCTATTGTATTTTTTACCCTTTAGCCAAACTGGAATCTTAAAGAAACAACCATAACAGTGTTTAAAACAGTGAACCGCGCTGTTCATTTGACTCTGATTTGTGGAAATCTGAAAGATCAAAACATTTGAGAAACAATTTATATATCTGAACGATAGAGGGTACGAAATTTTTTGTTTTGAAATGAAAATCCACTGAAAAAAAATTGTCCTTTGTATCAGCTTTGTATCAGCGTTTAAATGAAATCTTCTGCACAAGAGATTGATTTTAGGGGAACAAATCTTTGCCAAACGGACAAATCATAAGGTGCTTTAAAATTTTATTCGTTATCAGCGATCGCAGGGAAAATTTAAAGCAGCTTGTGCCTGAAAATGATAACACATTCTATCTTAATTATGTTTATAGCACCTATACGTGGTCATATTTCTCAAAAGTTTAACAGTATTATGATCGCTAAAGCCTTGTTAATCTTTCTATTCTAAGCATTCCCATCCTTAGCACTAACCTTTCTAGCTCTGTTTCCCCGGTACCTTCACAATTTGCTGCTAGTCTTTTCAGGTTACTGTCGTCCCTTTAACCACTATACGTTTGCTTTTTGTATTTTATTCAGAATATGTCGTCTACCTGTCAAGCTCAAAAAAGATTGACTCATTTCTTAATCAAAAGCATGATTTAGAGAATCAAAGCGAATTAAATTCATTATCTATTTTTTTTAATTCTCTTAATGGTTGCTCTTAAAACATCTATTTAAAAAATTTCAACCAATCGATTGACGGTATAGAATGCGAAAATTGCATTGAAGAAAACAACTTTTAATACGTACTATAGCAAATTCTTGGATTCACTTCGGAGTATAATTTTTTCGATCAATGCTTGGACTTTTTACACCTAAAAAGGTTAGAAGAAAAATTTACTATACCTGAAATTTTTATCTTTTATCAAAGCTATTTATAATGCGTTTTTACATGCTGGTAGGGCTAACTAGGATGTTCGTTTTCGACTGATCATTTGAAGTAATATCTGTTATTCTTAATAATCAATCTTTTTACAGAATTTTCAATTTACTGACATTTTGAAGAGAATTCTGGGCCTTTTCAAGAGGGTTTTGATAACTTCTAGTTCTAGAGATATAAAATTTAAGCGATTGTTTCTACTGTCCTAGGTAACATGCATAATCTTGCTTTGGAGAAAGCAGTGAGCATGACTGCCATTTACAGAAACGCAACAGTTGCTTCGAATGCTGTAGACGGAAACAGGGGTACAGAGTTCAACTCCTGTGCACAGACAAGTTTGGGATTCCCTGCTTGGCTGCGAGTTGATTTGGGAAAGAAAGCAGTTGTCAAATCTGTCCATGTAATAAGCTTAGAAGCTCGCAGCAGAGCTATGAGCCAATTCAGTATAAAGGTTGGTCAAAGCACTGAAAATGGAGGACAAGGCAATTCTGCTTGTGGAACAGGAATAACCATTCCTAATTCAGACAATAACATAACTGTACAGTGTCCGGAAAACACAGTCGGACGTTACGTGTCGATCACTCTAAACGGTTACATTGAAGTTTGCGAGATGGAAGTGCTTGGATATTTCGTATCCTGAAGATGACAGGGCAAATGTAAAGCATATTCAAGTCTTTTCTCAATAAGCGATAATTCAATAAAAGAATGACTCTGACTATAATTTAAGCCTGTAGAAAGTGATTTTAGCTGTTGTCACTAAGTACCTCTATTTTTTGGCTTAAAGTGCCTAGGCCTATCTAAACCCTAACCTGATGTTATTAGGTCTTTGCCTGTTGTCCTGTCGAAGCCTCCACTTGTTTCTATTTCTACATTACAGGAGTGAACATTTTCCAACTTTTTTTTATTTCTCCCTCCATCTTTTTCTTTCTTAAACTTTGTTTTGCCCTCCATTCACACATGACCTAATGTCTAAGTACAGGAGGACATCCGGTATTTAGCTTTTTCCAACCCCTAAATGCTTAAACCCCTCCCCCCCTCCCTCCTATAATACCGAAAATTTATCTTGTTAATTTTCCACAAAATTGACAATAAAGAAGTACTGTGAAGCTGCCTAATTTTTAGCTTTCTCAGCAAGCAAAAGATTGTTTCTCTAGACAGCCTCGTTGTGTAAATTATGTGGATTTGTGAATTTGATCAATATATCATTCTAAATATCGCTGTTATCGGTAAAGCATCCTCTTCAGCTTGTGAGATTTTCAAGGTAACGAACAAAGTATACTGCATGGCATGAGCAGTGAAGTTTGTGCAATCTCATCTGGATATCGAAACCAAAACTGATCCCAGGATTGTTCATAAATTCTCAATTATTGCCTTTATTGGCTCGACAAGTATCCACTAAATTCTATACATGTGATAAATTGCAATTGCAAAAAGTACTTAACTGCTGAGAAAGTTTTGACTTTATCTGAAAAAATTAATAACAATCCGAGGTACAGAAAAAATTAAAAACAGTCAGCCTGTACCTCAATCTCAATTTACAAGTTCTTGTACTGAAGAGAGTTGAATCACTCCAAAAGGACAATTACTAGTTTACATAGTTATCTTGCCAGTTACAATTAGTAGACTCCATTACAATTAGTAAAGAAGAAAAGGAAAAAGAACACTTATAAATACCATGTTTAGAGATTTAGAGATGGCTAGCTTTTTGCAAAGTATGTCTAAGGCTGTTTAAAGAAACCCAATGTTTGTTGTTTTAATTGAGATGGAGGTTTTACAAACTTTCTCTCCTAGCACTGGCTTTTCAAAACATTCTCCCGAACCTTACAACGCATGTTCCATCAATACAATTTTTAAAAGGTGAGATATGGAACGTCAACAGTGGATTTAGAAAATGCAGCAGTTTTTTCAGTTGAGTATTCAATATTGGCTCCATTTTATACGTATAAATGTAAAAGAAGCAAAAATTAGTGTAAGAAATGAACCAATTCCATTCTTCTACCACCACCCCCCTCCCAAATAGGAATTAGTTCCATCAACACCGTAACACAAGTTCTAATTAAGAAAAGACAGAAGGCTTCTGTCTAATTTAGAAAACTAGAATGTGGAAGTCTGTACTATTAAGGAAAGCTGCATGCTACTTGTATGTAATTTTTATAAGTTTAGCAGTCAAAATCTAGTATTTTAATTGCTATAGGTTACCTCATAAGAACCAATAAATACAGTTTATATTACTTGAATTTTCCCCCCACTTTTTCTAATAAGTATGACATATCACTGGAGTTATCTGATTGACCAATTCTCATTTCGCAGATGTATGAGTATGAGTTAGGGGATGTTTGTTTAACTGTGAGTGGTCTAGAGTGGTCTATCCACCCTTACGCTTCCCACTGTCCACTAATCGTTTTGATGTCTTAAGTAATTTTTTGCTTCTGTTCAGTAAATTGCAGGTTAAAGAAAAATTTCAATTCAAATACATTCAACCATTTTAAAATTCAAACATAACATTTACTTGATCTAGCCCCACAAAAAACATTATTTCCCTTTAAGGTTCTTAATTTGAGACAGGCAGAGGGATTCTTAAGTTGATACCTTATATTGGAGAGAGGGGGGGGGGTAAAAGTAATTTTGGATAATTCCGATGCAGGGCAGAAGTTTTTTAAGAATTTGTTTATTGAAATTGGGCTCTTAGGTAGCCAAAAATATCATTATCAAAGCTTTGGTTGACACTCGATCTCTGTTAAATACTCGGGTAATGATGCAATTTTATTTACGTATTATGCCCAGACGTAAAATGTTTCCCGTTCGAGAGTGAGTATAGCTAGCATGATTGCCAAATTTACAGTGATAATACCCGACGTCCATTTTATTCGATTCTTCACTATAAGTGAACATTTTTCGCAATCTTCATTATAGCAATGTTTCAAAGACTTCTTAACAAACATAACAGAACAATTCTGCACCCGGAACCCCGCCATGATGATTCCTTAGGTTCATAATAAATCCAGCTACACAAAAGGGCCCACGCCACCGGGGAGGGGGGGGGCGGGGTTCCGGGGTGGCCATGCCCTTTTTGTGAAGCAAGTAGTTTAAAAGCTGCAGTAAAAGAGGTAAGAAGCTTTGGCCCCCAACTTTTTCAACCTTGTCGCCCCCCCCCCACTTACAAATTCATGGTGCGGGCCTTGCACAAGAATAATTTCCTGTGTGTTGTAGCCTCACCTTTTTGCTTAGGGCCATTCCATTTAGGCCTTTACAACAAGGACACTTTATAAACAACAACAAAACGATGAAAAATCGTGCAACTTCAGGTTCATCCAAGCGAGTGAAGCTGCGAGACCGAGATTTAGAACCAGTATTTTGCGTCAAAATAAGAGCAACTGTGCGTGCTCCGTAATGCACTTTTATTTGATTGGATTTGAATTTTGAGCGACAAAAATAAAAGACGATAACCGTTTCAGGTCGGATACCCAACAAATACTACAAATAAATTTCGACAACAAAAGCATTGTAAAAATGCTTTGCTATTTTTACTTTTTATATCATGCTGTAAGTGATGTCTTGCAATAAGTTGCAGTCCATAGTTTAACACATTTCAAATTTCATGTTATTTGCAAATGAAAAAACTGCTAAATGAAAAAAAGGAATTATAGCAAAAGCTTATCGAGGAAGTAACCTCGCGTTTGCAAGCTTTCAGTTGGGGAAGAAGCCAAAACATTTCAGGTCAGGCCCTAGATAAGAGCTGATTCTTTTAGCAGTATTTTATTAGCATTTCATAAAGTCTGTTTGATCAGCTAAACCCAATAACAATTTACTGAATACTTAAAAGGCTAATAGAGTAATTGCTGTCACACCTGTAACGTTTGCTAAAATTAAGAGCTAGAGCTAATCATCATGATTAGAAGCGATGTCAGAATAATCGAAAGCAAAAAATTATGTATGACTCCCTAGCTACAGGTGTTTGTGATGGCTTAGCCAAATCTCTTCCTCTTCTAATCAATGCCTAGTTGAATTTTTGCTATCACGCATAAGAATACACAATTATTTCCCATTCATAAATCATTAGCCTGCGAGCAAGCTCTGAAATTTAAAACAGGAGAGAAACTAGAGTCTGCGCAACAGTGCCGCTTTTCTTGTTCGCTGACATCAAAATTTTATTCTAAGCACTAGAACATTAACTCTATTAGCGTGCAATGTTTTTCTGTGATTTTAGTTGTTCAAAGAACAAACAGACCTATTCTATCATCCTGATACAATTCATTTATACTTCTGCTCGAAGGCGCCACTCTGAAAACTGAAAAAAGCAATTGAAATTCCCCCAGCCAATCATATTCGGGTCCTTGATTTTGTGGAACCTGTGAACAAGAAAACTACTTGTTCTGCTATTTTAATTTTTTTCAACAGAGTCTGCACGCAGGCTACAAATCATGGGCTCCGACACAGGTTGAAAATTGGAGGAGGGGGCAAGAAAAAATTTACCACCCACAACGAGTGGGGACCAATAGCCCCCTGCCCGCTTCATCGGAGGCGCTGCAAATGCGGCACAATGGAGTAAGCACCTATCCCTCATATCCTAATTGTCCATCATTGATTCAATTGAGAGAACCGTTTGCATATTATACAAAATAAATTATAAAAATGTTGGTATAACTTTTGAACGTTTTAGCTTCACTGATAAGGTCTTAACTGTGCTGGTTTCTGCTTTTCTTCTTTTTTAAATATGTTGTAGCCGACACAACTGGCAAGACTACCATGTACACAAGCAAGTTTGATTGATCATTTCTTTACAGCGCGATCAAACGTTTTCTTACAAGAGAACAGGTAAATTGAGCTTCAGGCTAGCTGATTTTGCTTTTTTTAATGTGAAAACTGAATTGTTTTCAATTTTCTCTTTGGTGCCGTATTTCACTTCAGAAAAACATTAGATGCTTAGATGCTTAAATGGACGTTTCTATTACTTAAGCATGCGATAAGGGATATGCTCTTAAAAATAATGCTCTAACTGAAAATTAATGCTGCAATTTTTTAACATGTTTTAATAGTTATGCCACTTATTGGAAGACATTGTAATTAAGTTTTGTTCGAAATTACTTTCGTTCGAAATTATTTTTTTAAATATTTCCAAACTGTACCTGGAATGTTTGCAAATAGAGAACAGCTGCTGAGAACATAATATTGGAGAAAATAAACAAGCTAGCTAATCTTACTTCGAGGGCTAATCTAAAACACGAAGAAACGGGAGCGTAGGCAGCCCCCGAAAAGTTGAGGGACAACATGGACAGTTTTTATGGTCAGATCCTCTAGCCCTATCCAGACTAGGCTTTTTGAAACTTTCAGGAGACTAGGGGGGGACAAAGTGCCCCCCTCCGTAATTTCTTTGTCCCTCTAGCTAGGACAATGAACTTTGTTTGGATGGTACTCTTACCTTTTCTCCAGATTTTAGTATCATTGTTCAATTTTTAAGTCACGTGGTTTTACGATGACGTCATCACAATGGTGGCCGGGTGAAGCAAAAATTTAGAAAATTTTAGAACATTTTAAAATATTCATTAATTCCAAAGCATCGGGATAAGATATTAAATTAAGCAAATTTGATGCATTTTCTAATAGAAACAAGAAGATTGACACAATTTTAATGTTACTTTTCAAAATTATTAACGTTCCAAACAAAAGAACTCAACATATTTTGTAATTGGCTATAGTTTTTTCTATATAACTAAATGATCGATACAACCAAATGTCATGTTTGAGTTCATTTTTAATGCCTTAGCAGAAAAATTACTCTAAACTTGCAGTTTTATTATTGTAATACCTATAAATATGTCAACAAATGTGTGCGCATGCGCAGCAGAAAAATCATAGAAAAGGATGTTGAATTTGAATTTTCTGGTCAGAATCATGAAGAGAGGACAAATTAATGCCTAGATATTAATTTTCATCAATATATATTATTTTGTTGCGAATCCGTGGCAGATTAAACTATTTTTTACTTGAATAGTTTTGAAAACGCCCCTACACAACCCCCTGATTAATAATAAAAAAATTATCATTTATCATTTCATGAACATGTGTCAGATAGGTTAAAACTAAAAGTCAGGAGGTCTGAGGGGTATTGCTTTGAAACTCCTGAAGTTATGAAAGAAAAACCAACTAGGGGGGCACTTTGTGCCCCCCTAGTCTGGATAGGGCTAGACCAGGGGTGTCCAACTCTATAGCAAAAGGGGCTGAAATCCATAACACATTTTAGGTCGCGGGCCGAACAAGATAAACATTTATTGAACACACTTTATCATCAATGACATAAAATGATCTGACGGGCCAGACATAATTACACGCCTGGCCGGATGTGGCCGGCGGGCCTCGAGTTGGACACTTTTGCTCTAGACTCTCGGAAATAAAGGCCAGTGCCTTTTTAGATACATCTTTGGCGCAAAAGATGTCTCTAATGAAAACGAAATTGGAAACAAAGAAAATTAGTTTGCATTCAAAATTCGGAGAAACCCTCCCTTCTTGCATTGAGCGAGCCACTATTGAAGCTCGCTTGTTTTTTATTGAAAAGAATCCAAGGGGAGAAAGCTTTGCTGAAGAAAGGAATCCAGGGTTTCATGTTGCACTTTTTGACACGTGTTGCACCTGGAAATTTTGACACGAGTAAATATGTTTTGAAAAGATCTTCTTGTTTATGCCTGAATCTCTTTGCAGTAGGAGCAACCTGCGTTGGCGTTATGTTTGCCTTAAGGCCAAGTCAACAGAACAGCGTTGCAATAATCTATTGGTATTTGTTTGTTAAAATAAATCGAAGCAACAAACACAGTGAAAGAAATGTCAATATAGAAAGCCTTCTAAATCATGAATAGATAGAATACTTTAATCTCTTTGCAGTCGCTGTTTAAAATATGGGCAAGCAAAGAAAAAACACATTCTTGTTTTAAAAATAACATTTTTATTCAAAGCTGATTAATAGACTTGAGCTTCTTTTAAGGTAAATGATAAGAGATACTTTTAAAAGTTTGAATGGAAGATGTTTTTATATTACTTTTGCTTTTTTGAGAAGAGAACAATTAATGGTTTTTTTACATCAAGTTTCGTTTTGTTTGAATTGATAAGTATAGATTAAAACCAAAATTAATTCGAGTTTAGTGAAAAAACTGTGGAAATTTTTCCAACCTATCATTGACATTCCATATTTTGATTTCATATGTAAGTCGAGATAGTGGACCTTCGAAATTATTGATGCCCAATAAAAATATGAAAATTCCGAGGTTTTGAATTTCTCACACGTTAATGTATGAACACAAATTTATAATGCCAAATTTCAACAACAGAATCTATCATGAAAAAATTTGTTTCAGGGCCAGCATAACTCTCAAAACAATGCTGACAAAGCATATTTCAGTGCTCAAAAAGCAGAAAGTACTGAAAAGCCACTTTCTTCATCGCATTTGTAAAATCATTTTCTTTTGGCCTAATTTTCATAGCTCTTTCAACTTTTCAAGTTAATGGCAGAATATCAATTCTGCAAATAGACGTTGGCAGCAAAAACGTAGTAAACATACTTCGGTAATTTCAATTTTTAATTTTCATGAGGTAGTATCGTGTCTCGCGAAAGGTGCTTTTTTCTCCTTTTTAAATTGAAAACCTCTTGATTAATCCCTTGATTACAAAATAAATTATTGACAATGTCTCTGATCACTTATAAAAAGTCATCAATCAATTTTTCACGAGAAACTATCAAGTATTTAATCTTCGATGAAATTAAAATAAAATTCAAACAATTAGATTCAAATATTGACCAAAGCACATAATAACATTTTTACTCTGTAATTGAAATTATTTGCACGACAACTATAACATGCTAAAACAAAACAAATTTACAAAAACATCCTAAATCTAAGGACAGTTTTTGGTAGAAACGTCATTGGATGTATCACAGCAACAAATGTTTAGACAAGAATAAAGAAATTTCTTTACAAAATGAAGTCCAAATAGAAGCCCAGACAGCTTAACATCAACGACAAAACAATTTCAGACTACATTCATAGAATTAATACCGTTAACGTTGTTTTTACTAGCAATACATAAAACTTTTTGTTTTTTTAAAACGAATACCAAACATAGCTTCACCGAAAACTTATATTGTGCTTACTGTGATTTGTTTCCAGCCCCAGTTCAAGCAGTTTAACAAGCGGTAACAACAGACACGGGTGACACCCTTGTACCTTGGGTACCAGAGCCACAAAAATACGCTCCTCTGACACTCCACACCTATCTTTTATTTCTGCGCTAGAAATGGTGTTGCTCTGGTACCCAGGGTAACATCCTTGTTGATTAGTCGGTCTGAAATAATTTTTTTTCCTAAGGCCAGATCCGTTTGTGGTTGTTTTACGACCAACGAGCTAACGTTGAAAACTATTCTTGGGGCATAATTATTTTTTCGAATATGATTTTCCCCATTTGCTAACGTCTTATTATGCCCTGGACCAGATAAAAGTTAAAGATTTGTTCTCAAATGCAGACTTTTTGATATATCTGTGAGATGAAATATAATCCAGGAATATAGCCACATAAAATTGCTACACGTACATAACAAATCACTGCAGGATTATGAAACTCTATTGGTACGACTAGAAAAGCTATCTTCTGGTAGCATATTCTGGAATCTGGTCTACCTGACTCCTTAAAAGGCAACTTTTTAAGGATTTCAATAATAATCTTCCAGGCAAGTGTCACTGCAATCATGTCATCCACGAGATTACTTCCCTGTCGCGGCGGCTAACCTACGAAAAAGAATTTGATTTTGTATGCTTGGTATTTGGTTTTTTGGGAATATTTCCTTACAGAAGCCTAATTACTGCTTGTAAATGCATGATTAAAAAGACGGCGATCCATGCTTGCGTTGTCAAGCCATTCAATGAAATATTCATGCTCACAATCGTCGTATTTGCCTATTTCGCTTTTGACAGTCCAAGATACAAGGCCGCGTATTTACCTTTGTAAACACGCTTTAAATGAGGCGCAAAGCTTCTTGTAAACAATAGTAAAGCAAAGGCGAAGTATTGCTAAAACCAGCCAAGGAAACGAAAACAACTTGATTGCATTGACTACTGTCAATAGGGAAGTAAAGGACAGACTATAGCTGAAGTAAAATAGGAAACCATGTTCATGATAGTGAAGTATGGAGGTTCGTATTAATTCTAAATATATGACAAAATCTGCAAATAAAGTGTAACGAGAAATGGCGACAAGGCCCTGACTGGTTGGATACGACAAATCTTCTTTAGGCAGTAACCACTTGATGTTTTTGATGGTGAAGACGAGAAATTTAAAATTACGTAAAAATAGTTTAATTCGTTTCTATACAATAACACCATTCAATTTTTGTCTCAAAAATGCTTTAATAAATCCCATTATCAACTCACTACAGAATGCAAGGAACAGTTCTTCAATACCGACTGCCGAACAAAAGTTCTTCTAGAATGCATCAAAGAAAAATGCGATGCCATGAATGAAGGTAAGAAAGAAATTCTTGATAACAATTTGCAATAGAGCAATATGACTTCCGATAACTAGAAAGTAACGAAATACAACATACGAGTTTATTACAACATTTGAAGAGCTTGGAATTCCTTCCGCAAGATTTCATCAGTATCTAAAAACTTAAATCTTCTTTTCTTCTTATTTTGAAGAGCTAATAGACTTAGCAGATGAGAATGGCGATGTTATGTTTCTAAATGAAAGAAGAAACAGCTATGGAAAAGAATTTCTTAAACCAAGAGGAGTTTATGTTCTAGTTAAAAGAGAAAGTAAGTCAGCTGATGTCTTCACTTAATACTAAATTGGAGTAAAAACAAAAAGATTATGACAATATACGGTGTTGTTCGTTGAAAGTTGAAAATTGTTCAGCTTTCCCCCCCCCCCCTTAATCCAAAGGGCCCACATTTATGATAAATTTAACTCATCGTTTAAGGTGGTCTAAAGAGTCAGAGATGCAAGGCGTGATAAATAATCTTTATGTTGTGGTTGTGGTAATTTATAATGATATAGCAGTTCCATTGTTAATATCATCAATTAAAATGCAGATTATTTTTGTAATTTCTCGAGTAATGGTAAGCCGCATGAGTTCATAAGCTTCTACGCATAATATAATGCACGCAATTCCGTCAAGACATGTTGCAAAGGAAAATTCCTAACCACGAAAAGCTAGATATTCACACTGCACATCGCTCTGCAAGTATAATGCTCGACAGGCTTCTGTTTACTTTGAAGAAAGCATCTGTTTGATTAGCACTATAACTACAAATCCTCAAATTTATCACCCTCAAAACGTTCAAAAAAATCAGCTTCCGCTCTAGAATTGAAATTTAATAAGGAAGCTTACACCATTGAATATTTCATCAGAGCACGGCAGCATTTGTCGATTGAGATTTTATTGTCTTCTACGATTTCTATGCCTACCTATTTGCGAGGCACCTTGGTTAGCATTTTCATTAGGTAAATTTTGTATTATGCTTTTCCTCTTTTACGCTTTTTTACTTTGTAGAGTGCTCCCAGAATTATCCCATATACACACCTCTCCTGCAGGACAGTATTATCGTAAACGAAGGGTTCCTGAGACAATTGAGCTTGTTGCGAGAAGAGGCGATAAAGAAAGATGAAGATCAAAGGTTATTGGAAAACGATGGGGCTACTAATGGCAAGAACAAGAATTCTTCAGGACGAAGAACATATTCTACCAGGGATTCTAGTAACAGGCGGACTCAATCCTTTCTTTATGGAAAAAACAAAAAGCCAAACAATACACGGCCATCGCGATGACGTCACATTTGCAAATGTCTCATAATGTAATTAACTTAGGCCCATTTACCACATACCGTTTACTACAAAGCGTTGTCCAGTTTTATTTTCAAATTTGCAAAAAATGGATTGAAGGATTGGAATTTTCATGTTAAAATTAGCCTGTGCTGAAAATTTCATGTTGTTTGAACAGACAGGCCGCGAATTACGCCCTGTATATTTCACCGGAATTGGCTGCTGCAGTCAAACGATTAATTCAAATAATGGTGATGCCATACCCTGGTTACCAGAATCTCCATGATTTAGTCTCAGCTATATTGTTAGAAGCAAGTCACCGAAATTCTTTGCCACCACAACAGTCTTCAATACTTTATCCCCGGATTCATGAGGATCTGGTACCCAGGGTATATTTTCCATAGAAACAAATTTGTTAACCTCAACTCAGAACTGAGAATAAAAAGAACTAAAAATTTGTCTATTTTTTTTTTAAATTTTTTTCCTTTAGATGGAATATGAACCAAAAATGGTCATTTTAATAACTTTCCCTAATGCGGAAGCTTTTGAAAGAAGATGGTAAAAAAGTGGCTTGCTAGCAACGAATAAATCGTAAGAGTAAACTCAAGTCCTGAATACGAAATCTACATAAAAGAGGAGACTTGCTCTGCACTCTGCATGATAGAAAAGGCTGGTCATGTCATTTTCCTGCTTTTTATGCAACTAGCTCATTTGCTACTTAGCGGACTTTTAGCAACGTGTAGGGACGGAAAGCGTTCTGCTATAATGATTTGGGTTTGAAAAATTATTCCCTCCTCTCTGATTATTCCTCATGTGAGTTTGCTACACGAAAGAAACCAATGTATTAGAAATGTACTTGGAGTTGTGCAACATTATCGAGCGTCAAGCACAGTCTCTTCTTGTTTCCTTCAAGGTTCGTTGCAATAAACTTGCAAAGTTTCCGTGCAAAAACACAAGATAACGTGTGAAACTTTTGCCCGCTGAAAAATTAATCCCTCCTCTCTGGCAATCTCACCTCTCAAAAAATCCCACGTTAATGAAAAAAAACCCGCAGCGGGAATACAAGTGAGAATATGATACAGTATATATCATTGGAGATGAATAAATATTGAAAAAGACTATAAAATGATGTCACAGACAACTTGAATGTGTGCCAGTCGCAACCCTGTCTTTGAACCACAGTTGATGGCCTCTGATTTAATAGAAATCACATAAATTTACAAAACCTACTTTATTGAATTAATGTTGTTTCTGATTATTCTATTGAATCCGTGTAGCTGATGTTGAAGAAAATAGAATACATTAAATTTTCAAAGTTATCAATAATTACTTTAATAAATTGTGAATTTTAAGTCGAAATTTTATTTATTCAATTAACCAAATAGAACTTAATAAAGATTGAGTAACCTAATCAAATTTGAAATATATAGCATTACTAGAAATTTTTGTTGCCGTTTATGCCACAAAGTCCTTTGCTTTATCATAGCCAGAAAAGATTTGTTGGTTATTCGCAATAACCAATATTGTACCACATTTTAAGTCATGGATTTCAAGCACAAGCTACAACCAACAATTACTGCCTAATAATAGAATTCATTGAAATGTTGAACATACAACGGAAATTTCCAATAAATTTGTAAGAAGGGCAAATGAATGGAACTGAAAAACTGGGACAACAAGATCATACTTTAAAGAAAACATAATTCGGTTAAAAAAATCAGGACTCGCTTCAGTCAAGCTAAAGTGCGTGTATCTCTATGGAAGCATATAAATGGTGGGAGCGAATATTTTTAGCAACTTTAATACAAGATATCTTGAACCTTTTTTCAAACAAAATTCTGTTATAAGTTTTCTACTTGTTTCCCATAATTTTCAAATTGATTTTGCTTTTGAAAGCAAATGTTAGCGCTTGAAAACCTTAATTGAACCATCAGTGACACATTACAAAATATCTATTCATATAATTTTATTCATGATGTATCATTTTCCTACCATTATGAAGGAACAATTGGCAATTATCTGACCCCCTGATCTCTAAAATGGGAGATCATTGATCTGGCCCGCCAGAGCCTCCATTTGAAGAGAGAGGCGATTGTCGGGTAGTGTATCCATAACAACAAGATAGCCATGTTGACAAATTAAGCAAATGGCCTAAAGTTCGCTTTTCTCACGTAGCCAAAACTTCGCATATTTTCTTAACTATTCGTGCTAAGCAGTTTGCATAAGAGATAAATGTCGTCTGGAGAAAGGCCACAAAAATGACGGATATTCTGTGCAGATGGTTAAATACTGAAGTGAAACTCGACAAAACCGTCGGTATGCTTCGTAACCTTATGAACGAAAGTTCTTCGTGTTAAAATTTATTTGCTTCCAGTTTCTTTATTTCTAATAGCCTTATTCATTAAAGCTTGCTATAAAGCGTTTTCGTCATTTTAACTTTAAAAGCAAAAGAAAGATGAAGTCTATAGCCTACACATATTTAAACTGGAAGAGGAAGTCTGACATTTATTTTTTTTACACTTGTTTTGGATGCTAAATCGGCAGCTAGCTTGGTAAATGAATATGAAATTGTCTAAGTTGAATAATGGTGTCAAAGAGGAAATGTTTGGCAAAGAAAGGACAATGCTTTAAAACTCTGCCGACACAACCATCAAGATTAAATTTATAAAAAGTTATTAAATTTGTTTAAGGCATTTTATCTTTACAAATACCCTGCATTTCATACAGATTTCATGCAGTGCATAGAAAAGATCTTCCCCGCACCATTATATCAGCTTCTAGCTGCTATGCATAATATTTTTTTGATAAAGTTATATTGTGTCATTTTTAAAATTATTGATTTGTAATGGTATTACGGATATCCCTGCAACGAAATAAAAGAATGCAATCTGAATACACAGCTTGCCAGTCATAAGTTTAAAATTAGCAAAGAGGTAGTTACGACCTACACAAATCCTTCTCATGTAAGGACCTGTATTTTTGTCTGTCTCAAGAGACATCTATTTTTTGGCTCAGCTGACAATGCATGGCAATTAGCAGTGATATAGTGAAGGAAAAATTTTGCAGGAATTATTTATTAAAGAGGAAATTCTTAAAGAGGAAAAGTATTTTTCTACCATAGAAGTATTTTTAGGTTTTAACTACAGCCCTGTATCATATTTTTCTTATTGTTGTGGCCCTTTGATTTGCTACAAAGGCATTTCGGTATAAATCTATGATACCATATATTTTAACAAGTCAAAATGTAAATTATGTATGTTGTTTTGTAGTTGCTTTTTTTCTCTCCCCCCCCCCTTCCTTCATCATCTTAGACAAAAGAGTGATTTTAAATTGTAGATGGAAAGAGTTTCTCTAATGAGTTTTCTAATGGCTACCTAATTGGAGAAATACTCAACAAACATGGTCTACAGGTATTTAAATTAAAGATTATCATGTTGTGAAGTCAAAAAATTTCAGGAAAATATATATCTTTCTGTACTCAAGCCCATGCTTTTGATCACAAAATCTTGATTTTATCATTAACTCTAGCTTTCTTTAATCTTCTTTTGCTGACCAGAGTTTACAAATTAATGACTTCCTACGATGAAAAATTGAAGTTTTGCTTTGTCTCTATCTTTCACCTAGCAAGTTGTTTTTTGGGCTATTCCCTGTTCTTTAAAACTTGTATATATATAATATGACCCCTTTCAGGTAACGTGCTATATGTGGATTACCTTCAGGGTTTCTAGTCCTTAAAATCACATTGTAGAGTTTATAACATAGCAGCTGTAGGATGTTAGAGATTTTATGGCACCAAATTCCCAGGTAAAGCAAGTAAATCTGTCTACTTAGCTGTTATAGGTTTTTTTGTTAAATGGCAAGCCTAGTTTTTTACTGTTAGTTTTTTCATTGGTTTCCATACATTTAGGGCCTTATTTAGGTAGTCAATAAAGGTAGTCAACCTAGTTTATCACAGTCTATGACATTATAAGTGATAATAAACAGCTGGAGAATTGTTGCAAATATCATTTTCAATAAATTTAGACTCTGAGTTATGCTAAGTTTTTTTATAATGTTCTATTTCAGGATGACTTCAGCTCATTTTCCAAGTCAAGGTAAATGTCTTTTTATAGTTTTATAAATTTTCTCAAACTTTAAGCATTCAATTTTTCATGAAAACTTTAATTGTTGAAGGTAGATCTCCTTAGTTTTTCTCATTTTATTGTATTTTAGCACTGCTGATTCAAAGCTCAACAATTTTACCAGAATGGAACCAACAATGGCCCTTCTTGGTGTCCCTTTTGATACTAAAGTGGTAAGGGCTGAATAATGTTGAGTTACTTCATCATCCCACACTATATTATCTACATTTTGCATATTTTCTTATAAAATTAGAGGTATAAAGCTTAGGGATTTTAACATAGAATCACCCTGCTCTATGCTCCACAGCAAGGTATATTTCCTGTAATTGGTACTTGGTATATACAGTGTGCTGTGCTTATTACTTTTCACAATAAGTTTAGCACAAAATTTTCTTCTTGCTTAATATCCTAATTTGTACCACCATTTTCAGTATTTTTTTCATCTTTTATTCCATGAATATTTTTCAAAATTTGTCCAGAAGTTATTATCAAAATTTTGCTATTTAGGCTAAGGATATCATGAATGAAAAGCCAGGTGTTGCAACAAGACTGATCTACCAACTTTTCATTGCCCTTGGAAGGAAGACTGTAAGTAGAACTAATTGCTATTGTATTGGTTTCCAGAGAGAAATAATCAACAAAGAATGTGACACAAGATTTTAGAGAAAATTTAAGAGAACAACTGGAATATAGTTAATTTCTCCTGAATTATTTTAACTATCTTTTTCATAACACATGAAATGGTATGTGTCTTTTTAAAACTAGTCCATGAAAGGAATATTGCTCAATTGTAAGGATTTTCAATAACCAGCAACTGGTGTAACACCTCTCTGCAAATGACTGTTACTATTTTTGAATTGTTTGTTGTTGTTAAGAGTTTTGAAGTACTTGAAGTATGTATGGCCTGCTCTCTCCTGCTCTTTATATGTGTGCTATTTGAATATATATTTGGAATAATCTGTTTATCTCTCATAAAGAAAATGAATTTAACTGGTGTTGCTATGGAGACAATGAGGCCCGCTGGTCCTGCTAAGCTGAGTGAAAAAGAGACAGATTTGTATAGAGAGGTAACTGCCATATTATTACAGAGCTTACAGTATTATATCATTTTAACACTTCGTATATTCATATAGAGCCAATACAATGTTTTACTAACTGTATATTATCAAGGAGAAAATAATGGAGCTGTGTTTGGTAACCTGTATGCTTGTCTAGCAGGGCAGCTAAAAAGTAAAATGTTAAAGGAAATAAAAATACTTGCTTTTGTGTAGTTCAACATAGATGTAGTGTTTTGCACATATGATTATTGTAAAATTTTCCTACAATTCAATGTTTTCAGAAAATGTTCTTGTCAGGTCTTTATATCTGCATTAATGTTGTCAATTGAATTTTACCTACTTCTGTTATATTTGAAAAACGTATTGAGACTATTATAACGAAGCTATCAATGCTAATCTTCAAAATATTTATGCATCTAATGGAAACTGCAAAACATTGTCCTTCTTTGGAAAATAATAGTGACATTGATGTGTCATTTTTGTGCTTGTACAGAAAATTATTTGATGAATAAAGGTATGTTGATATGGCTTTTTTTAATTTTTCAGCGTTTGAAGACCCTGGTTCCCAGACAGGTGGATCTGAATTTTGATAACCTAGTGAAAAAGTATCATGACTGGCAAAAGGACCAGGAAGATAGAGCCCTGCAAGACAAGTAAGCATTTCTCCGATTTCATTTCTTTATGGAAACTGGAAAAATGTTAAAAAGAAGCTAAATCATACATCTAAGGATCTTAGGAAGTCTTTAAGAATAATCGCCTAGAGCTGCATTCAAAGCTCTGCTTTTAGAGTCACCTGGAAACTGTATTTCATGCCGCAAATATGCAAGGTTGTAGGCTTGTTGTTAAGGTAATGACATCAAGACGACAGTGCAGGGACTCCGACGAAGGAGGGGGGGTGGTGGGCCAGGGGGCCATGGCCCCTTCACTTTTTTGCAAAAAAATAGAGCTTTTTTAAAAAAATTTTGTTATGATTGTTACACTTTCTCTTGGCCCCTCCACTTTCCAGCCTGCATCGGAGCCCATGCAGTGTGCTGTAGTCTTGTTTTGCCCTATATCAACTCGAGACTGAGCTAGGACCTAGAAATGGTCTAGGATCAATCATTAAGCAGTCAGTGGCAATACAAGAAAATGGTAGTGCCAAAAGAAAAATATACTCTTTCAAACATTCTCTTCCATAAGGAAAGAACATGCTTTTTCAAATGAAAATATTCTCTCAGCATGAATCTTTTTCATCAACTCCAGAAATAGATTTATTTAACTGCACCCCTTGCCCTTCTTATCCTTCAGCTACACCTTAATCCTTTCTTCTTGAGCTTATTTTGTTCATCGTTGCTCGTTGGCTGTGGAAGATATCTGGCAATATTAATTTTGTTGTGAAACTATAATAACGTTGATCCGTGGTAGTTTTTGTATTTTGTAATTATTTTTTATTTACAAAAATATTAAAAGAAGAAAGAAGCATACACGAGTCAGGTTGCTCTACAAAGTGTTGGATGACTCAGTTTTTTAGTAATGAACATTTTTCATCGTTTCCTGGTCAAATTGTAATTTTCGAATACTCTCTTGTTAAGAATGGAAGAGGATGACAAGCTACGAAAATACCAGCAAAGGGCAAGAGAACAAAATTTGCAAAGGGTATGGAAAATTTACTTTGCGCTTGACAACACTGTATTTGTTTAATTGATATGTTGATAACAATTACTGTTAGATTGGCAGTAGACGGGGGGTCGCAAAAATAGAAGATTTGACAGACTGGTGGATTTAAGACAAAAATATTTTTCAGGTCAACCTTCAAGGGAAAGACTAAAAATTGAATAAAGTATGGAGCCTTTAGTAAAAGATAGGGTTGGAAAATTTTGATAAAATTAATAAACGGGGGCGAGGGTCAGGTGTTTATTAGGCACTTAATAGTAGATTGCTATCAGTCTCAAATGTGAAAAAAACCTTGCATACTCTTAACGGACTAGTATTTATCACGTCTACGAAGTATTTCACAGAAATTGATAAATGTTCCATACATAGTGATACCTTAACTTTTAAAAATACATTTCTAATGTAGTTAGTTTCCAAGGTTTTTAACGGCAAAATTTTTACAGAAATAAGAGATTAGGTATTAAATATTTTTGCATTGCTTTGTTACCAGTCAAAAAATTTGCGAGAGAAGCAAGAAGATACGATGCAGAAAATCAGAGAAGCAACTGTGAAGATACCAAAGCCTATTGAAACAAAGGTTCGTTTTTCACTGCCATATCACACTGTATGAAATCATTTTTTATTTTTATGAGAACCAGTTTTGAGGTAGTCTATTTTCTGAGATTTCCAAGTTCATACATATCTCAGTAAAGTATTTGTAATATATATTATATGTTGTAAATATGTTAAAAAGTTATTATTTTTCAACAGGTACTTTTAAAAAAAAGGGAAGATTTTATGTATTATTTTTAAGATGACTGTTTAATGTTGTAAGAGAACGAGGGCTGTTTCAAGAGAAATAGTTTTGATACAAGTTTTCAAGGAAATTCTTCCCATTTGAAGAAAAATCTGATGGTTTTAGTTTTAATTTTTAAGTAAAAAAGGTTAGTTTTCGTAAATTTTCTAACAATTTCATATGTACATTCCATTAGTTACTTTTGATTGCAGTAATATACAAATGATACCATATTTCTTGTTTGTTATGTTTAAATATACTAATATATTAACAATGTTCCTTTTTTCATTTTAAAAGAAAACAAGCAAGAATCGAGCAGACCTCTTGAAGGAAAAAACTGCCAAGGTAGTCGAGAAATATCATTGATTTTATTTTAAAAAATGCGAGGATTTTCTATTTGTGATCTTTTAGCAGTCATTTTGAAATTTTGTTTGCCTTTTTTCCCTTAATTGTCGGTGGTAAGAATATTTTGAAACTGGCAGACTTGCAACTGTCAGTTGAATACAGAGTTCATAAGTTTTTGTCTAATGTAATACTGCAATGCATTATCTTGCAGGTTCAGTTTGCCATTAATTAGGCGAAGTGTGAAGCCTATTGTCATCGTGTTTAGCGTGTTTATGAGTTGATGGAATAGACTTTGAAATCAGATATGCTAGGATAACACAAAAAAAATTTAATGATTTCCCGATTTGTGTAATCTAGTGTAAGACATCAAAGAAAAAATAGGTTAGCCGTGCTTTATGGCTGAGAAGAAGAGAATTCTTGAAAATCATTATGATAATGCGTTTGTTTTTCAGAGTGTTTATAGAAATCTGAGCAGCTTTGAAAGCAGTCTAAAAGCCATGCCTCCACCAATGAGTCCACTTGATATGGATCGAAGGTATGTCCTAGCTGACTTTGTCTCTCTCAAATGTTTTCGCACTGTGCTAAGTTTTATTCTCGCACTGGCCTCGCGACATGTGCCAAGTTTGCTCCATCAATCTTACACAATTCTTGTTCTATATAGGCCAATCTGCGGTCTTTCAATTTCAGTATAATTGCTTTTGACCAGTTTTTTAAAAGTTATCTTCTTTCATGGCTCTTCGTTTAACATAAGCATTTCAAACTATCATATATTGTTTGATTCATACAAGCATAAACGTTGAGATTTCTTTTTTTAAGTTCTGATGGTGTCAAAAGTTATCTGATGTTGCTAGAGCTGTATTAGCAAATAAAATTCCTGTGTTGAAGTGTCGAGCTAATTTCTTAGCTTTTTTTCATACACAACACGAGTTATTAACTGTTTGATTCCATCCCAGCAATGTTGACACAGACATCGATGTATTTCTGAACTCAACTGCTCCAGCTATAGACAAGACATTTTCAAAGGTAAGTGAAGAGGTTCCTTTGTAAGAAGATTTTCCATTCTGACTATTGAATCAGAAATATGGAAAAACAACTCTGGAATCAACAATTATAACTATATTTTGATCTGTCATGAATATAAGGATGTCAGAGGAAACAAAGTTTGATGCGAAACACACGAAAGGATTTATGTTCAAAATAATTGACTTACTCTACAATTATTCATGGAAACTCCTTCTCATTCACATAACTGACAAGTTTTCCCATATTTCTTAAGTGTTAGAAAATTTTACTGCCTGTATCGTTATTAGGATTTTCATTGCAGACCTCTCTACATAACCCCTTTTTGAATATACATATTGTTTTGTCTCAGTTATTCCCTATTTTATTTAACCTGCCTTGGCTTCCTCGTAGATTTCTGTTTTTATTTGGGTCATGCTGTAGTTTTGCTAATCGAAATTCTTGCTGTCAAATTTTTATTTCTTTGTATTTCAGCCAGCACTGAATAACGACTATGTAGCGAAAATTCGCAGACGTCTAGAAGAAGATGCAAAAGCCAGAAAGGTAGCTGTATTTTATTTTGCTGCCTCCTTTTGGTTTTGATGTGTAAATCAATAGACAGTTTGTGTTGGGAAGTTTTTTTTTAATTTTATTTTCTGTTCACTGAAATCATGGCTTTTTTGCCGCTTTTTTGTATCTCACTAAATCTTGCAATAAATATCTCCTAGTGAACAACGGAAAGACCTCTCTTAAATATGAAAAATTGCAAATGCAATGGAATTACTAAATCTACTTACTAAATACTATGTAGATGGAATTACTAAATCTGGTAGATATTACAAGAGTAGTGCCATACATAAATGTAAAACAAAGCTACATGTCACTCTCCAAGTTTTCTGAAGTTTATGGGAATGTTAATATACGAACAAATACAGAAAGGAATGCTATAAAAGACACATGATAGGACTTGATTGTTCTAATCTGGATTTGAGTAAGCTTTTTTTTCCAAAATAAAGTTGATTGTTAAGTTAGAGACATTCTCACTCGTGTGAATCATTTCAATAAGACCAAGGTATTGAAAACATACATTTGCTCTATGCTTGTTTGCGCAACTGATGGCCTAACAGAAATTTTGATTTTTTTTCTAATTTTCAAGGAGCGAGAAAAAAGAAGAAGACGTGTTCTGGTTGAGCAGTTGAAGTCACATGAGTTGCAAGAGGTAAGGCTAGTGATGCTGAAAAATATTATCTATCTTGGTTTATAACCTCGATATTACGAAAAGTTATATTTATTTTGAAGGGATTATACATTTAACATCCTCTTTTTGATCTCAGTTCCTAATATTTCAAATATATTGTAATATTATTGGTAGAATGTTTTGTTATTATATAGTTATACTGTTATGTTATTCTGTCGGACTTGATATCCAGCAACTTTCATTGGTCTTATTCGAGTACCTTCAGTGGGTTACGATAATAAATAAAAATGAAATTTTGAAACGTGTCAATGAAACTTGACTGCACCTCGTACAATGTAGCTTGAGGCTCAAAATACCCTCAGATCGGAAAGAAACAGGGAAGGGGTTTTGCGTGTTTAGCTAAACCGTGGAGTGGGGGTGGGGGGAGTCGTAGACAAACCAAGATTAGACAAGCATAGGTTTAATTAACAGTGGGGTTGCTGTAAATGAATATTTGACTAGGTTAAAGTAATTCAAAAAGTTATTGGAATGGCAAGGACCATTCCAATTTCAAGTGGGGAGTTTATTCTAGATTAAGAAAGGGGAAGGGTTGAATTGAGATGTGGAAGTATCTTCTAAAAGCCAAACAAGTATTCTCGTCCTGAGAGTATTAAATTTGTTCAGGATTAGAAAGATTTTTCAAATTTATTAAAAGGTATTTGCTAAATTTCACAACATAAAGATTTGAGTGGATATGTATATATGAAAACATCGTTTGAATAAATGATTCTTGGTTTTTTGCTCAGGAAGCACATCGAGAAGAAATGCTGGTTAACAGGCTGATGCGACAATCTCAAATGGAAAGACGTATTGCTGTTCAGTTGATGCATGTTCGACATGAGAAAGAAGTCATCAAGAAAAATAGGTCAGTTTTGTTTACGCAAGTTCACCGTATGCATTTGAAAACAGGCTGCAGGGAAACTAGGTTTTGAGCACCAGTTTGAAAGCTTAATGTTCGTCTCCTATGTCTAGGGAAATACCCAATGATTCTTTTACCGATCTGCCTTAAAATGCTTGATGCCGTAAAGGCAGAACTGTATACGCTAATTGGTTGATAGAGCAGGGTGACTCCTAGTTGCAAATACGAGTTTCAAATTTAGTGCAATTATCAGGCAACTATCGGAAAATATATCTCTCTCTCTCTTTGTTTGCGCTATTCATACAAACTTTATCATCTTGTGCGTATTTTGACAACACCAGCACAGTTGTCAAACTTTTCCTTGCTGGGGAGATGAGCAAGATAAATTTTTGTTGTAAGTGTGGAAGCCCTGCGTCCTGGATTCCAAGAGCATCCGCATGGAACGAAGCCATTATTACGCATGCTCTTTAACTCCATGGCGGAGAGTTGCCTCACTCATTCGAAGATTTTCGCTCGCTCATCTCCCCAGCAATTCAAGTCTTTTCTGTCTGCCAATTCTTTCCTTTGGGCGCTTTTTTTTGTGGAAAATACAATAGTGTCTGCTCGAGCTGCTTACGTAATCGGTGATCTACTCTCAATTACATATCACTGTATGCTCATCAAAGTTGCCTCTACATTAAATTGATTTTCAAGCTATTGTACTGATTTTTGCAATCATGATGTTTTTAGAATGCTGAGAGAGGAACAGTTTACAGAGAGGCGTTTGAAAGACTTTGCTGATGCACTTGATCGGGAAGCCGTGAGTTTTTTAGCAAATCTTATACATGTCTTTGTAAAATGTTATGATTCTTATAAGATATAACTTGTTCTTTTGCTGTAAAGAATTCGCTTTGCTTATAAAGTTAGATTCATTACCCAATAAATCCAAAGATTTGTTCAATAGTGCTAATTTTTTACGCATCAAAATAAAATGTGGAACAGGATTTTGTCTTTCATTTTTATCAACCTACAAGTTGCCAATAGTCAAGGCATATTCGGTAAAAATTAAGATGGGTTTCAATTATGAATTTTAAACGTCAAATTGACAACATTTTTCTTCTTTGTCAATAAATTCGGTCTAGCTTGATAAGATTATGAATTTATATTTTCCAATTTTCAGAAGAACTTGTCTGAAGAGTAAAATATGATTCAATTTAAACTATGATGAAATAAAATATTTGAAATAAGCAATTATGAACAACTATTAATATATTCCAAAAACATCCCTTTTTTCACAAAAATATTTTCGTACCAGTCGATCACAACAAAATCGCATATCCTCACTAAATTGTGCCTATTTTGGCCGTTTCAATTACACGTCCATGCTATTATAATTTACCCCTAACATAGAATATCATTTCAAACCCAGTTCATACAGTCCTGTACTTTTAGAAGAATGTATTGAATTTATATCAAAATTAACTGTTATTTGTTTGCTGGTCTTATTCCTATACTTTTTAAGTGTTTAAAATGTTTCTCTTTTAGGATTTGTGTAGGGAAGCAAAAATTGAATATGAACAAGACGTAAATCACAATATTGAAGTGCATAGCGCCATTGTAGCTGAAAAAGCCAAAGCAAAATATGCCAAACGATACAATATCTGCAAAGATGTGAGTCAAGCTTGAACTGTTAAATTTCATCTACATGAGCAATTAATTATTGTCAATTCTTCCTAGACAAGTTTCCCTGAAAAGCGCCTTTCGTTTGTATAGGTTGGGTCAAATTAAGGATCTTGCATTTCTCTACTAGAATAGTGTTCTTGTATCAAAACTAACACGGCAGTTGTTGATCAAACGCGCTTGCTAAGTTTACAAATTTTCCATTGAAAACTTTTTGATCTGGTCTATAGACCAATCACTTGGTGTAGTTTTTCGGTCCCGAGTGCTATCGCATCAGCCAAGCTTGTTTTAACAAAGACAACCGAAATCTGGGTTCATGTCTTTTTAGCAGCCCTTTGGTCTGACTGCAATGATTGCCTGCCTAAGGTTAAACCAATCTCTTTATCTTTTTGGTTTTCGTCATTTCATTTTGATACACAAATAGGACTGGTGCTGTAATAGAAGTAAGTAGAATTTTTGTCGATTAACGAAGTCGTTTGCCTTAAATATTCATGGCAAAGAAAGTACAGACTTCGTTGTTTCAATCCAAGCGTGAAAAATCACCAAGAGAACTTTCTGCCCTTCTACACGAGCATTGATACTTGTCACAAAATCTTGTCAAGGATTGCTCGCATTGACGAGACTTAAACCGAGGCTATTTAGAAATGGCTTCTTTGCCTTATCGTTAATTCTCGAAGGGGTGGTTAAAGTATTGTACACTGGCTAAAAAATTATTTGAAGTTTCATGAAACTGGATGTTTCTTTCTCTTAATTTCATGTGCTGTGATTCTTATAATATTTAATGACCACATCCGTCTAACTATCTATTGAGTTAGGAAGTGATTATTCGTTTCCATTGTTTCTTACCATTGTGACCTTTATTTCATTTAGATCTTGTTCAATATCGTGGACTTTTCATGCAAAGTTGGCGAATACCGTGAATTAACAGAGAAGTATGCTAGAACTTTCCATCCTTAATCGAATTTACGCTTGAAAGCAATTCGAGTTTTAATCTTCATGCTGCATGTAAATTTACTCATTTTCTTTATTCTACTCTTAGTAACTTTTGAATATTTTTCATATATCAAAACGAATTTTGAATATATATAATTTATTTACGTCTTAATCTGCCAGACTTCTTCCACCAAAACTCGTCAGAGACTGGAAGGCCTTGTTTGTAGAAGGAAAGCCCTTATACCCGCCAATCGTGAGTTAAAATTTTTCTTGAAAATAATATTCAACATAGATTTGTTCAATTTTTTTCATATCTTATAAAGTTTCAATAAAGCTCTTTTAGAGATCAATCATGTTTCTATTGCAAACCGTCTGTCTTCCAGGTTGTTGATGAAGAAAGCAACAACGAAGTCGATGCATTGGAAGAAGAAAAACAGCTTTTGCTAGACGAGAAAGATTTCCTTGAGTATAAAGTGAGTGCGTTCAGTTTAAAGCATTTGTTGTAGTTAAATTTAAAAAAAATTGCAGCAATGTAAGATAAGAGGTGATCAACTCTGGTACTTTCCCTTGCATGGTACTTACCCTATAAGGTGATCAATATCCTTATACACGATCATTAAGGAAGTTATGAATTTGAATTTTGAACCGGAAAGATCTGAGCAGTATACAAACTTTCTACTTATAGTTTTAAGCAACCATTAAATACCCAACAAATGCTTTGGCAAAATATCATAAACCCAGGTGTTATGGAAATGGAAACAGATAGTATTATAATAGTATTAATTATTGCAAATTTTTCGTTAGAGTTTTTTATGGAAAAGGTGTCTCATTTTTTGTATTTTGAAGTTTTATGACGCTTTTATGGAAATTTTTGCTATAAAGTTTGTTTTTTATAAACTTACACAGAATTTTGATGGAGAATGGATACCGTCGATCGAAAACGGCGAAGCAGTGCCGCTGAAGGACAATGTCATACTTGGTCATGTTTTGCATAGAATGTTCTCTATTGTCTCGCCTCCAGCTGTAAGTTTTTCCCTCCTTTGATAATTTTAATTTCATTATAATCTTTGCATTATTTTATCTAAGATTATATTTAAGCAATATATTTAACCCTAGTTTTGTCAGAGACATTTTTGAATGCGCGCTCGAAGCTTTCAATCACCAGGTTTCATTGGCTGAGCTCTTGCGTGAGCACCTGGGAGTAGGAACGAGACCTACTCTCAAACGCGCGCGAGCGAACATGAAACTGATTGCTGCGACCGTGATCATTCACAATGTACGCATGCGTATATTTGAGCGCTTCGAACGCGCGCTCAAAAATGTCTCTGATGAGATTAGGCTTTAGACTCACTTCCAGGTATCTTTGACGATGCTGTCTCGCACAAACTGTATTCTTTTACCGGCTATACTGTATTGTATTCTATATGATATGCTGGTAATAATGATCGCAACTTTTGGTTACAAAAATATCTAAGAATGTACAATTTATCAGGCTATCAGTTCTCCGAATGATCGCACTTGAATTTGCGTTAGTTTTATTATTATTATTATTATAATTTTTTTTTTATTTACAGTAGGCGAAGCAAAATATTTTCAGCTAATATAACAGCTATTTTAAGCCTACTATTTATACTACATTAACAAATCTTAAATTAATTACAATGAATGGATAAAATGATTTAGGAAATGTACAAATTTAAAAGGATGACTCATTAGATAAAAATATACAATTATTCGATGACTATTTCAAGAATCCAATCAGCGCAACGTAAGGTTTGCATAGTCTGCAGTTGCATTTTGTATCTTTCTAAGTTTTAATCTTTTTCTTAAATATTGCGAGGCTAGAAGTTGTTTTAATGTCATTTGTAAGCTCTTGCCAGAGCTTAGATCCCATAAAGGTTGTACTTTCTATACCATAACAATTTGATTTTGGTTTTGATAGCGATATTCGGGATATGTTTCTAAGATTATAGCATGTACTTCTTTCAGTAAAGATTTCTTTCATAAAACTTGGGTTAAGATTATGTAAAGTTAGTTATATGTAACGGCCCTGTTCTACCTATCCACTTGTGTACAACCCTTTCTATGCAACATCAACGGTTCTTCAACAGAACCTGAAGCTGTAATTGTGACAATCATAACTTGCTTTAACTTTCAGCCAACACCACCTCCACCGCAGTTTCCACCCTGTCCTCTAAAAATAAGTGTTATTGGGAAATTCTTCAGTGGAAAGTCGACAGCAATTCAGCACATCGTGGAAAGTGAGTAAAGACTGTTTTATCCTTCTTTGTAGCACTGAGAGAGTTTTGTATATTAAGTAGAGTGTCAACAACGTGATGACTTTGTTTTCAATATTAAATTTCAAAATTATCCCGAATAACAATCTAAATAGGTAATATTTTTCAAACAGCTCACCGCATTGTCTCTATCAATGTTGATGAAATTGTGGAGGAGGCTTTACAGGCCTTCAAAAATAAGGAAAGCGTCATGGTGACAGAGGAGAAAGAAAGCGAAGAACAAAAGGTAAGGATTAGCTAATCCGAAAATGGCCCTGAAAAAGCAAAAATTCTAAGTAAAAGGTTTTTCGTCTTACGCTCTTCAGAGTTTGAAACGTCAGAATAAGGGCGCGAAAGCACAAGAGGCAAATACATAACCATTTGTGGATCGAAATAGGCCAATCAGAAAAACGCGCCCGGTATAGTTACCCAATCAGTACCGGGTGCCTATAGGAAAATCACCACTGGGGTCCAATAGATAGGACGAACTCAATCGTTTTTAACACGTGCTCTCAACTACTAACATTTGAAACAGTAAGGGTTGGGTGCAAGGAACATTGATACAAATTTTACAAAAAGTACAAAATGTTCCATGCTGTAAAATTTCTTCAGCTGCTGGACCAAGGTGAATTTAGATGTGGATCTACAATCAATGTGCGAAATTTACCTGTGTCTGCAAAACAAGCTCCTAAATAGCACAGTAATTAAGAATGTTTGTTGAATACTAAGCAGATTGAAAATAATTAGAAGGAAGAAGACATTTCAGAAATTCGTTAGTGGAAATTTTTATACATGTTTTTTTAATTTCTTCGATAGATTTTTTTATGCAAATGCTTATCAGTTTTATGTTCTGCCCTTAAAGGCAATTGAAGGAAACTCTGTGGACGAGACAGATGCAAAGCAGAATGGTGCAACTGAACCAGATGACGTTACAGCTCAGATCGCCGAAAAAGGTTAGAATGATTGCCCATTTATTCTTTGTTTCTTTTCTGAGATCTATCAGGAGGGTACACAGAATCAGGCTCTAAAGAGCAGGTCCTTTTTTCTACCTGGCACAGATTTTATGAGCAATTCAACTACGCGTTATGATATAATGCCTTTTATGTATAATATATAACACAATATCGATTTCCTAAAGCATGTGAAATTTGTCAAGCGTGTTGTCTATGATTGTATTCGCTTTTTAGAAGAGACCGAGAAAGTAGCTGAGATCCCAATCACGACCCCGGTTGAAAACAAACATAATGGCTCACTCAAAAGTGAGAAGGCAGAGTCCGTTAAAACCTTTGGGTCATCTCACAGCCTCAAGTCAGCAACATCAGCTTTAATGGTAAGTAAATGTACCCTAGCGTAACCTTTTGAGTTAGCTATCATTCGATATGGCTTGTTCTCAATAAATAGTCTGCACAAACACTCAGGGTCGCCGAGAGGTATTGGAGGCCCTGGGGAAAAACCGAAAGACAAGGCCTTGTGCAAGCAAAAATTTTTGAAACAACGCTTTTCAGATGAGAATAAAAAGTTTTCAGAATATTTATAACAGGCAATTTCTTGCAGCTATTTTCCTGCCATATTTTAAACCGTTTAGATATTTTTAGGAATACCTTTGCTACATTTGATTAATGCGATTTTTAAAATGGAATTCATCACTTTATGAAGCCCCCTAGATCTCGAGGCTCTAGGGAAATTTAACCCGTTCTCGGTGCTCTGTATGATGGTACCTGCTACTGCTGGGGAATCGTTGATATTTACGTGACAATTATCAATGAAAATCAGATTGATAATGACAAGTGTAATATAACTGTATTGTATCAAAGTAGTCATAATGGCAAAAATAGAATTTACTCTATTTACATCGAGATGTTTTCTGTAATTTTCAGCTTTTATTGCTAGCAAAAAACTTTTTCATCATGCTAACTCTAAAAGTATATATTATAGATGTATCTCTGATCGTCAAAATTTTGACTCTTTCCCACTTTTTTACACAATGAGACACGTTTTACCAATTTCGTTGTCGAAGCTAATGAAGCTTCGTTGTTCGTGCTTGTTATTTTCTATCTTTTATGCCCTTTAGTTCACAAACCGTGCAAAACTCGGAAGCAAAGCATTTACCGTAATGAAAAAGGGAAAACCATTGCCAGATGCTTTATTGGTGGACATAATCATTGAAGAAATAAGGTTAGTTTTTGAGACAAATATTATTTTGTGTTCCTAGATCTTAATGCTTGTTATTTTTTATTTTCAGGCCAGCTAATTTACATTTCCTCTGATTATACCTGATTGCTATTCTTAGACATATAAGGTGTAGAATGCAGCATATCTTACTAATAAATGTTCTGATCCTGCAAAATACAATGATAAGTTTTATTGATAAACCTTGAAACCAAAATTGATTGTGACTTTTCTTTGCATTGATGTCAGAATTTATTGACTTAGCCAGCGTTGTATAAATGGTTTTATCAAAGTGCAATGCAAATTATTTTTTTTAACTTCAAGTTGTGTAATGTTTGCATTTTAATAAGTGGCTTTTCACATTTACGTAGTAACTTGTTCTCTAGATGTTTGGTACAATTGTAGGTATTTGATTTCTGATGTCACAAATACTAAAATTGAACACAATGTTAGAATTACCGAAATGCAATTGACTAATGGTATTTCGATTGCGCTTCAATACGTTTTATCTATTTTTAGAAATATTCCAAAGGGAACTGGCTGGATACTTGACGGTTTTCCAACAACAATAAATCAGGCAAAGGTAATTTTCATATGGCGTATAATCTTTTAAGGCACAGCCTAGCAAGTTGTTTGATATACGCTAACAGCGCGGGCACAGCATGACACGCCCCACGTTGGGTACCATTATTTTGTAACGTTTAGCAGGATGTATTGAGAAAACACAACTATTTACATAACTGTATCTTTGATTATAAATACTGACGCCTAGTCTCCAAAAGCAACTTTCAGCTCTAGCTAAAAGAACTCACTTAGTAACGCGAAAGTGTTTACTCATACCCTGTGGTATGTCACGTGCTGTAGAGGTTGGCGTGAGCCTTTCCAACAAAGGCCTTTTTTATTTACGCTTACCACACGATTTTTCTCTCTGACTGACTCTCGGCCATAAAAGTTGACAAGAACCACAGGCCAAAACTAACTTTTTCGACCTTCGATTGATCGTTTGTCTTATTGTCTGTCCTTTTAATTGTCTCAATCATGAATCAACAATAAATTTTGTGAAACGCTCATTTAAGCTCATAACAATTCAGAAATATGATAAAAAGCGGGAAGTGAGGTACTTGCAACTTGCAACACCTGCAGATAGTTTGTTACCAGATAGAATCTTGAATTTTTTTATATTTTCATTTTTTTTATATTTTTCTTCTTTATAACTTCCAAATGTGTTTTTTTTTTAATTTCTGTAAAAATATTGTTTAAACAATCTGCAAGTAAAGAAATTATCATAATTTCAGTTCTTTTCGTGTGATTTTTTGCTGAACCACTTGAATTTTTTCCAACAATCCAACATTTCATTACGATATTCTGATTTTTGTAGCTGCTCGAGAAGGCCTTAACTGGTAATGATGCTTCTTCTGGTGGGACCAAAAATGGAAAAGATAGCAAGAAAACCAAGAAGTCTAAAATAGTTTCCGATCCTCATCCATCCACTGAGGTAGGTTTCATAAATTCATGAACACGATTCACTTGATTCAGTTCAGTTCAGTTTGCCATAGTCAAATTTGGTCCATAAACATCTCCCCCTATTGCAGCCTTCCGTTTTCCGTTCATTCCACCATTCCATTCTCTGATTTTACCTACCCATTCCGTCTTCCGTCTGCTTCGTCTTCTATTTCCTTTGATTTTTCATTCTATCAAAGCCGACATTATCTTCGGACTATCCTTGATTACTTCCATTAAGCTTTTTTCTTTTGAAACACTTACAATAACTCTCGCCCACTCGTTAGTTTACCTTTCTCTCAAATTGATAATTATTTGCCAAATTCACATCTCAAGAGCGTCAACCCGGGCTGTTTTCTTGAAGATTTGTTCGAAATTTTTTAAAGCTTGTGCTTAGCTCAAACCGTCAAGATTTACATTTATGTAGTGAGTTAAATTCTCAATCCACGCTCGATTAGGAGAACCAAGATAGTCAAATGAAACTCATTGTTTACGCTCTTTTCTTTGGGTCGCGTCAAGTTTTCCTAATGCCCAATTCCAACAGAAATTTATGAATGTGCGGTTCTTGGTTAAATTTCTGAAAGAGACAGTTGAGTTTTTAAGACTAATGTGTACTTCTTTTCCTATCTTCTAAATCCTCAAGCAGTGAAAACCATTTATAAAGTCTCCAACACCATTTTCTCGTCTTTTACCTTGTGAAAAATGTATTTCGGTTCACGACTTTATCCTTTGTTACCGAATTTTTGTTCTCCTTTCTTGATTGTTTCATTTGTTTGAAATAGAGACGTAGCTAAAGGAGACTTGTGGGGTGTGCCACTAGACTTACTCCATGAGCCTCTGTTTCGCTGCTGCCTCATTTGACTGACGCTTCAACAGAGGTAATATTCCAATCTATTGTAGCATCAGTTAAGTGAGGCAATAGCGAAACAGAGGCTCATGGAGTAAGTCTAGTGTGTCACCTCACTTGAAAAAATCACTTTAAAAATGAGAAGTTTTTTGCCATCGTTTAATTACTTTGTTACTTTAACTGTGTATGTTCCTTTTTAGGTGGCGACGGTTAAAAGTGGCCTTGACTTGGTTTGTTTGTTTGAAATCGATGATGCTGTTATACTGAAAAGAGCTGAAGGCAGAACATGTAAATATCTCTAATATTTTCTGCAGAACTGTGAATCCTTATTTGTTTCTGGGTACCAAGTTGCAGGATAATGTTTTCGCTGTTAAAAAATTCTTCTAGAAGTATCATTTCTTGCACATAAAATATACCAATTTTTTGCATTGTTTGACAAGTTCAATGCTTTAATTTTTCGATTTTTGTGAGTATCTGTAAGGAAGCGATAAAAGAAATCATTTTATTGTAAATTCATTTATGAAACTATCAATGTACAATGGATATTTTCTTAGTTGATTATTTCATTTTCGCACCTCAAATGTAATTGATGCAATGAACATCACTCATGTTGCCATGAACATTTTTAATACCGCTTGCTCTATTCTTCAGACGATCCCTCCTCAGCTGATGTTTTTCATCAAGAATTTGACCCACCACCAGAAGGCTCCTACACAGGAGTTCTTGCACAGGCAAAGGTTCAGCCAGTTTTAGACCCTTCCAATGACAAAGAGCAAGTTCAGTCCAGGTACGCAGTTTGCTCGAAAAATTGCATCAACCATTAGTCTTTTACACGAAAGGAAAATTGTTGATGCTTCCTATATTTTAATGGCGTTTCTTGCTGTTCATAGTGCTACAGAATTGTTGTTGCTGTTGTTGTTTGCCTTTCTATTGCTGTTGCTGTTTTTCTTGTTGTTGTTGTTGCTTGCAGAATTCCCTACTCAAGTATCCTAACAGAAAATTCTGCATGGAACACAAATCTTCTTTATATCAGATCTGTTTGGAAATCTGATGGTAGTGGTGTAGTCGATATTCATTGAAATATATAAGTGAAATCCAGTATCGAAAATGTGAATTTTGTAAGTGATATTTTGCAAGGCTTTGTCTCGCTCTTAATAGGTGTAGCTGTAAGAGGCAGTAATCTAAGAGATATCTGTCGTATCCTGTAAACATACACCATTCTTATCTAAAAAGCGATTTTATGATTTATCTTTTTGTGTCTTTGCAATTAGACAGTTTCCACCGCAAATATCATTGCTGATGATACATCAAATAATCTGTTATTTGTGTATCTTTTTCTGCCATAAATAATGACTCAAAACCCGCTATTGTTTTTATTTTAGACTTGCAAGCTTTCAAGATACCCTGCCAAAGTTGGAAAAATGGTATGGGAAATTTGGTGTCTTGCAAAAACTGGATGCAGCTAAACCAAGTGGTAATGACAGATTCCATTGATTTTTGCTCTTGTCTAAAAGGATTTCTCAATTCAACTCGAAGTTCGCTCATGTCTAGGTTGATTTCTTGCTTGCATTATTCAGTTCCTTTTATTTAACATTCGGTAATTCATCTCAGTAACTAAATGTGTATATTTGAGTTATTAATTATAGTTTATCTTTTTTAAATTGTTTTGTAGGGGATCTTGCTGACGAGTTTAGAACAATTATTGAGGAGACGTTCCAAAAGGTTTGAAATTTTTGAAAAGATGATTATTTTAACAAAATGAATACATTGCTTTTTCTTGATATTCTTAGTCTCAATATCCTCTTTACTCTTTTTTTCTAAGACTATGAATCCATTTTACTTGGCTCTTTCATTCTGTATTTCGTGGGCGGTTCCTTGGATACATTTGTTTGTATAATTGCTCCTCGATCTGCCAGAAAGTGACTTTGTGTTGAGAATCGTAGTTATTATTCGGGTGTTTTAGAAACTTTTCTTGCAGATACATCAAAAACTTTTTAACCTTTATTTCGTTATTTTATCGCATCAATTTTGAGAATTTGCTGACAAGGCAACCATAGAAGTAAGATTGTCGAAGAAAAGACTTTTGCTACCGTTTTTGACACCTTATCAAAGCACTTTTTTCCTTGATTTATGGTTTTATGCCCTCCTGCCCTTTTATCGTAAATGTTTCTTACACTAAAAAATCGCTGAAATTATTTTGTTAGATAGCCACATCTTTGTTTTCCGTATGAAAATAGTTTTCGCTGACATAAAAACTTGTCTTTTTTAACTTTATATAATTTCTTTTAACTTCTTCTTTGCATTTACTCTATTCTTTTTTGTAATTATTATTCATATAGTAATTATGTTCGTTGATTTCAGCTTAATGCTCCACCTCCAGAGGAGACCCCGAAGGTATGAGTTAATATTAATTTCACATATTCATGATTCATGAAAATATTTGTAAGCACGGACTGTTCTTTGCGACAGCTATCAAACTAATCAAAACTTACCCTACGTTTTTTAGCAACTTTTCTGGTCGTTCATTTATCAAATTTAGATTTGGTATTATAGCAATCTAATCTTTCATATAATTATTTCAATATGGTGCGAAAATTAAAAGCGGCTTTGAAAAAAGAAAAGATTTGAGTATACTTAAGCTTTTTTCTGACACTCTTAAGAGTTTGAAATGTCAGAACATAGATCGATAACTCAACGCTAGGAAATATATATACCCAGTTGTAGATCGAAATAGGCCAATCAGAAACGCGAGCACATGAATGTCGAGTTTGTTCAATCAATGCCAATTGTCTATAGAGTTTACCAACGAAGTCCTAAGGTGAAAACGACCTCCTTTTGTCTACATTATAGCGGTTTATTCGTGCTTATGTAGATAGATTCCAAAAACTGCTAGATGGACGAACGGCGATTGGGCTTTACCAATAACCCGACACGTGTGGCCATTATAGTTTTTTGCACACTCTGGGTTTTCCAGTAAATGCTGCCCGATAGCAGAATCGCAGGTTTTAGTAGTAATTTTAGATCTGCAAGACCGAGGTGGCCGTTCTCTTTGGTGATACGTTATGTAATACTGGACGAAACATGCTTTTTAATTCTATCCTCTAATCCTTGGGTAGTGCGTCCTACGTAGCCAGAATAATACTGGAACGTAACCTCGTAAATAACGGAACTCTTATATAACGTTAGATAGCGGGTTGTAGAAACGAATGGATGGAACTGTAAACAATACGTGGATTAACAGCAAAGAAACAATTTTTAATGATCTGTTTTATCTGACTTTAAAATCGCAATGAACTGTTACTGATCCAGGGTAGTTTTAGATATACTGGGCACTCTTGTGGACCAAATTTTACATCAGTCGAGAAATTTGCTATTTTCACCTTAATGTAAACTGAAATGACATCCTCTGGATAGCCGTTCTCTAGAAAAATATTTCTTAGTTGTTCAAGTTCCGAGTCGAGTTTAGACTTGGAACAAATCATCAGTGCCTTATTAGTAAGCGTTTTGATGATGTTTATGCTTTAGTATAATTTTGCTTTTTTCAAAGCCGTGTTTCTAATGTCTTAGTTGATTCACTTTATATCTCTTGCAAAATTATTGATTTATCCTTTAAAAAACGACCATTATGCACAATATTTCTATTATATATTCGCATATTTAAATTTTTGTCTTTTTTGACTTTAAGCTTTCAAATAATTATCATATTTTCACAAAGGACCCTCAAGATGTAACAGAACAAGAACCCGCCTCTGTCGAAGGTAATCTAGAAATTTTGTTAATGTGCCTATTCATTTATTGCTTTATATATTTGGTGTTCTTCATCACTCTTATAATTTACCAATGGATACGCATGTACGGCCTTTTGGAGCAGAATAGGCGGGAAACACGCCTTGGGCTTCGATCCAGATAGCTCAGCTGGTAGCGCAATAAATTCAAATTCAAATTCATTTAATTTTCAGCAATCATTTTACAATATTAAAGTCAATAAAGTGTCGATAAAGATAATTAACAATCTAGAAATGACTGAAATTTTAACAATAACATTGCCTAGGAGGTTGGGAGGAACCGAAACGGTTTTCGAGCCCAACCCCCTAAATTTCAGTGAAAACAGTAATATGATTTTAGTAACAGTGAAAATGATTTAAAATGACAACATTCTAGGTATTTAAACATTACAAGATAATATGATAGGCTTGGGGGATCGCAAATTTTTTATTTGCAGCTTTTCTTGTACTGTAGCTGTGCCTTAAGGAAGTTTTTTGAACAGATTACAAAAAAATTCTATTTGAGGTTCTGCATTTATATCAAACATGAATTTTGCACATTACAAAGTATAACTGTCATCAAAGTTTAATATACTAAATTTACGAAAAATTCGTTTGGAGCTTGCTGTATTTTTATCGAAGTTCATTATTCTTACAGCTTTGTTAAGATTTCGACTCACAGATTTAAGACAGGACTCATATAATATGAGGCTAAAGAAAGCGTAATATAGGTTTCTTAAGATATCGTTGGGAACATAGAGCCTATCCTAGCTAGTATACCAATTCCCTTGGATAGTTTAGGATTTACTTGTTTAAAAATGTTTCCATCTGAGGTTCTTATCCGAAAGTATGTCAAGATATTTTATGCAGTCTTTTTGAGCTTTTTTTTTATTAATATTTACTTCATTTTTTACATTTTTTCTGGACAAGGAGAAATTAGTAAGAAGTTAGATTTATCGACATTTAAGGTTAATTTATTTGCAATTAGCCAGTCAGAGACTTTATTGAGCTCTATGTTTACAACTGATTATAATTCCTATAGATTTTTGTGCGAAAAGAAAACATTTGTGTCATTAGCAAGTAGATGAATTTTTAAGATACTTGATGAGCTCGGAATGTCGTTTATATATAAGAGAAAAAGAAGAGGTCAAAGGACGCTGCCTTGGGGGAATCCGAATTAAACATTACAAGATTCAGTGATACTGCCATTTATACATACTTTCTCGGTTCGATTTGTCAAATAAGACTTGAACTATTTTAAGGCTATGCCTCTAATACCATAATATTCTAATTTATTGATTAGAATATTATGGTCAACGGTATCAAACGCTTTTGCAAAATGTAAGAAAATACAACATGAATGATGTTTGTTATCCGCTGCGTTTATTAATTGAGAACAGACATGTAGTATTGCAAGAGAAGTTGATTTGTTTATTTGAAAACCAAACTGGCGTTCGAAAAAAATTCGTGTTCGTCAAGAAACTTCATTAGTCGTTTATGCATTAATTTTTCAAATACTTTGTTGAGAACAAGAAGTAAAGAAATAGGACGGTAGTTTGTAACCTCTAGTTGGTACTTTCCCTTATGAACAGGTACAGTTTTAGCGAATTTTAAATGGTAGGATAAAAACCTGTGCTAAAAGATTCATTTACCAAAGCTGCAAGGGCTCCTTTAAAGGAACACTGATATATTTGATAAGTTTCACAAGTATAAGCATCTGGGGCTTTTGATTCGTTCAGAGCTAAATTTGATTGAGGGGCAAAAAGAAACTAGCATCATATGGGTTTGGACTCAGCTTATTTACAAGATTTTGAGCAATATTTGTAAAAATATCATTAAACGCATTTGCAACAACCTTTTGGTCCGGTATTAAATTCCCAGCAATAATTGGCTGGAAATTTCGACTCTAATGTGACTTTTTTTTATGAAGGAGGTCATTGATGCCTTTCCAGACCTATTTAGATTTGTTTTTCAAATTTTCAAAATAAGACTGATGATATAGCTTTTTACGCAGCCTTATGGCGTGTTTTTATAGATCTTGTAACGCTGCAACCAGAAGTTATCTTCAGTTTTAATAAATTTTTTATAGATATAATTTTTGGTTGAAATAGACTTTAATATGCCATTGGAAATCCATGGCAACAACATATAGCGTTGCAGATTCGAGTCCTGCCCTAATAGTGTCACTTAGTCACATTTCCTTGCAGTAGTCTTTCTCAAGTTTAGTTCTAAACTCATATGAATGCCTGTTTTCATTTTCTCCAAAGAGCCAAAACCGGAAGTTCCACCTGAACCAGTTCCGGAGCCTCCAGTAAGCCCAGTTTCAGAGACAAAATCTGTCAAGTCAACAGTCAAAGGTCAAAAGCCAGTTTCACCCAAGGGGTCAAAGAAAGCCGGCAAGAAAGATGACCGCGGTGCGTCTCCAGGGAGAAAAGGCAAGAAAGGAAGATCGCCATCACCTGGTAAGCAGGAAGAGAAAGGTGGTCGTAAAAAGGCAAGTAGGAGTCCTTCTCCAAAGGCCAAAGGAGGAAGGCCTGGTTCAAAGGGAGGCTCGAGACCTGGATCAAGAGGTAGACGGTCACCAGGTAAGATGACATCACAATTGAAAAAGCGAATATAATATTGGTGCATTGACCTTTTCAACATTTCTACAAAATCCTTTCTGCGTAAGGTCAAAATATTTTTGTTTAATTTCCTGCTCAGTTTCTTTTTGTTAAATGTATACAATGGAAACATAGAAATTTGACCATAATAATAAAAACGATAAATTTTGACCATGGTTTACATGCTAAAATTTATCGCAATTTAATTGATCGTAGATGCTTTTTGTTTGATAAGTAGCCTGTTTTGACATTCGGTTTGATTAAATTCCCTAAGCTTTCTTTACTTTTAAAAAGCTGCATTTTTCTAATATGCTATCGACATATTATTGCGAAAACCATTGTCCCTTCTTTACGTGCTATTAGCATAGTCCTTTCCCTGCGTACGATTAGAATAGTCCCTTTCAATTCAATTCCAATCCAATTCTGTAGATCGATTCCAAAACTGCCAATTATCCGAAACATGTCGTCATTATAGAGTTTTGCACAATCTGGGTTGTCTAAAAGATGTTGACCGATGGCAGAATCACTTGTTTTAACAGTGTTTCTAGACCTACAAGATCGAGGAGGCTGTTCTCTTTGAGGGGCAGTTTTGTTTCTTATGTTGGAAGGAACATGCTGTTTGATCCTATCCCCCAATCTTTAGGTTTTGCGTCCTACGTAGCCAGAATCACACTGGCACGTGAATTCATAAATAACGAAACTTTTTTGGTTGATATGAACGCAATCCTTTTGAATGGATGGAACGGTGCTCCTAGTGCAGTAAACAATACCAGGATTCACAGCAAAGAAACATTTTGTGATGGCTTGCCTAATGTGACTCTCGAATCGCAAGGAAGTGTTATCAATCTGTTGTAGTTTCAAATAAACTGGGCACTTTTGCGAACCAAACTTTTGAACAGCCGAAAAACTTGCAATCCTCTCCTTAGTATAAGATAAAATGAAATCTTCTGGATAGCTGCTGTCCAGTTTTCCAGTTAGCTGGAAAAACTTGAAGCGATCACTCTGTATCGGTCGATTGATCTTTTCAAAGCCATATTCAATGATTTGATCAATCATACAATCAATTATATTTAGGTAAAGAAGCAGAACCTGAAGTTCCACCAGAGCCAGAAGGCCCGCCCGAACCACAACCAGGATCTCCGGAATGGGAGTATGTTGCTGAGCCGCTAGATGAGGTGAATGCAGTGCAGTTCAACCAATTTTTTACTTCTCTAATCTGTAAAAATTGTTAAATTTGATTGGTTCTATGTCACTTCTATTTAAATCTGATTTTAATTAAAGTAATAGATTTCAACTGTAAGCATAATGGTATTGGAATTTGGTGTTCACATATTTAACACTTTGTTGTTTCCCATTATTCAGAATGGTAAGGTATTCTAGAAATCTTTGCCATGACGTTCAAATCTGTAACATTTTGAAAGCTATCTCTGCATCCAAAGTATTTTCATAGCAAGAATTGCTCAAAATCTATGTTCAGCTACGTATTGATTCTTTTAGCTGCTCACAGAACACTACCATCGACTAATTCTTTATTGTCATACAACTTGATATCAATTTTATTTTTCAAGACTTTTTAATTGCTTTTAAATGATCAAAAAATGAGTTTTTACATTTAGTAGACAATTTTTTTTCTTTAAATTTATATATAATATTAATAATTTGTTAAAAGTTGGCGTACCAAATGAACGTCTAATAGCTATGAAGAAGCTAATTAAGGCCAACTAACTATAAAGAATTAGTATGAAATAAATATATGGTACAATGTTCAACATGTTTAAGGTATAATATTCTAAATAAAACCTAACCCAGCAATAAATATTTGGCACGATCTACAGTCGCATTCTACATGGTGGATTTAGACAGAATCGCTAATTGACTTCTATTACCTGCCCTGTGGTATTTGAGTTAATTTTTTGTTATATTTCCTATTTTCAGGAGCTGGCTCATGTCTTGGTTGATAAATGGAATGTCGTAGAAAACACGTACATAGACAGTGCGAAACACGTGTTTAGGAATATCAGAGATGAGCGAGAAAAGATTTATAGATACATGTATAAAAGCAGGTAATTCTTGGTTCTCCGTTGCATGGAACCGTTTCGTAACTGACATGTTGATATTCGACATACCAGAACTGTTCTTTTCAATGTGCTTGTGTTTCTCTCAGTCAATATGATACATTATAACTCAGCATTTAATTTACTCAGCTTTAATGTGAAGTTTTCTTATCCAGTTCTTGTCAATAATGTATTTTAGATTCTGTGTGATTCGAAATATATAAATGACACCTTTTACAAATTAGAATTCACTTTTGATTATTATTTCTTTGTGTTTTGAGAGAGGAGATGTCATCATGTTTGTCTAAAATGCAATATTCTGTAGAGTTTGTCATCAGTCCTTGATTAATTTTTGAGATGTTGAAAGGGATAGTATACATTGAGTATTTTTTGAAGGTATGATGCTTTCTCATTGATTATATTGCTGTCTTCTTTTTCCATAGAAAAGATTTTGCAGATTATCTCAAAAGGCCTGATACAAAACAGGAATTTGTCTCTGCATGGCAAAAGGTATCCTCAGTTTTTTATTTTAAAATTACCAGCTGTTCTATGGTTGTATACTTCTTATGTCAGAGATATGCTGCTATCCCGAACTTCACGGTTTTCTAAAAAAAATAGTTTATGATTTCAATCTTTCTGGTAGAAGATTCTACAGCACTTTTTTGACACCATGCTATTTTCCACTTTGGACTCTAAGCTCAAAAGCTTAGATATAAGCTTAAATAAGTTTGAAAGTGTGTTTTAAAATGATATTATAAACGTGCATGAAAGTGCCAATGGCAATGCCAGGGATAATTAAAGAGATGGATTACACAGATAAAATTTGTCAATTTCCTTGAATTAATTACTTTTTAATTCCTTAAAAAGTTCACCCAGCAGCCGAAAAATAGCATTTCTAAAGATTGCGATTGTCAAACCTCCCCCATAACCCTCTATGCCAAAAAGATGCCTTACTGCCTAAGCCAATTTAAGAGCCTATCCTTGCTAATTTATTCTTTTGGAAACCAGTTCTGCTAGTGATCATGTGTCTCTAATGCCTTCCCTGTTCTTTTTTACTCCAATCATTTTACAAGCCAAAGCTCCTTTGATTTGTTTGGTAGGAATACAATAGCACCGCTGATGACATGAGGGACGACGAGGATACAAAAGCGGAAATGCATCAACAACTCGACGTAAGACGAACAACGTTGATTTTTAACTTGTAAACATAATTTTTTGCACGCTTCTTAGCTGCACCAGACAGTGGTAGCGGGGCTGATCAGTTTTTGCATCACTTTTCTTGAATCACTTTTCTTGAATCTTAATTGATGTCTCTGGGTATCATAATGCTTTTTTGCTTTCATTAAAAATTAGCAATAAAATTCTAATATAATGTGAGATTTGATGAAAGTTATTGTTTACCAATTGGTCATAAAGTGCGAAAAGTTGCCTGGTGACTGCATTAGGCGTCAAACTCGAAGTAGCAACTTAAACCGTCCTGTTCTATATAGCGTAAATTGAAATTTACAATCTTTGATGCAGCTGACGAGACAAACTCCCTTCTCCGCCTTCCAACTCTTACCTCCTCCTCGGCGATTGATGCGAAATCTCATCACCGTTTGTCCGGAATATTGTTATGTCGTTCGATATTTTACTAATTTTGAATGCAATGACTTACAAATGTAGACTTGGACGTCTTGTTTGCTTTTAACGAGTATTATTATCTTTAGGATTTGTGTGAAAGGCTTTGGAATATTTCGGATACTCGCAAAGAGGACGCTGAAGCAGAAAGATCTCGCATTATGAACGAGGGATGGCTAGAGGACCACGTGGGCCTGTTGACAAATCATTACATTTCCCTGATGCAAGGAGAACTGAACAGATACCAAGACACGTGTAAATTGTTAAAGGATTACTACGTAGGAATGGAAGGTGGTCTGGGACCGAAAAAAGGTATTACGCGCCCTTTTTCATCTAACATGTTTTTAATTTTCATCGGTCTCGGCTGGTCGCCAGCTAGCTGTCTTTTCTCTATGTTTACTCTGCAATCGAGTTCATGCACATTTAAAATAGTTACTGAAAGAGGTTAATATTAAAAAATTTTCTGCGAAGAGAAAACGTGCATAGAAATACTTGTATGAACTGCTGTTTGGGCAGACGTATTCTCTGAAAATTTGTAGGTTTTTTTAATTAATACTTTGTGGCAAATTTTCCATTTACTTTTTTATTGTTTACAATTATATCAAGACTGTTATGAAATAAATTTTCTCCGTTTATCTTTCAGTACATTCCTCTTTTACAAATTTAGTAAAAATTTATTATGATTGTTTCTGGAATTCCCAAACGCTATCAAAGTTGGACAACAATGAAAAATTCCTTATGATTCCTTAGATAAATTAAAATCATCAAATAAAATGTCATTGAAGACTTTAAAACTATTCTTGGTATTATATGATCCGTAAATCATCAGCGTGAATTTTTTCATATATAGCCAAAATTTTACCCGATGGCTCCCAGAGTTTCACTCGCATTCCACTGGTTGAGCTTCCCACGACACTTGCTCCTGGGGAGGAAGTGGAGCCGCCTCCGTCTGAGACGAAGCCTCTCTCTGCTAAAGCATCAAAAGATAAAGATAGGGATGTGAAAACCCCGGAACAAGAAGACGATGATGCAAATAAGAGAAGGTTAGCCACCCACTTGCAGCCTCTTTCAATGATTTGTCAACTGTATAGATAAATACAAGCTTTCAACTCTTTAATGATATCAGCAGCTATTCAGAAAAAGAAACTTGCCGATGACTTTCTGTGCAAGTAGAAAAACCAGTTGAAAATGACCTTTCAGCAATATTTTCTATAGCAAGTGGTTGAACTGAGTACCACAGAGCTTAGATCTACTATATTTCTGTTCTCAATAAAACTAGGGTACTTTTTTGTACTTCATTTCAGTCTTTTACATACCCAAGATTTCTTCTTTCCTATCTTTATATGCACTGGTAAAAGGTCTTTCACTCGGGCAAAGCACTCTGAATGCGTTTATATAAGCTTTTTGTATCATTTCTGATGCTATCTAAATATCTTTTTGGCGGTTGAATATTGCAAATGGTTTTGCTACCTATATTTTCTTTCATAAAATATTGCATTGATACGGTATTCCACTATACGAACTGCGAAGTAAAAATGAAGAGTCACGACAAATCCAGAACAAGCAGAATAATTGGATCGATACTTTCATTTTGATTCCAATTTTCAAGCTGCTTCCTTTTCAGAAAAAAACTTCTGCTCGAAGGAAATGTAATCCAAACTGTACTTTTCATGTCCAATACTCTGCTTGCCTTTTGAATTAGAACGATCTTATTTCTTTCTGTAGAATACCATTGGTTCCAAGAAGACCAAAGTCTGGTGAAACATCTGGTGTAGGAAGAGAAGTAAAAAGCAAAAAGGCAACACCAAGGCGAGAGAAAACGACAGTCTCCGAAGAAAAGTTGGACAGCCCGACGCCACCGGCTGATCCCGACGAAAGGGTATGAAAAGTCCACGTTTTTTACGAAAAACTTACCAAAGTGCCATAAAAATTCCATCATTCGATAATTTTTAAACCAATTTGCTAGTATTGATCAAGCTTAAGTGAACAAAACTTTTCGATTATGACTTGACTCGGAAAGTCAATGGCCCGTTTAAATGTTTCTCAAGATTTATATAGAATAATTTATATGTTGATAATCAGTGGAATTACACGAAAATCAGTGGAAGTCCCGTATACGAGATGCCTCTTAGCAAGGTTACCTGTCATTATGAGAAAGAGTCGCCAGTTCTTTTCCTTGCAGATTCTTGCCTCCTTAGTGCTGCCATCATCGTGTACTTATCGTCTCTTATTTGCCAAGAGGTGAACGTGTTAAGCCTCTAAATTTACCGTGTAAAGCGTGTAAATTCCCCTTAAAATTATATCTAGGTTCACTTGTTATCCAATATTTACCTCACCTGCACCAAGGATTCTGTCTCATCTTTAGCTTCTTTTCCTTCTAATGCTCACTTCTTGTTTTTTTTAATACAGCTGCTGTTTGATGCTTTTCAAAGTGCTATACTTGCAATTGAAGCCCAGGTAACGATTTTTTACTTTCTCTGTATTATTAAAACTTTGACTATTAATTTGTATATTGTGAAGTTGTACTGTTTTGCAGAAAATGATTTTTTTGGACTGTTTATCATATTTTTATACAATTTATTCCTTCTGATATAGTGATGCAACTGGGCCTTATATGTAAGAGCCCTAATTTTGCCTACGACTTTGTAATTATCTGTGTTAAAACATTTTGTTTTGAGATGGACTAGAACTTGCTGATTGCCCAAAAACAAAAAGTCAATAACTCCTTTTCCCATGTTACATTTGATCTGCTCGCGGATATGAATTGCCGTTCCATTTCGAATAATGTTTTTGACTTTCATCCTACCTACCTATCGTGCAATTTACTTTGAATTATCTGTCTCAGTTTTGCACCTTGGCCCATCGTCATTGTTACCCGTCCGTTCCTTTTTTTATCATTTACCATTTTCGCAATATTTCATCAAACTATTTATAAGTTAGCAACATCCATCAACATCCATCCATGCACAACATTCAGCTCTTACTTCGTACAGTCCAGTTATGGTTATTCATTTTGTTGACAACTGCATTTATCATTTTGTATACGCTATTTAACATTTTGCCGTTCAATAGAGTGCTGCTGATATAGCTGTAGAGGAGGCTGAGAGTCAGAGACACGCTGAGCAAGAGCGAGAGAGAGAAAAGGAGCTGATGAAAATACACTCTAAGGATAAGCGTAGCAAAAAACGAGGGGCATCACCGGGGAAGAACGCTGTTCAAGAAACGCCAACTCCAGGTTTTTCATTTTCCAACATTTTTTATCATGACAATATTTATCATTTTACCTCGATAAATTAAACTTTCTAGGCATTGAGACTTTTTATAGAAAAGGGTTTTTTCTTGTAGCAATATTTTATAAAGGTCGTATTTCGCTGCTTTTTTCATCTCATTTTTAAACATTAGTTCTGCTAGAAATTTGTTCGTCTGTTTTCAGCTAACAGATAATTTCAAAATATGCTGAAATATTAAGACTATGAGAAAGATGTATTTAGCAGAGTTAATTCTAGCTTTTTAAGGTTAGCAGAAAATATTTTTAATTTAATAAAGAATTGTTTATATCAAATTTTTCAGTTCAACCAGAAGAAAATGTTGACATGCAAAAAGAGGAAGAGGAAAAGCAACGCAGGCAAAAAATCAGGGAACGACTCTCAAAAGAATACAAATTTGCAGTTTTCTCAGAGAGTAAGCTCGCTTTTCTCCAGTAAACAAGTTTATCTGACTTTATTTTTCTTCAAAAATTTATATTAAGAAATTCAATATATTTAAAACCTTTCTGTCCCTCAAGATAAATTTTCTGCGTCATTCAAAAGACCGTACCAGGTACTACTGCGGAAAAACAATTGTTCATGGCAGTTTAAATTTGACTTCCAAAATTTGGTGAAACATTTCCAATTGTTTTTGCAACAATCAAACGAAATAGCAAATTATGATAAAAGTGTATTTCGGCAATTCAACGTTGCTCCAGATTTGAAATAATATATTTCGTTAGCTCTTTTGTCTTTCTCTTGTTTATCATTATTGGTTTTTGCGCTTTTCGCAGGCGAAGGACTTAGAAAAAGACTTGATAATATCAGTTTTCAAGGTACCTCAGTGGTACAAAAGCTCAAGGTTTGCATTTTATTGACCGTATTTGTTAATATTCTAAAAAACACGCGATCAAATGACTGAATCAGTAATATTTTTGACTTGCTTTGCTAATCATAATCATTAGGCTCCAAGTTCGAAAAATAAATTTCCTTTATTCTACTTTAGAAGTTCTCTCAGCAACTATGTTTGAAAATGTTACAATTAGCTTGTATGTTTGAAATTAAGATATTGATAGATATACTCATTGAGGAGTTCTACTTGACAACAATTTATAATCGAATATTTCTTGTTATTTGATTTCTGTTATCTGTTTTAATATTAGGCGAAATCCCTCGCTTCTTACGAGGATATGAACGACTGGCTTGGTCAGAGATTCCTTCAAGAGATGGAAAGGTATGCTTCTGTGGTGAATTTGGTATAGATAGACTTTTTAGTTTCCGTGAAATTTTACGTTGGGTTAAGGTATCCATGACATGGCCTTGTTTGGTGTATGACCAAGTCACACTATTTGGAATAATGATAGAAATACCATTCCTGGTGTGCACGTTTAGACGTACTTATATTGAATTAGACGAACTTATATTGAATTAGACGTACTTGTTCACGTTTAGACGTACTTATATTAAAGAGAATGCTACAAACTAAAATCGTTGCAAAAAAATACAAAAGTTTACAAAAAATTTTCTGCATTAAAATTTTTCTAGTTTGAAATATTTCATGGTGGCAAGCCAAATTTTGGATTGTTAGAAGCATTATGCTTTGTCAAAATGATTATCGAAATTGAATTTTAACATGTCAAATATTGGACCAAGTAGTAGAAACTCACTTTGTATTCTTAAATTAACAGTGAAAACACATGAATTTCAAGTTTGCAACTGCAGGATCTGAAAAAAATTCTATCAAGGAAATGTCTTTTCTTCTTTGTTGTTTTTGAAGCTTTGATTTTATATACTTGTAATAATTATTTGTAAGTAGTTGGCTTTAATTAGTTTTAAAGTTTATCATTAAATTAGCCAACTTTGAATGACAAAAGATTTCATTTTCACCAATTTTTCTTTTAAAGCATTGACACAATGGCAGTAACTGTGAGATCATCGATTGAAAAAGAATCAAAGATCCAGGAATGTATTTTGCTTGAAGACAAAGATTTGGTTATTGAATATGTGAGTGTTAGCAATATGCCATTTAAATGAAATTTTACTTTGAAGGATTGAATTTCATCAGCTAAGAATTTTGTAAACTTTAAACTTTCATATTATGTCTTTCTAACTCTTAATTGTTGTTTTTATTAGTTCCCATCTTATATCTCTTATCCTTAGCTACACACAAAAGTCTTTCAAATGAGCTGTGCTTTTCTCTCCTAGCCTTCTACTTGGAACTGTTTTTGAGTCTTTCTTGACTTCTGTTTGTTTGATAAACACAGTCAATGCATTCTTTGACATATGAAAAATTCATTAGGATCTGCGGAGATTCAAGACACCAACACCTCCTCCGCCACCCTCGCCAAAAGAAGAATCCAAACCTGATACATTTACCGTCGTGCAACTTCTGTCATTACATAAACAAGTGAGTAATGTTTCGTTTTTTATAGATCTATCCATCAATTCAGCTTTTAGTATTAGTATTACTATTAGTATTAGTATACTATTAGTATTAAAAATGCTGGTCCACGTTTCATTGTAAATGCTTTTAATAGGTATTCCTTGAATGTCCCTTTAAATGCAGAAATAACGTCATATATTTCTTATCTTTTCTTTAAACGTTTTTGAATATATCGAAGCTGTCTTCTGCTAATCTATTTGTTCAATGAACTAAAGTTTGACATTTTTAAGTCATAAAGCTCTTCGATATTTTAATTTTAACTTACTTATTCTTCTAGGTCTGATAATGTTAAATTATGTTAACTATTTGCTTAAAAATTTCTTACGAGAACTTTCCATTTATTGGCGAATGCAACCAGCTGATGGATTCTTCTTTAAATTTCTTTATTTAAGATTTATTTATGGATTTCGGTTGTTTTATCCTTGTAGTTCAGCGAGATCGCCCCATCTGGACTAATATCAGCCAAAGCTTTCTCTGATACCATTTTGGATTATGCTTCCTGTAATGTAAGTAAACATTTTTCTTTCAATTTATCATTGTTTTCTTGAACCTGTTTTCTAATGCCTATAATCCTGTATTTCCCCTGTTATCGTCTCAACTAAGTCATCGTGTCTCTATTATTGAATTAAAAGCTCCTTCGTTGAATGGAATCTGGGAGGTGAAAGGGTTTCCAATAGATGCATGCTACGCGTGATGTCTTTAGAATGTTTGTTCTTTAAACCGTATCCTAGGCTGTAGACTCATTAAAGTAGAATATTCCGTTTATCTTCACTAAAAATATCTTATTTGTCAGTAACCTAAGCTGTCAGAGATCTGATTTTGCAACTCCAAAAACCCTTGAGCCAATCTATAGCAACATCTATTTTGTTCTATCAGGAGTGTTAGCTTTAGTGTTCTTATGGGAGATGCACATGCCCCTCCAAATGGCAAAAATTCCTTATTTCTTATGAACAACCTCTTTTTATTATTAACCTCTAACATTTGTACCGCTTCAATAATTCTGTCTTTCTTAATGCATCGGATCTATAATGACTTGCTTGGTTATAAAACATGGGTTTACAGTCTTTTGTTTTAAGCTCAAGACACCAAAAGTTTTAATATTGCTTGGAATACTTCATCCCAATTGGGTCAATTCCTTTTTAGGCAGGTACAGAAGGACTCCCTGACAACTGGATGTCCGTGTCAACAAATCAGGTACTATTTCAATTCCTTGTATCCTTTAATCAACAAAATTTACATCAGTACTTTAAGAGATGTAAATCGATATATTCAACAGTAGATTCCCAAATGTCATACAAAGCCGTACAACTTGTAGTTGTATATAAAAGTGGTCATTACCAACGCAAACATTTATTCAACCAGAAGGGACCAAATTTTTTTGTTTTTAATCTTATTTGATTTTGTGTGCTTTGTTCACTCAAATGAAGCCCTATATGCCTATCCAGAAGATTACTGTTATTTTTATTGAACAGTTAAAGATATTTCCCTGTTACAAGTCATTCTTTCTATATTGTATCATTATATGTCGATTTTCACTGTCCTTTCATGCTATATATTGCAAATCTTTTTTCCATGGGTGGCCTATTGACAGCATGGTGTTTTGACAAAGCATTTCGTCAATTTGTTTACATAGTCCTTTGAAACTTGCAATCTTATTTTCTTCTTTAACACTCTTCATTTTTCTGCGTTTTTTAGCTGCAAGATATCGCCACAAACCTTGTCAGTGACAATGAATATTTGGACTGGAAGGCCTTCCTTCTTTCTGCTGCAAAACCTTGGCCCCCTGTAACCGTTTCTGGGCTGCTTGAAACTTTACGACAATTTAGGGAGGCTGATGATCTAAAGATTGGTCGTGTGGGAAGAGAGGATTTTGAAAAAGTATGCCGCTAGATTTTCATACATTTAAACATTGAACCTATACTATTCAAATTTAATTTTTAAACTCAAAGTCGCCAGGTTCAGTGTTTTTTTTTATTTTGAAAATATCTTCTCATTTATCTGGATATAAAGCTGAGCCAAGACCTCGCCTAATACTTCATTTACGTATGAATTTGTTTTCTGTTTATATGGAACAGCAAACTTTTTTTGGTGCAGCCAAGTGAGATATCGGTCATCATCAGGTACCATCTTCTATCAGATACCATGACCCTCCAACTATCCCAAAATCTGAGTTTTGTCTTCTTATCGTGATCATAGATAAAACTAGATATCGGTAGGCAGAGATAAAATTTGTCCCATAGAAACATGCCGTCTTGGCTACCTGGATTTTAATGTCTTTGTTGACTTCACCGCCTGTTTGATAACAATGTGAATTTCTTCTTGGCAAGTGAGATAAAAATCTTCCCATGTGAAAAGAAGCTGAAAACTGTAGTAATATATTATCATATATAATCATCCGACTGGATGAAATCTCCCTATTATCACAAGCCGTCTCCTTTGTGTAGCATTGCGCTAATCGGGATAAATTTTTCCCATATGAAACAGGATTTCTAGCTATTTTTGTTTTATCATCATACATCTGTTCTTGAGGACTATAATCTCACATTACCATCAACTACAGAACTTAGAAACTAAAAGAAAATCAATAAATATAGGTATAACGATATTTTGAACAAAATAACAATGCTATCTAACTGATTTCTTACCACATATTACATATTTTGCTGCAGGAACAAAACTTGGACTAGCCCAGATCTACTACATTTTTTAAAATATTTATGAGTTTTGAATTTTTACTTAATCTGTTCCTTTTATCACTACAATTGTAATAGTTTTATTTTGTGAAAACAGGCTAGCCAGTTACAATTTAGCTATGTGAAAGAGAGATTTGTAATTGTAGTTTTAACTGTAGAATTGTAGAGTTAATTATTTTCCACTATTTTATCATATTTTATCAATCATAAAGTTTCAATAATTTTGCATATATGTTATGTAGTTCTTGCACGTTTGGTACTCGAACAATCGTCGATCTAATAACATGATCTAAAGGCAGATGGGCTAAGCGTTTATCTAAACACAGATGGGAAAAACCATTGCATAGAAAAACATCAATAACTTATGCCGATATTTGGCTTTTTATTTAGTTTGGTCGTCGCCAAAATTGAAGCTTGTCTACACATTATAACTGTTAAACTGAAAAACTGTTTATGGTTACTTAAATCATCGTTTATAATTGTATTGTCAATAATCTGTGCAATTGTTCTTTAAGGTGAAGATGTGGTTTTCGGAGGACGAAGATGATCTGAGCTCATACGCAGAAGATGGCTACAACAGACTAAAAGAACTTCATTATGTAGGTTTTTAATTAGATTCAAGTTTCCTTTGGTTCCATCCAACTCTTCTCTTTTTTGTCTGCTCGGAGTTTATGAAAAGGTTTTATAACCTCTATTTGCTCAAAAGTTCAGACTCTTAGACGAAGACAGAGGGGTCGAAAAACCGGGGGTTCGGGATCGCAAGAGATTTAATAATCGGAAAGGGTTGGAATAAACGGAAAGGGTTGGAAAAGTCTTGAATACTACCAAAATGAATCTCTTTGTGGGATAAAGATTCAAAATTCAACAGAGAAATATATTGAAATAAACAGCACTTTGGGGCATTCTACAGACTAGAGTTATTTCAAAAATATTTTTTCTAATCAGCCATCAAGTTCAATGATCAAAAAATTTATGTGCGGGGCAGGGAAAAATCTTAGAGCGAAGAAGCTGAAAACTTTTGATAAATTTCGACGGCGTTAATCAAGAACCTAAAAGAAGTTACATTTAAAAACTTTCTAAGCTAAGCACATAAAGAATCGCTTTCACTTTTGATTTTTTTATCTTTGTAGCTTTTATATGAGCTGCCAGTAGCACATTCATTTTGTACAGAACTCTTCCTTTAAAGATTTTTAAACAAAATATTCTTTTGAAGTTCTCAATCTGGCTTTTATTTGTAACTTTAAAGATTTTTTCTTTACTTTTGAATGAGATTGCAATAAACATTCAAGTTTTCGTACTATAAGCTTCACTTTGAGACTTATCTGGTAAAACATGATAATTTTGATTAACTTTTTTCTGCAAATTCTAAAAATTTTCTGGGAACCTTTCTCCAAGCCTCCAATTAATTTATCAGCTCTGTTAGAGAGCTGCGAATGATTCTTCCGTAATTTTTTGTTCAAGAAAATTCGACATTTTTTATAACCTAAAATAATCCTCCTGTTGGAATTTCAGTTCATTAAAGTGCTGCTGAAATTATCATCAAGCCCGATGAGAAAGACAGAGGGCGGCAGATTGCCCTAGGCCCTGAGCTTTGAGGGCCCAAGATTGCCGGAGCCCATCTTTCTTTATGCCCCAGGCCCCAAAAATGCTCTCGGTGCCGCTGGCTATGAGTAAATGGAAGCCCTCGTTGCTTCTCTTTTGCAGTCAATATTGGTATTTTTTCTGCTTTTCTCTTCTTATTTATCTTATTCAAATTGCAGGCATTTTTTGATTTATTCGCCGATACCATTGACGATTGGCAATCTGTTGATTATGTAAACATGGTAAGCAATACCTTTTCTACTTGCATTGAGCCATTACAAAGGTCGAAAAGCGAACCTTTAAAGGATTTACATCTGTTTGTGTTATCATTCGCATCAGCTAGGAATAGTGAATAGCCCATTCAACGGATGGGACAGCCGATTCTGGCCTATGGCTGGTGCTGTCTTATATATATACAAGTTTCTTAGTAAACCTAAGTTATGCAAGCTCCTTGATTTTGCTCAACTTAAACTATAGTTTAGTACCCTTAATATTTCTTCGAAAAAATACGTTGATTTCTTTTTATTTGACATCAACTGGCTGTGACTTAAAACGATTTAGACTAGAATATCCATAGCATTGCAAATTACTCAAGTATTTTCTTTTCTAGCTGCTTTACTTCAGTGCAGTTGCAGACCCTTTCGAGGGATTTCTGCGGGCATTAAGCGTTGTGACTGGTAGCTCATTGCCAACAAAAGAAGAGATCGATGCTGTTGAAAAGCCTGAAGACCCAGATCAACCAGTTCAGGTAGAACCTTTGATTTATGAACAGTCTTATAAGCAAAATCATTTTCAGTTTAGTGTTTGCTGATCTCAGTCGACACTCGATGTTGTTGGTTTTGATTGATTTGATGCTCGGGGAACTCAAACCAATTATTTAATTAAATCTATATGAAAAGTCTGTATGACTTTGCTTGGGTGAATTCCTCACTTGGCAATGTGATTTCACTCTTTATTATGCTATTGTTTTTCCGTGAATGGACAATTTCTGTTAGCCTTTTACAATTTTTGAATAATTTGAATGGTTTCATGTAACCAATAGAGAATCTCTAAAAAAATTTCAAAAAACACACCAATTTGGTCATGTTCTTACTTTCTTTGCTCTTCTAAAGTGCCGTACCCAAGCCTCAGTGCTCTTCTGAAGTGTGCTCTCATAAAGACAAACTATTGCTAAAAACGCTAAAAAGTTCATAATATCATGATATACATGATATACATAATATCATTAAAATGTAAAAATAAACCAAACAAATCAAAGTAACTGTTTAACAGAACAGGCATTTCCTAAGGGATGCTAATTTTTATCAAGGTTTTTTACATCCGGTAGGTAGCTCTAACTTGTAAGACATTTTATTCAAAGCAAATTTTCTAATATCTTAACTGAATTAAGTAACTTATCATTTTAGTTTTACTTCTTAAAATACAAATTGTGAATGTTGAATGACATGCTTTACTTTTGTAAATAGTAGAAATTTTGCTCTTGTAGAAAAGTATCTTTCCTTCTATGTTTGACCTATTTAGTGTAATTAGGCAGCATTTATATAGTTAAACTGGTGAATAATCATAATTCTCGCTTTAGTAGTTTGATTAACTATCTTCTAGCTGTTGAGATAATTTCTCCTAATCTTGCCATATGTCCTAGGTATGGCCTCGGCAAATGAATAGTCTTCGTGTGTTTTAGCGATATCTAATTGTACTTAAGGCCTGTTTACATGGGTTTGACTATCTAGGGTAGCCATGATTCTACGGATAGCCGGAATATACCGGATACTCGGAATGACTTTCGGCTTACTTTTACATGTAAATATCTGCCAGGAAAGAAGCGAAAAGACAGTTTGTTGGTCTAATAAACAAAAGGCTGCTCACCCTGAAGTTAAGAACTGTATCTCGGCCTCGCTCTTCATACAGTTAGCTTCTTATATTTTAAAGTTTGTAAAATAAGTTTTTTTAAGCTAGATACCACTAGATTTTAAATGAAAACTACTCATAAATTCTTGCTACATTGGTAAAGAAGAGCCCTGTGATACTGTGAATGGACAGGCAGTGAAACTAAACACTTTGATATTGGTCCCTGTCTTTACGTCATAATCTAATTGTTTTATTTTATATATATATCAATTTCCAGGCTGTTCCTCACCATTTTCTCACTCCAGTGGTGCTAGCTGATATTTTGAAGGTAATTTTGTCTTTTTTGCTGAATTAACAACACCTAGCTTGATGTTGAAGTTTCGACGTGAAAGAGCAAAAACTTCAAGCATTCTCTTTTATGTGTTGTTTTTTAAAGTTCAATATCATTTTTTACCTGTTTTTAGAAACAAATGAAGATCATTGTCATTTTATCATGTTGATTTAAGAAGAACTTCTTTTCAAGATGCTTGATTTCAGAGCTTTTGATGCTATTATTTATGCATTTGCAGGTAGAAATACCACTCTATCTTAACGTCAAATAAGGATAATTAATACATTCAAAAGATATTTTAAATACGCAACATCGCTTCATTGCTCTATGAATCTCTATTTTTTAAACAATGAGGCGTGTTGCTCAAGTCAGCATAACTTCCCTTACCTTATTGAATCATGCCATATTTTGACAATGATGGCACTTTGGTGCCACATTCTGTCTCTGTGACACCACTGCAGATGTGTGCCATTTTTAGGCCTCCTTTAACTTCACAGTTACATCAATGCCACGTCCTACCACACTTATAAAATTGTTTCGTGTTATGCATATGCAACCATATGGCTCATTTAGAAATCAATGCTTTCCCTTGACCTTTGCATATAACAAGAACCAAAATTGCTTCATTCCACAAACTTCTCGTCAACGTGACTAAAAGACGATATTTTTCTTACATACTTTCTGTTAACAGATGCAATCTTTTCTACATTCCTTCTAATTTTTTACTTATTTGCTTAGTCACAAGAATTTGATAAGACGATTATTTTTCCTTCAATCAAGGTGTTCAATCATAGCAAAAGATTTCAAGGAGATAGTCACCGTTTTAGTGCTACGTCGGATCCTTTGGACAGTTTCTCTGAGGTTTGAAGCTTTTTAATTACCATCACTTGTCTTTGTAATAGCAAGCCATACATTCTGCGTGTGACAGCCAAAAAAATGTTCTTAGATGAAACTCCGAGTATCAACAGGCAGTTCATGAGTCATCAGTATCTCCTTCGCAGTCTAGATTTGCCCTCGTAGTAGTACGAATTCACTTACGGATTTAACAAAAATTGACTCAGAAAAGACTTATCATAATAGATGCTTGATGATCACATCAAACCATATCACTCGAAGTTCCAACTTACAACTGTTATTTTCTATACACCTACAGCTCTGTCTATATGGCATCGACCACTGTATGATCGACCAGTGAAACATTAACTTTTTTTTTTTTTTGCGATGTCCATCTAATCTAATCTTCCATCATTGTGTTAGGAACGTTTGACTGGAATTTATGAAGAGCTGGGAGGAGAGGCCGATGGAATTCCGATTTATCTTTTATTCCAGCATCCAGTCATGAGAGATTGTATCACCCAATGTAAAAAGTTCCAGCAAATAGTAAGAGACATAACTTTTCCTTTCGTCTCTGTTTCATTTTAAGTGTATTTCTAGATAGCAATCTTGGAGAATTGTGCTTGTTCACTTAGAAAATTTCCTTTCTCGACGTCTATACGAGAATTTGATTCATCCCAACTAGATGGGCTTGCCTCTCTTTCCAAGCTTGTAAACAAGAGCTTTCTCAGCTCGCACCAATTATCGCAATAAGTTTTACCCGGGATTGGCGAAAAACAACAAATTGATTGTTTTTATTATTTCATAAATTTTGATTTTGTGAGCAATCGATCAAATTATTCGATGGATTAGCAATCAGAATGGCTCCTTTTTGATAAAGTTCCTTCACTGTGCGGTTTTGCTACGTTTTATTTTAGAAAGCAGCTGTTTTTGTAGATGTTATCGATTCTGGGATAAGAACCAGTTCGCCGCCAATTTCCTCTACCTATGCAATGGTAGTTCTTGCTAACCCACCTAATCGCATTTACACCTGACGCGGACCCCACATTTCATTCCCACGAATCTCACCTAAGTAGGCCGGCCAACTCTCCTTGTAAACTCTCCTTGTAAACTCACATGGAGAATTACAAAGGAATACACATCACTCATGGATCTCATTAGGGTAGCAAAGGAATACACATCACTCATGGATCTCCTAGTCCATTTGGTTGTAATGGCTCAACTTGTGTTAAAGGACAGAAGAAATTCAAGAGAAAATTGATGTCTATTCGATTTTATATATGCTTTACAATAGCAATCTACTTATATAGTAAAGGTAAGAATACTGCTAGGAATGTCGGACAAAAACACTATCAAGGAGAATGCTATCTTCGATATTGAAAAATGTAAAGTCCTCTGCTCATGCATTGGCTTTTGACTTACTATTTCAAAGTACCTAACGTGTCACGGAATCTGCAGGTGGGACCTAAAAGCGAACTCAGTCAGTACCAAAACTCTTTAAACCATTCAGTTGGAAGCAAATGTTTTGGCGTTGTTAGGTTCTTGGGTGGTTGCCTCATGACGGTAGATAAGAGATTGGTTCGATCGGTTACACGGCGAGATTTACATCTTTCTATTGCTGGTTTGGTTTATCTCTACCCTGACGAGTTAGAACAAAATTAAGCAATTCTAGTGAATCTTTTTTCTCCTAACCATGAACTATCTTTGTTCCACCATTCGTTCATTTTTCATTAAAATCAATTGAAGTGAAGAAAGTGGAAGAAGTGTAAAAAATTATATATATTTTTGTACTCCAAATACCTGTTTTAAAACCTCGAAACTGCAAAAGCGTCAAAATTGAGCCTCCTGCAGCAGTGATAATCAAGTGAATTCCCATAATTCTTCTGTATTTCTAGCCGAATTTTTTCGAACTTGTTGGGGAGTGGGACAAGAAAAATTATTGAGAGAGGCATTCTCTGTCTAAGATTCACTGAGCATGCGCACAGAGTTGCCAGGGTGACCTTTCACTTTAGAAAACATTGGCAACCAAAACTCAGCAACAACGCACCTTTGTTCTAGTAAGAACCATGCTGAAACATTGACTTTGCAATCAGTTGTTATGATAACTTAATAACGACTTTCTTATCCAAGTCCCTACCGATTCAACTTTCTGTTGAATATTCTAGTTATGGAATTGTTGAAATATTCAAAGTTGTCTATTGTTGAAACTAATTTTCGTATTATTTGTATTTTTGCCCTGCCCTTGATAATAACCCGCACCCATAAACCATGCAGAAAAACTTGGTTAAAAACGACAGACGCAAAAACCTTTAAAAACCTGTCTGTGTGCTTAAACCTTAAATAGACATCAGAAGTATATACTGAACAACAGTATTTTCAAGCATGGAATCATTAATATCGTCCAGAAGTATTTTTACATCGTCTTCTACATTATCACCCTCAGCTTCAAGGTAGCACGAAAGCTTGGCTTTTCAGGATCTTAATAAAACAATGCAATCTGCTCTCGTTTATATGCCCCCTTGATTATGAACCGTGCCAAGAATAATTTTAAGCTGTAACTTAAAATGAAATAAATACGGTAACTGCGAGACTTTCCAAAAGAACGAGCCTTTTTCAAAAATTGATCGCTTATTTAAATTTTTTCATCAAAATGTTTTCATTTCAATATAAATCATGGTATTAATTGAGTTTTACGGACGATTAAAGTCACTTTGAACTGATCCTTATGTTTTTCTATATCAATAATTAATAGTTTTCAAATGATCATCAACATCTCTTCTTTCAAACTTGCATAAACAATAGTGCACGTGTTCCGTTTGAAATGAAGAGGCAATAAAAAATTTAAAACAATTTTTTGTAACTACTGTTGGAGGAAAACTTAAACTCTTTTAAAGAGCATCGTAAATATTTAGATAATTTTTATTATTATTTGTCAATATATTTGACGTCTGCACTCAAAAATGGACGCTTCACCTGATGCAATGATAGGGAATTTTACCCGATTTTACGAAAAATCCCAGTTTTCTTCAGAAGTACCCATATATTACATTAACCTCTCTCGCCCAGTCAACCATTTTCTATTCGTGGCCCATCAAATGTATTCACTTTGTTCTGCCTCGATGTGATTTTATTTTGAATTAATTTTTTAGCATTCACATTTGTCTTTAAGAGTTAATATTTTAAAACTACTTAAAAATCATCATGAGCTATTTCATTTGTTAATTTTCTAGACTTGAGTGATTCATTCTTCATTCCTAAACTACCCAAGATGCTCTGAAATATTTTTTCTATCACTGCAAATGACAGCGTATCCGATTCTTTTTCTCGAGCCTTAATTATTTTTATCTATTTCAGGATCTGCAACAGCTATTGAAGAACATTGACTCATCATAAGTAAAAACCTCTTACATGTTCAGATGTCATAACAGTTTCGTGTATGTTATACAACATTTTAATTCTATCGTGTATTGACTATCCCTGTATTTCATGTGAATTTTTATGTTTATCATGCTGCTATCTATTTGTGCCCTGGCCGTAATTTGTCGTATTTTGTCATTTTTTTGGATATTGCAATCCCTAGGCCCATTTTTTGGACTTTACATCAATTTAATTTTGCAATCTTCCAATGCTTGAATTGCGTGGCTATCAGAGAATTATGCTTTAACAGTTCTTAATAAGTCTTCGCGACTCACCAAGCACCGTGGAGTGTTGAGAAGAGTGGGGGGTCTAAAAAAGTGGGGGGGCTAAAACCGTATAAAAGAGGCTTTACTGGTAGTTTATTACTTAATATTTGGCATATTTTGCAAAAAGTCTAAAGCCCCCTAGCACCCTGCCCGCGGTGCCTGCTTACTGCTTACATATCATTACTTTCATCGTCTATCCTATTTTTACATGTGAAAGACACATTGTTAAATGAAATGTAACTCCATTATGTACTAATACAACCCCAAGGTCTCCTCTGAGTTTCAGTTTTCCAACTTTTTGACACTGCAGACAGGTTTGGAGATTTGGCGCGAATCGGTACGAGTAGCATTGGCTAGTTCATTCCTTGGCATTGTTGTTGACGAAATAATTCAACGTATGTTTAAAAGAAATAAGTCTTGTTAATTTGTGAATATGACGATTATTAATGGAAATAAGATTGTAAGAAGGTTTCAATTTCGTTACGAGAAGTTAACAAACATTAATTAAGTTTCCTGGGTGCATAGGCAGAGACGAATTGAGTAGTTACACTCTTTTTTATAAAAAACGGTTAATTTAAGTTCAGGCTGACTGTTCTTAATTTTCTCGAAAACACGAGACTGGATTTTTCTTGTTCTGTTCTTAAATTAATAGGTTGTAAACAGTGCGATTACTAGCTTTTTTGCTCTAGGGAGACAACCTTCATTTGCCAAAAAGTTTGAACACTCACTAAAAACGTACCCAAACATGGCTAAAAACCTTCGTTTTTGAGATGAAATTGTTCAAAATTACACTTTACAGTAGCTCAGCCTCAGCTTGTTCTTAATTGGTTTTCAACTTTCCACCAATTTTGAGGCACGTATTCTTATCAAATTATTTTTATAAAAAAGAGTGCATTTGCTATTCAACATTAAAATGACGATAACATTAGGGCCCCTCGGCTTCTCTCTTCTCTCATTATTCTGGCTGACCTAATTGTAAGACAAAACGGTATTGTCGAGAACAAAGCCAATTGCGGAGAAATGAGCAAACTTTTATTTCTTTAGTGGACCTGGTGTAGCATGCTAAATGTAAAAACCATGTCCAGGCAGCAATGGTGGCGCCAGCCACTACACTCTGGGGAGACAAAAAAAAGTTTTAGGCCACGCCCTTTTTAGCACCAGAAGACGCTCTTTTACCAACAAGAAACGGTTTTACATTAAGGGAACGCTTATAACTAGCTTTTGGCAATGGAAAGGCAGTTTTAAAATCATAGGATTACATCACAAAAAGTATGTTGCCAAAATATTAACCCTCCCCCGACATTTTCTCATCGAATTTCGACGAAATACAAAGTTGATCCTACCGAGAACTGGGGGGACAGGTCCCCCAGTCTCCCCCCCCCCCCAGTGGCGTCGCTACTGCCAAGCAGTCCATGGTTTCTCCTTAGCTTTCTTCTAAAATAGCGATTAAGGGTAAGGTGGAAAAATGCAAATTAACGCGGAATGATAATGGATAAGCGCATACTTTGATTTGGTATGTCTTTCCATGCTCTTTTCAGGCATCCTTTTGTAATAAATTGTTTTTCATTTCAAAATTTATGAGAATACTTCAAAGTAAACAGAGATGCGGAAAAAAGTAAGAAAATAAACAAGTCCTCAATCAAGAAATTTCTCACCGGGAATGATTTTTACTGGGATTGCTACATAAGGCTGTGCGTGTGTGTGTCTGGCCAATACATAATGGTGAATATTGTCTTTGCTGGTAATTTTTTACCGGATCCACGGTATGTTAATCATTTGAATGCACTGACAAAAAAATTTTGTAAGACATACGAAAATACACTTAACATTAGCGTAATCTGCCGTTGACGTATCTTTCAATCAGCTATTTCACTTATTTATAATTAAATATATTATGCGTCGACGTTTTTTGCATGCTTAGTTATTTTCACTGAATAAAAATTGAATCCCAAGCATAATTTTGGGTGAAATCTATAAAAAGCAAGATTGTTTGCAGGTCAAGATAGCTAAACCAGTGCAAAAGTAATTGTTTGTATTGACACTAACAAAGTGTATTAATAAATAAATATGCAACAACTAATTACTGATCTCTTTTGCAGATATTGTTTTGTCAAAGGCTAAAGTAAGCTGTATTCATCTAGAAATCTTTCGTTAACCTTATAAAGTTGCTTGCCTTTGCTTCCTAATCTTGAAAATGCTCCACGTCACGCTTGTCCGCCATGACCCCAGCAAAGAAACAAAGCGGCCTGGCACAAGAATATTTTGGTAAGACACATTGTTACTACAAAACTTTGTCATAAGAAGATCTTTATGAGAAACTGAGCCTTAAGTCACCCTAGAAATTAGGAAATCATGATCCGTCACCTTCAACCTGATAAAACTGCTCGAAGATCCATTTTGAAGGATTGGATCAATTTCCCTTTGGATCAATCATTCGTTTCAAAATAAAACATGTATTTCCTGTTTAATTGACGTAAATAATAGCAAAAATACCCCTTGCAAATGATAAAATTTTCTGTCTCTAAGCAATTTATATTGCTTTTTGTGTTTCTTGAAGTAGCATTTCAGTACTTGGTATCAGAAAGGAGCCGTTCCGAAAGTAATAGCACTAAAATCATGAAAATTAAGAAATTATGTTTTTATCCTGAGCTACGTTTTGAGTCAAAAAATAATGTAGTCGAAAACAAACCGTCTTCTAGCTTGGCATTGTCTTAAATTGCAATTTTTTTTGCTATGTAGACGAAATAAGACGGGGCAATTGTGTTATAGTCATGTTCAAGAGAAAAAAGTGGTCGAGAAAAAGAATTATTTTTGGCCAGTCAAAAATAAGGTAATTAATTTTTTTATCAAAATAGAAAATGATTGTAATAAGAAAATGATATAACGATTTGTGCCGCAGGCAGCGCGAAAAGACATTGCGTCATCTGGTCTCGCTACACACATCACTTACAATGCTACACTAAGTCGTTTTGTTGAAAAAATATAAGAGATTGTAGCTTGCAATATCAGCTTATTTGCAATTATATTGTACTTGTTATCATCATAGAGAAAAAGTTCACATAGATCTTTAGAGTTCAAGTTGTCCAGTCTTCATCCAGGAATTTCTGAGAAATTGTAAAAGAAGTCGTTATACATTTCATGAAGATATGAAGAATGAAGGAGAAATGCTACTTATTCAAGATGGGCTTACCGTACACGAAAAAGTAGGAAAATCTAATGGAAAAGCAAGACATCCAACGCAAACCCCTTCTCCACCCGCCGGGTTTTATTTGGGCCATTAGTATTCTGGTTGTTCCGATTGTTACATTATTTTGTCTAACAGGCAGTCAACATATTACATCAAAAGTCATTTTCAATTGCAATAAAGAAAATCAATTGCTACTTGAAGTTGGTTAATTGATGCATTCACAAAGGGAGAAATCTATCTGCCTGATTAATTATGTTAAAACATAAATACTCTGGTTAAAACTATGCTGCCACCTGGTCTAACTAGTAAATAATTTATCAAAATTCTTTATCTTTTTTAAATGGAAATAACTGCGAAGAATGAAATGTTTCCTGGTGCTCAGAACAGCGATTCAGTGGGGCACATGTGAAATCTGAATCTGGGAACAAACCCACTAAAAGCACTTTTTATCAAACAAATGCATGGAATTAGTTATTAGCAAGAGCATTATAATCATCATAACAAAATAATGATAATAGTGATAATTATCATCATGCTCAAAAAGTTTAATTGTCATCCATAGAACAGCAAGAAGATCTCGCCCTCCCATGCAACTGACCTTCAAAAGGGGAATTGAGAAAATGATCCAACTTAGCGACTGTTATCCGATCCAACCTATCCGGGGTACCAATTTGGACATGAATAAAGTAGAAAAATCCAATAGGAAGATATAATCGGCAAGAAATAGTAAGTTATCGGGGGTACGGTTTATTGTGATTGTAATGTTTTAATGTACATTAATATCTGGACTTGTATTTAATAATTTTCAGCAGGTTTTTCCTTAATATCTGTTTTGTCCTGCTGAAGGGTTTTTGAAGAAACCAAAGCAAACCTGGACAAGCTTGTTTTTTGCAATCCGCTTTGGAGGCTGGCCTTGTTATAAAGACATTGTTCGGGAGATGAATCATGCCCGTCTTTCAGACATGCACTGTCCCCCTTTTCAGGGCGGTATCAATTTGTTTAAGACGGTATTGTTTCGAAACAAAGGACAAAAGGTTTCGTCTCTCAAACAAGACACGGCATTATTTTTTAGGAAAATCTTCCTCTTGGGCAGTGGGAAGGTTCCCTTGGTTCATGTTTTTGCTTGTTAATCCCATTCGCAGCTTTGTAGGATGGTCACATGAGGTTTTCGCTGTGGAAAACGCATATGGCCTTTGCCCTTTCCGTTGTTTTACAGCGAACTTGCTCCTTCTTTGTCATGCAGTGAAATCGATATTTTTTCAATTTCCGTTTGAATTCGGTCTCCGTGCAAGTACCAAGGCCAATTTCCTTTAAGAAACACAATTATCTGATCAACATCACGCTTGGGAGCACTCAAGCAGCTTGATAATGGCTTTGTGAACATAACTGCACTTCTCTTGTCACTTTGCACGCCAAATTATCTGTTTGAGCGAAAAACACATTAATATAGATGGAATCATGATAGATTGAAGCGATTGTTTTGATATATGTGAGAGAAAACAGAATGCACCGGAAAGAAAACCAGAAGTTTAATGCGACATAGAGAGTCTTTCACAAAGCCTTGGTGAGGTTAAAGATTATTTGAGGATTGAATAAAATATTCATCAATTTTTGTCCTTAATGTCTCGATAATACGCTAAACACAATATATGAGCCTTCTGTTGTTTATTATCTAACGCCTTTTTTATGACGATTGAGAAAAACAGCATTAGCCAATTCTTCGCCCTACTTACTATAATTATGCGAAAGTCAAATATTGTCAATTTTTTCATCAGCAGCTTGCTGGTTGTGTTTTGCAAGCAGTAATTATATTAAGCTGAAGCTGGAGTGAGTAAACACACAACAGGTTCACTGCAAGCCTTCGTTTAATCGGAAGACAAGAGTCAGAATGGAAAGGCGGTAAGTCGTTTCTTTAACACCCTATTTAAATGAATTATTCGAGATTTCAACATGAAATTAGCAAAAACGTAACAGTTGAAGAAGCTAATTCGAGGATTAATGCTGAATTTCATTCTAAGCCGCAGTAAATTTATGAGAAATGTTGGATTCAAATTCGATCTGTCTGTGACAGCTGCAGAATTTGTCATCCCGGATCTTTCCGAGTCTTCTAAGAACCGATAATAAATAGAATTTAGAATTCTTTCAAACAATGAAATATCTGGCAAAGTCGAGACTTTAATTGTACAATATTCTGTTCACTTCTTTAAAGTTTATAATTATCAAGACAATCATTTTGGATTAAAATTTTATAAAACTTTACGCTTTGCGATTTTCCTATTTGTAAAATTATGAATTTGCTACCCCTTGATTTTGTGTTACGATCAAAATGGATATCGAAAAGGTTGTCAATGTTTTTAAATAGAATTAAATTTTGGTTGCCGGCAAGTCACTCAGTAATCTGGTAGCTATCCTTCAAGCCTTATTAATTTGAAAGAATTCATTTGATAGCGTCTGGCTTACTGTATCTCTGGTCTTGATAAGGGAGGAGGGCACAAGGATTGCAGGATGCGAAATTTGAAAGTACAACCATTTTCAGATTGAACATCTGGTCATATCCTATCAATAGTAGTGTGTGTTGGATTAACCTGTCCGTTTAAAACAGGAGAAGATAAACATATGTTGTTGCTGCTGTGGCTAAGGTGGTTCCTATGTTATGATTCAGAAACTAAAAAGGAGATCTGGCCACTGATACTGAATGGAAATGGAGAGATCGCTTAAGCTGCGATTCACTTCTTCATTCACATTATCTTATTTTTCAGCTTAATTCTAAAATAAAAAATTTAAACAAAACTATTAAGCTAAAAAAAATAATTGAAAAGAATTAAATAAAATTGAAATTGAAGCTAATGCTTCTCTTCTATATAGATTATGGACGTGCCACTTTTTCCTCTCCTTTTAAATTGTTCCACGGTTTCGCACCAAAATAAAAATGCATTTGGACCACTTATCGTTTTTACCAACGATATACTTAAACCGCCATCTGATTAACGCATTAACTGCTTTTTTTATATTTTTAATATTTTATTTCAATCCGGGCATCTCTAATTGGTCCGGTGTCTATTGTAACTAATTGGTCATACTTTGTGCCAATGAGAAACTTCACTGATGTAGTGGAAGAGTTTATGATATAGTTAGCTTGCCTTGCTAAATATGACTTTTCAATTGCAATTGTCATTAATGAGTTGAAGTTTACTTGTCACAAATGCCTTTTACTTCTTCACAAAGATAACTCTGGGAAAGGTTTTTGGTAATTTTTTGTGCCAATGAAAACTTCACTGATGTGACTTTTCTAGATATGACTTTTCAATTGCAATTATCATTAATGAGTTGAAGTTTACTTGTCACAAATGCCTTTTACTTCTTCACAAAGATAACACTGGGAAAGGTTTTTGGACAAACCTTGATTGCGATAATGTCATTATGCTTCAATCTTTACACTCAAATTTGCCCAAAATGCTTGTGATCTTTCTATTTGTTAGAGGTTTCAACCAGTCAGTTGAAATATCGGAGTAGTAAGACCTATGGATAGGCTTTATTGCAGAAATTACATGTTTCTTTCGAGGGAGCTAGCTTAAGGCTTAAGGCCATTGAAATCTTTTGATACAAAACGATACAATATTCATCAGAGCATAAAACGTCAGAATAAGGGTCCGAAAGAACACAATGAAAAATATATACCCAGTTATGGATCAAAATAGGCCAATCAGAAAAACGCAAGCACAAGAATGGTATAGTTGACCAATCAGTGCCGCGTGCCTAAAGGAAAATTACCAGTGGAGTCCAGAAGAGAAAACGAACTCCTTCTGTCTACACAATGGCGGCATTTTGATGCAATGGTGACAATATTCATCTTAACTCGTATCTTTGTACAGGACTCTTAACTTGCAAAAACTGGCGTTGAGCCACATAATTTGTTCGTTGTGCCATTTATCGTCGAAAGCTTGTTTATGCGACTGACAATTTCATGGTAGCGAATTCGGTCTTTCACATATTTCTTCCTGAATTCAAATGACATCTGCTGTCTCCAGCTCCTCTCCAAAACTGCCCTCTCCTGACTCTTAAACTGTTTTTT